TAGCTATCTATATAAGGTTTTGAGGTGTTTTTATATCCCCTCTACTTAGCTACTAAGACCAGAGTTTTTCATACTTAGGCATAACACTACTTTAGCAAGTGTGGTGTAATTCCTTGGCATGCAGGCCAAGGATCTCACACCGACAGCTGCTGACCCGAGTGCTGATGGAACTTGACAGTGGATGTTTCTTGTGAGGCCGGCCTCAGGTGTGATAAGTCTCAGCCTGCTCTGAAGATCAGACGTGCCGCAGCCACGCGTAATGCTGCGATACTGGGCTGCTGGGATCGCACTCCCCGACATGTCATCCCTGTCGAAGCTCCATTGCAAATGCCGGGATTCGAAAGGGTCTCTTATTCGCCGAGGGACCTATAATGCCCTATACTAATAAGAGGGACACATGAGGAGGATGAGCTAGCTATTGACACAGTCTGGATGTCGTGCAGCGCTCCTTTCATTGCAGATACTCAGCCCTGCGGGCTGGAGGATGTCGTAGTCCGCTGGTCTCACGAGGGTGTTACACAGGAGTCAAGATGTTGACTCAGGCCGTCGAGGACGAAAAAGCGACCCTGGCTCCTTTCGAAGTACTCCATGCCTCGTGGGAGGTGGTACCAACAGGAAGCAGATGCCCTTTGCTGAGCCACGCTGCTTTTCGAGGGTTGGTGGTCGGAGTTGGGAATGAGTGGAGGATCTCAACTCCGTCACTGTACACTCTTCGCCGAATGGAATTGCTCCATTGGCACTAAGACGCGCAGTTGGCGTGGGATAGATCGGCGTTGGAAGGATGTCCGTCTGGATTTCCAATCCGGTGCATGAATCCTGTGCATAGCCTGTAGTGACTGTGAAGTCGGCTGGACGATTGTTCAGCAAAGTGGACTGCTTTCGTTTGACCAGCTACTGCATGCTGGAAAGGTTGCTCCGGCGCCGCGTCTGCCCTCTGATGTGATGAGCAAGCAGGCAGTCAGGCGTCAGGACGATCGCACGCAGCCTTGCGGTAGGGCTGCATGTGTACAGAGGTACACAACGTGGGTATCACGAGAGGACGGGCTCCACAGCGGGAGAGAGACGGCGGTGACCCGAATCCTTCACCGCGAGTCGAATAGCAAAAGGGGGAGCAGACGTTTTCGTCGGGCGATGGTGAGGGGCTGATTCTCTTTGCTGTCGGACTCATGCGTCGTACAGATAGCATGAGAGAGCGAGAAAGCGGAAGCAGGTCGAGGTTTGATGGAGGCGGAGTAGAAGCCCCCACGCCCACACAGCCGTTTAGGCTTCCGGAAAGAGCTAGCGGGCGGGAGGGGCGGGATCGGGGCGCGGTGAAAATAGAACAGTGGAGTCAGCCGGCTCGTAGAGGAAGGAACGGGAGGCTCCAGCGGAGATTCCAGCATGGGCATGGATGCCATCCTCTCACCTCTGTGCAAACATCGCGCCGCCGCCGATTCGCTCGTCGTGCAGTGCGATGCAGCGTGCTGCTAGCGAGAGATATTTCTCCCGGCCGAGCGAGCTACTATTAGGGCTGTCGAGCACGAATTCGAGGGCAGCACCACTAAGGTAGCAGCACCAGCACCAGCACCAGCAGCTCGCAGGAAGGATGCAGGTCCAAGTTTAGTCGGTACGACTCTACACTCTACACGAACAATCGCAGCCCCGAAGCATGCCTGTCACTGCCTGCCACTGCCTGCCTGCCATGAGCACCATCATCATCATCATGACTATTCTTTCACATGCCGGAGCGACGCTTAGGTTGTGCTGTTCTGGTGCTGTTGGATATATAGACCTCCGCCCGAGCCAACGACTCAGGCTCCTCCCCATCTCATCCCCCCACCAGCAACAACAGTCTCCTTCTGTCAATCCCAAGCAACAAACTTTCCTGCCGCCATTTCCCTTTGCTCCCACGGTACAGCACATCACATCTTTCCTCCTTCCAGCACTCACCACCGACGGCTACGGTCCAACAATCACCACTCTCCAACTCCAACACTCAAAGCCGTACGCCACATCTCCCGTTGTCTCCTACTGTCCCTCTGAGCTCGATTTCGAATTTCCTTACCGTCTCCGACCGATTTCCTCTTTTCCTTAATTTTCTTCCTCTCTCCATTCTCTCTTAATTTCCTCACCAAAACAACACGCAAGCAAAAATGGGTCGCGGAGGCTACAACTAAGCATTCCCCTTTTCGTATCTCACACGGCCTCAGCAGTATTCTCCTCTGCTACTCCGAGACCCGGGCGACAACGATTCTACACTCAAACGACGAATAAAGTCACCAATACAAGCAACATGTCCCAGAGAGCAGGCGACGACGGCAGAGGGTGAGCACGATCAACAGTTAAACCCGCATCTTATCACATACCGTGTGCTCACGTTGTTACTCAGCGGCTACAACTACCCTCACCATTAAACCCCACACACCACCCCCTCGACACTGGCCGGCCATGTCCGTCGACCATGCCCTTCTAGCCGGCGAGCGGGCCTCGACCGGCGCACCCTATTTGGCTCTCGTGGCCTCTCTCTCCTTGTCCTTATAATCACCCCTCCTTCTTGATCGATCGGCATTCCGGGATCCCCAATTCCTCATAGCGTTCAAAGCGACAGCATGATAGCGTTCCAGCGAGGTTCTTGGGGGATAGACGGGGAAGCATTTCTGGGAGTTTGAATCATGGGATTGTTTTCTTTTTTTGGCGGGCATTTGCAGGAGCTGCAGCATTACAGGGAGGAGTTTGGACTTTTTTTTTCGCATTGGGAGGATTCAGCATGTGTTGGAGTTTCTTTCTGGAGATATCTGCGACAAGGGCATTTGCAGGCGTTCAAACGACGGCACGACTTTAGACTTGGGATCAAGGACAGCAATGTTCGACATAGACAAGCCGATTGGCGGGGAACGTTCGATAGAGAGATGCCATCGATAGCGCGAGCTAAAACGGGAGGTTCTTCTGCTTCACACCGACTGCCTTCTCACTTTCCCACGCAAAACTTCTCAAACACCACGCCAAGCACCTCTTCCACATCCCCAGACTCCCCTCTCCCAGTAATCTTGGCGAGACAGTCAGCGGCTGCACGCAGGTGCTCAGCTGCCACGACAATGTCTGCTTCTGCTTCTGCCTCTCGCATACCCGCACTCTCCTCCTCACCAGGCTGACTCACGGGCGGTACAGTCTCTGTGAGGAATGCATCGAGGTGGCTGACGCAAGCATCGAGAAGGGTGCGATGCCGCTCACTGGCCCCAAGCGATTCCTGCCAAACGGACGAATCGGACCCCACAGCTGCATCGTCTTCCGGGGTCAAAGCAGCAGTCAGCCTCGCAAATTCCCCAATCAGGCCCTGAAGGAACGTCTGTATGCCTGCTGACGGCGCAGAGGAATCTCCCGTCCGTCGTTCGGCGTCGGATGGCTCCTGCTGCATGCACGATACCACGTGCAGTTTATCTTGGCTTAGGTCCGGGAATTCTCCCAATACATCTCGCATCGCTTGCTCTTGCATAGCCGTGTCTGGGATGAGGTCGGCTTTGTTGATGACGATGATGACGTTGTCCTTCTCTCGAATCAGATGGTTTGCGACGGTGCAGACCTCGGCGTCGAACACCAAAGAGGGTTTCTGATTTATCATCTCTTCGAGACTGAGCACCACAATCACCAGGTCACTGTCGGCTGCTCTCTCCTTGGCGCGCCGCATGCCCTCCTTCTCAATAGCGTTTATGACCTCCGTCGGCTGGCCGCCGGCCCGCGCTTCCTCATTGGCCTGTCGAAGTCCAGCAGTATCTCCAAAGCGACAGAAATAACCCCCAAGATCAAGGCCAATCTCGACAATATCCCGCGTGGTGCCGGCCTCATTGCTGACGATCGCAGCTTCACGGCCCACGATGCGGTTGAGCATGGAGCTTTTCCCAGCATTGGGAGCGCCGAGAAGAGAGATGCTAATCCCATGCCGTAACAATTCTCCGCGTACTGCATTTTGGCGATGCAATTTCAAGGCGGACATGAGCCTTTGAACCTGTTCCGCAACTGAAGCGCAAAGTTCCGTTGGGCTCTCGTCGAAGTGCTGGTCTTCACTGAAGTCGATGAGTGCTTCGAGTTCACCGCGTGCGTACAGAAGTTGCTGCCTCCAGGCTTCGTAGTGCTTCGCCAGCTTGCCTGACGCCCCGCGCACCGAAAGTCGTCTTTGCTGCTCGGTATCCGCAGCTAGCGTATCTCCTAGAGCCTCCACTTGGGTGAGATCAAGCCTACCATTCATGAAGGCTCGCCGGGTGAATTCTCCAGGCTCGGCGTATCGTAGTGTGCATGAAGTCGCGGATTCGCATCTGGAGATAGCTGACAGCACAGCTTTGACAATCGCAGGTCCTCCATGCACGTGAAGCTCCAGAATGTCTGCCAGAAGGTCAGCTACTTCACTGGCTGATCAAGTACCCACAGAGTTTTGGACAGCTGCAGAGGCACGTGGAATGCATTCGGATGCCATCTGTCATCGTACCTTCTCCAGTGGCAGTCGCAGGCATTGGAAAGTATAAAACCAGGGCGCTAGAGTCCAGTGCATGTTCACGATTCGGCTCCTTGCCAGGCTCGTACAGAGTGCGCACAACTGCAGTGCGATGTTTCGGAGGCTTCTTGCCCGGACATAGCTGATGATAGATGTCTAGGCATGCCGGACCAGATATTCTTATCACTGCAATGGCAGCGCGACCAGACGCCGAAGACAACGCGTAGATTGTGGAGTCCTGATGAGTGAAATCTGCTACGCTGGAGCTATGCGTTTGCGAATGGACGGAGCATCCAAAGGCTTTGGGCCCGGCCGCATACTTGTGTCGACTAGTCCATGTCCGTGAGAAGGAGCCGGAGACCGCAATCCAAGGACGTACGAGTCGAGCAGTTGCCGTGCGATACGCGACCGCAATGGATCGCATACAGCGTCTTTCCACAGCGCTCGGGTGTTCCTCCCGAATGAATCGACGGAAACAGATAGCAAGAGCGGGTCGAACTGGATCAGCGTGGCGATAGTATCGGTTGAGACGACCTTCCAGAGGGACAGAATACAGCAGAACTTTTGTGCAATAGCAACCTGCGGCAAGGATTGGATACATGTAGGGCTCCGAAAGAAATGGAACGTGACGTCGCGACGGGCTAAGCCTATTTAGTGGTACATAGCAGTAGCAGCCAGGCGAAACCCTTGGCGTGGCGTGATTTCAAGTTGCGCATTATTGACCGCTATTCTTTACATGAAGTAGGTACACGCACAACACGGGTTCCCAAGCCTTCAACAGAGCTCGCAGGACAAGCCGAACAAGGCTCAACATCAGTTTCTTACCATGACGGCTTCAGCTTAACTCCCCTGGCTGAGGTAGTCACCATGCGTACGACTCTTCCGCTTCTGATTCTGCGCCGGAATGCCAATCTTCGTCTCCACTCACTTCGCTGTCGAGGAAGTCGCCTTCTGTCCACTGGTTCTCGCGTGGACGCTGGTTGTCGATGCGAACGTCCACCACATCGCAAAGACCTTGAATGAACTTTTCTGGTTGTTTGCGCCAGTCTTCAGCTTCGTTCTCATCGGTAGAATCGGAGTCCGGGGTCGGTGTTGTTGACTTGGAGACCTGAACGACATGAGTCTCAGCTACCCGCTTGCTGCGACGCGGTCGTTGTCTAGGTACAGGTGCATCGTCCGAATCAGAGAAGACGTCAGTATCACCTGACGGCTTGTGCGGTGAGACTCGCACATGAGAGAGTTGGCGCTTTGCGACTGTCTGCTCATCCGAATTGTCTCCCAGTTCGTCTTCGTCATCTAACGCAACAGTACCACTTCCATGTGCCTGCTTCCACAGTCGATACTGCCTCAGCGATCCCATGTTCTGGGCAGGATCTTCGATGCGGCGAAGGTAGACACGGCGAAGTCGCTCGATCCACTGATCTCGGAATCCTACCCGGTCACGCCAGGGAATGTTGATATGGGCATGAACCACCAAATGACGCAGGTCCTGCATCTGAGGCGCGCTGTCGATGAGCGAGCGGAAGAGATTCTGAGCTGCCTCGGGCGACCATTTCGAAGCGTGCACCAACTCAAGACGTCGCAGATGAGGAGGCCAAGATGGAGTCTCATCTACAGTCAGGAGCTCATTATAAAGAGGCTCTGCATCGTTGATTGTGAAGCGCTCGCTGTAATAATGCATGTCCACTTTCAATGCCTCTAGGCGCGGGCACAGCTCCTTGAGTCCAGTAAGAAAACTGAGACTGAGGGCAGCGTTGTGATTGAGCACAAGCTCGCGCAATTCAGCACCAGAAGTCTTGAAGTATTCCCTCATCATGTCGCTTGTGATCTCCAAACAATTGCTCAGCTCGAGGCGCCGAAGGTTTGTGGGCAGACGCTGTAAGAATTTGTCCATGACGATGTCGCAAGTCATGAAGGTCAAATCCTTGAGCGACGAGAGCTTGGATATCGAGGTCGCTAGGCCGGGCGGAGGTTCTGTCTCGGGCAATTGTGGATTGAGTTCCGCAACAGGCTCGGAACTGTCCTCGTAGTTGAATCCACACACTACCAAGCGTTCTAACCGGCTAAAAACATTGCTCTGATGAACAGTAGCCATCATTCCATACAGATCAACGACATCGTTTGACGGCAGATGTATCATCTCTCGAGTCCATCGCCAACTTCGCAGCCGTATACGATGCGTGTCCAAAGTGTCGACGAGTTGCCGAGGCTGGAACACCCAACGCTGAATTTTCATGGGTCGATATGGTGGCTTGTCTTTCGGATGTATGATCTCCATATGCTGCAACTGTGGAAGTTTCGCTACCAGGGCGCGAAGATCGAACGGAGGTCTGTTGTGCGCCACATAAGCGAGTCGTGCTACATCGATGTACAGGCTCTGTACTTTGACGTTGTAATCGATGTATCGTTTGTTGCTCGGCATGCACAAGAGATCGAGGAAATGATGCGGCTGCAGATTGGACAGCATGGACGGAGACTGGTAGTAAGCCTCAAGAGCGGGCAGCGCAAATGCTCTACACGTGCGCGCTGCTCGAAGCAACCAGGCGACGTTGGCGCTAGCTTCCGTGGTCTGTTCGTGAATCGGCTGGGATGCAAATACGAAGACATCTCTGAGGATGTTGACCGGCAGCGACGTCCATTGAGGTATGAGGTTGTCAGTTGGTCCTGAGAAGTCCTGTCTCTTCTCCGTTGTTGTCTTGCTATTGGGCTTGCGGGGCTTTCCCACCCTGAACATCGACTTGACGGTCTGCTTGCTCTTTGCTGCGTCGCTCCGTGTCTGCGGCTTGTGTCTCGTCGTTCTGGCTACCTTGCGCTTTTTGGGAGGAGGCGCGGGAGGCTCCACAGGCCGAAATTCTTCTTCACTCTCAGCCTCGAACTCGTCATCCGTCTCGGGGTCGACATAGATGGAGCGCTTGCGACTCGCCGCCTGCCTAGTAGACCGGCGCTTCGTCCCTGGCGCAGCCATCTTGGGACGCCTTGCGAGCGAGAGGGTGGAGCGGTCGAGATTTTGCGGTTGTGCGATGGAGGTGTTGTGTGAATACGATGCGATGCGATGCGATGCGATGCTGTGCAGTGTTTGGCGGACAGGCAGCTAGCAGGTGTTCCTGTAGGGCTGTTGATGTCGTCAAGCGCACAGCGGGAAGCTGCAGCGGTCATTTTAGCGCGGACCTTATGCCGGTACGCACGTGCCTTGATCCACAGACTCAGGAGATCCACCCGATCGGTTCTACTAACACCCATGCATTCACTTCACACTTCACGCCTTACGCCTCACGCCCATTCGCGCATTCGCCCGTCTGTGAGCGCATGCCAAGTCTGGCCTGAGATACGCTTTGCATTCTGAAAATCGCTTGCAATCTCGTGCCTGGTCATATCACTCCAACTGGATGCTGTCCGTGGGACGCGTCTAGGAAGTTCCAAGCTGTCGCGTAAGCGAAAACACGAAGGTTTCGTCGTACGGTACGGAGCATGATATTCGAAGACAACTTCCAGCCTTCCTAGCTGTCTAGCGGCGCCTTGTTCAAGATGAGATTCCGGGCTAATGTCCAGAACATTCACACGTTCACGAAATTCACAGCATCTCTGGCTACTTTGGGCCACATCGCCTGGGTCAGGCTCGATGAGACAGATGTGCGGTTTACCGTCATTCCCGAGCGAGGAACGCAGGTGTGGTCAGTCCTGTCGATTGACACCATCTTCGACACATACACAATACAATCCGCAGCCCCAAACAATACAATAAATCTTGAGGTGCCACTCGCTCCACTTCAACGCGCTCTGAAGAGCGCCCAGAGTGCTATTGCGGCCAGCATCCGACTGACCAAGAAGGACAACATCCCCCTCCTATCTCTCACGATTACCACGCAGACAATGAATAGCAGCGCCCCTTCCGTAGGCGACGGCCATGGCTCGTCTGCAGAGCAAGAGATGAACGGCTTCGGCAGCGGTGCAGGCCTTCGCGAGGGAAGCGCGGATTTCCTAGGCGGCCGGCAGGATCGTGAGACTCTGGTCACTCAAGATGTGCCTGTTCGGGTGCTGGCGCCAGCCTCAGTCGAGGGCTTGCATGAACCACGGTGTCGAGAGCCTGACGTTCACATTGTTCTGCCGAACTTGATGCAACTCAAGGGCATCAGTGATCGCTTTACCAAGCTGGCTTTGTCAACCAAAAGCACGACGCGAACGGGCTTCAACAGCGCTGCGGCGGGGCCCAAATTGGAGTTGAGCAGCAACATGCACGGCTGCCTGCGTCTTGCGCTGAACACCGATGCCATGCGCATCAACAGTCTCTGGACGGGGTTGGAGAATCCAAATCTAGATCCTTCGCAAGTCGTCAATGGCGAAGAAGGGATTGCCAACCATCCAAGTACGAGAATGCGAGAACTTGGCGACTCGTCAGGTTTGAGTGAGGACGGCTGGGCAACGGTGAGGGTGGAAGGTCGCGACTGGGGTAGAGTCCTTAGCGTCGGCAGGCTCGGTGGGAGGGTGATTGCTTGCTTCTGTCATGAGCATGCACTCATACTGTACGTCTATCTAGACGCAGGGCAGCCTGGAGGGGGAGAGTCTGTGCTCACTGTAAGCACAATATATGCGATCGTTATTTACGGCTGCAAACCACTAACGACTCGACAGTATTACATATCCTCATATGCCACATGAAGCATCATATAGCATATGGGAAGGGGTCTACTTGACGGCTGCCAGCAACGATTTTGCGCCGTCCGACTGGCAGTGGCTCTGGGTCTTGCCAAGATTCTCGGAAAGACCATAGCCTTCAGCTGTGCAAAGACGCTCTTTACGAGCAGTTGGATCTCTGCACCAGATGACGCGGCAGACAAGGAGGAAAGTAATGGTCTGCTGTGTCGCGCTGTCTTAGCGTCAGGAGTGCGCAAGGTTGCCCAACGGCTCACATCGACTGCTCATGATTGTCACATGGTGGGGACGCGAGGCGGTTGTATCGTGTCGCAGGATGGAAATGGGTGGCTGTCATGTGGCTGTAGTGCCTTTCCAGACCCCGGCGACGGACTTGATCACCGTGCGACATGCTCGGTCGAAGGCTGTACGAGGCAGATCTGTAAACATAGTATAACTCATGCCTTGTAATAGTATTTGACTTGCTCTTTCTCCTATTCTAATAAGCGAGCCCTGAACTAAATAGCAAAAGGTTTGACAGATCGAAAGTCTCGCCCGCCAGTGAGATTTGGCCGACGCCCAAGCTCGTGGCGCATCTGAGAGGGGCACTAGTTAGTAAGACTCGCTGGGGCTGGCAGGCTTCGAGAGCGCACGCTTTGACGCTCGGCCAACCACCACTCATTCGGAAACTGGACCGAAGAAGAACGACGACGCGCGCAGTGACACGCCGTTTGACCAGTCGAGTGGTCGCCGACATCATCGCCCCCAGCACCACGCCGTGCATCGCCGCGAACGACACGAAGAGCACGGAGGTACGTTGTCTCGAGAGTCCCCCGTCGCGGCGGGTCGGAGCAGTAGCAGCAGCGAAGGCGAACAGATTGGGTGTGAGTTTCTGGACGTCGCAGCCTGGTAGCGGGCTTGTGAGCGAGTGTGCACGCGTGGGTACGCTGGGCGTAGCAGGAAGGGAGCTGGTGAAGAGAGAGGGAATACTGGGCATAGCAGTGAACAGAGAGGGCGAGCAGTCGGACTGGCCACACTCAGTAGCGGGCGTGCGCCTTGAGCGCCAGGCCAACTATCCGCCGGCGACACCATGTTTTCTCACAGTGACAAGTCCCGCCAGTCGAGCGGCGGCAAGAGTTTCTTCTCCCGGAAGAAAGACAAAGCGAACGACCCGCCGCCGATGCCCGAGCCCGCCGCGCGACACAGTCAACGCAGCTCGATATCCACGATAGAACAGGAGGAGTACGCCCGTCTCAATGGCGGCGCTGCTGGTCAAGATGGGCTCGCAATGCAGGCTGGCGTCCTCACTAGTCTGCCCTACGATGCCATGGCCAAAGACACCAGGCCGCCCGTCCTGGTCGATCACGCGGACAGACCAGTCTCAAGACGAAATGAGCCGCTCCCCCATCACCTGAACAAAGGAGGAGGAGACTTCCACCAGTATCCGGCCATTGATGCCAGCGGGCTCCCTCCCAGGCCGCCGACCCATGGCAGTACCGTCACTCGCGGAGGTACCACTCGCTCCTTCGAATCCGACAACAACGGATACGCGCAGTCACGAAGCTCGAGCGATCACGGCAGCGTGCGTTCCAACTCCTCGTACGACCGGAGACAATACATGCACGCGAGTGCCAGTCAAGCATCCTTTGCGCCAACGCACCAAGATTATTCACATTCGCCGCTGAGAGGCTCTTCTACACCACGCGGAGCGGAACAACATCCACAGTACTTGAATGCGCATAATCCTTCAGCGTTCTCGAGTTCGTCTTCATTTTCGCCAGAGGGATTCCTACTGCACAGGCCTACCGATGACAGGATCATTGAGAAGGAGTTTCTGGAGTTGATGCTCAAACGTGGATGGAAAAGTCTTCCAGAGCAAGCAAGAAGACAAATGGAGGCCTACCCGATCAATAAGAAGTGGACGCTGGTGCACCAGGATAGATTGGCCGAATGGCAAGGCGAGCAGAAACGCCGGAATATGGCGAGGAACACTGTCACCAGCACCGATGGCATCAGCCTGTTTGGAAGGATTGACGAAGAAGGTGCACCAGAATGGTATGTTAAGAAGATACTGGACAACACCATCACGCCGAAACAGCTACAGAGCTTGGCTGTCAGTCTGCGAACGCAACCCATCGCGTGGGTGAAAGCTTTTGTGGAGGCGCAAGGGCAGATTGCTCTGACGAATGCTCTGGGAAGATTGAACAGACGACAGGTTTCTGGACCAGCACCTGCTAATGGCTCGACCTCGGAACGGGACCTGGATCGCGAATACGACATCGTCAAGTGTCTGAAGGCGTTGATGAACAACAAATATGGCGCCGACAATGCTTTGCAACATGACACCATTGTTATGTCCCTGGCTGGATCACTGACTTCACCTCGTCTGAATACAAGGAAGCTAGTCTCGGAACTACTAACCTTCCTATGCCACTGGGCCGATGGACAGGGACACGTGAAGGTCCTATCAGCACTCGATCATTTGAAGGCACAGCAGAACGAAAATGGACGGTTCGATGCCTGGATGCGTATCGTCGAGGTCACCATCGATGGCCGTGGCAAGATGGGCTCCCTTGTGGGCGCTTCAGACGAAGTCCGGAGTGGTGGTATTGGCATGGAGAACCTGCTCATGGAATATGCGGTCGCTTCTCTCTTCTTAGTAAATTCAATGGTCGATGCCCCGGAGAGAGACCTGCAGCTACGATGCCATATCCGGGCGCAATTTGTCGCCTGCGGTGTAAAGCGTATCCTCACGAAGATGGAAGATTTCCAATACGACATTATTGATAAGCAGGTTGAACGGTATCGAATCAATGAGGCGATTGACTATGAGGATCTCCTGGAGCGGGAAAACAGCTCTATGCACGAAAGCATGGAAGGCGAGGGCAAAGACCTGAACGATCCTGTGCACATCGTCGAGGCCATTCAGCAGAGGATAGCGGGTAGTAAAGAAGGCGACTACTTCCTATCCGCATTGCAACACCTCCTACTTATCCGGGACAACGAAGGCGAGGATCGACTCAAGTTGTTTCAACTTGTTGAAAGCATGCTCTCCTATGTAGCAATGGATCGGAGGCTGCCAGACATGGATCTCAAGCAATCTCTCAATTTCTCCGTCCAGAGTCTAATGGACAAGCTATACACTGATTCTGAGGCACGACAAGCAAGAGAAGCCGCTCACGAAGCCAAGTTGATCGCGGATGCGGCAATCGCAGAGCGCGATGAGATGAAGTCGCAGGTCGAGCTAGGTGCGGATGGGCTTGTTGCGAAATTGCAGAAACGACTGGACGAGCAGGCCGCTATAATCGATCTGCACGCAAGGCAGACAGAAGCCTTCAAGGCTGAGCTTGCGGAACTGCACAGGATTCGTGCGCAAGATCTGCAACGGAATGAGCTCGAAACCAGAGAGCTCTACCTTATGCTTCGGGATGCGCAGGATATCGCGGCATCGAGCGCCAAAAAGTCAGGCAAGAATGGGGCACAGGCCGACCCAGCTACCATGAAAGGCATTCTGGACCGGGAGCGGCTCATGGATCGATTGGAGATGCAATTGGAACGCGCCAAAACACAAGCCAAGCTGGAAGGCAAAGTATGGCAGCAATTCAATCCTAGCGACAAGCTTAGAGAGCTTCGCGAGAAGATGGAAGGTGCCGGTCTGCAGCCAGATGGGCTCGATTCACAGATGCAGTATCTTGGTTCTGCTCCTCGCACGAAGAGCGCGATTCAACGCAAGCCTCTGGCGCGCAAGGATGCCGAAGAATCCACCTACGGCGAGGAGATTGAAATGGACCTTAGTGAAGAAGATGCCATCTACGAGAAGCCGAGACTGGTGGAGATGAAGAGACCAAAGATTCCAACAGCCGTCGCTCAAGCTCAGCAGGGCATGCTTTCTGAACTAACGAGCAAGACGCAACGAATTGACGGCAGCGACGACGAGGGAGATGGTATTACCACCGGCCCAAGCCATCCAAGCTTGGAAAGCGAAAGCCCGCGGACTCCAACTAGCGACAGCGCAGACCAGCCCAAAGGCAAATTTGAGAAAGGACCGGAGTCAGCACCTCTTCCGCCGCCGATACCTTCAACGTTTGATGGCGCTCCACCTCCTCCGCCGCCTCCCATGCCTGGCTTCTCTAACAATGCTCCGCCACCCCCGCCGCCTCCTCCTGGAGCTGCTGGCTTCAAGACCAATGGCGCTCCTCCGCCGCCTCCAATGCCCGGCTTTTCTGCTGCTGCACCCCCTCCTCCTCCGCCACCTCCTCCTGGTGGTTTCGCAAATGGCGCTCCACCTCCGCCGCCACCGCCTGGGGCACCTCCCCTACCTGGACAACGAGCAGGTGGGTTCTTGCACAAGCCATTTTACACTGGAGCACCTGGCTCCGTTGGTCCAATTGCGCCCAGACCGAAGAAGAAGCTCAAAGCTCTGCACTGGGAGAAAATCGACTCGCCAGAGATCACGATGTGGGCAGCACACACTCCCACATCCGAGCAAAAAGAAGAGAAGTACCAGGAACTCTCCAAGAAAGGCATTCTCGACGAGATTGAGAAGTTGTTCATGGCCAAGGAAATCAAGCAGATTGGCAAGACCAGCAGCAAAGCTAAGAGCGAGAAGAAGCAGGTCATCGCCCGAGACCTTGCGCATACGATGCAAATCAGCCTTGCCAAATTCTCTAATCTCGATGCCGAAGAGGTAACACGCATGGTCATCCACTGCGACCGCGATATCCTCGACAATGAGACTGTTATGGAGTTCCTTCAACATGAACAACTTTGTACACTGCCCGACAATGTTCAGAAAGGACTTCTGCCATATTCTAAGGATTGGGCCGGAGCGGATGCGCTCAAGACCGCACGAGAGCAGGATCCGCAAGAGCTCACAAAGGAGGATCAGATCTTCCTGTACACTGCATTTGAATTGCGCTCTTATTGGAAGGCTCGAATGCGAGCGCTGGCATTGACCCGAAATTACGAAGGTGAATATGACGAAATCTCTGGCAAGATCAAACAAGTTGTCGACGTATCTGAGGCTTTGCGGGACTCCGTGAAGCTCATGCCTGTCTTTGGACTCATCTTGGATATTGGAAACTACATGAACGATTCCAATAAGCAAGCTCATGGCTTCAAGCTATCATCGCTTGCTCGGTTGGGAATGGTCAAAGACACTAACAACGAATCTACTTTGATGGACTACGTTGAGCGTGTTGTTCGGAAACAATACCCACAGTACGAAGGCTTCGCTGACGACATCCATGGTGTCCTTGACACCGCAAAGATCAACATGGAGCAGCTGCAACAGGATGCTAAGAAGTACATTGACAACATCAGCAACGTGCAGTCATCGCTTGACGCGGGAAATCTGAGCGATCCAAACAAGTTCCATCCAGAAGATCGAGTGAGTCAGGTTGTTCAAAGGTCGATGAAGGAAGCTCGGCGCAAGGCAGAGCAGATGCAGCTCTACCTGGACGAAATGAATCGGGTCTACGACGACATTCTCACCTTTTTCGGCGACGATAACAAGGATGAAAACGCAAGGCGAGAGTTCTTCACCAAGCTTGCTAATTTCTTGAAAGAATACGAGGTAAGTGATCGAGCATCTTGCTACGAGTAGTGACCAGACCTGACTATTTCGCAGAAATCGCACAAGAAAAATCTCGAACTTGAAGAAGTTTGGCGTCGAAATGAAGAGAATATGCGTCGTAAGCAGCTGAAAGGGCAGGCCAGCAGTAATAACATTACTGCATCGGATGCCGGGACTACCACCGCTCCTACGGGCGCCATGGACGCTCTGATGGAGAAGCTCCGTGCGGCCGCGCCACAAACACGCGACCAACGTGATCGAAGAAGGCGTGCTCGTCTGAAGGATCGCCACCAGGTACGCGTGGCGTCGGGACAGCAGATCCCTGAGACCGGAGAGAACATGAGCGAGACCGGCTTGCTCAGTCCCGCCAAGACCAACGACTCAGAAGAAGCGGCTCCCATCGAAGAAGCTGCATCAGAAGGCGAAGACATTGCGGATCGCGCTGCATCGATGCTCCAAGGCTTGAGAGGAGATGGCGAGGGAGAAGGAGAGGCTCTCGCTCGCGACGGCTCTCTCAATGTACGACGGCGTCGTGAAAGCGCCAATGACGAAAGAGCACAAAGGCGAGCCAGAAGGAGAGGTGCTGGTACCAGCACTGACACGACCGCTCAGAGCACGATTACCGAGGAGACGGAGGCCACTGCAGGAGTGCCGCCCACGGAAGAGAACGACACTAAAGAGGAAGAAAGCCGAAGAGATTCTGAAGAGGAGCAGTTGCCGACGCCGACTACTGTCGTTGTCCCACCTTCACCAACAGCATCCGAAGGCAAGAGATCCGAGGAGTAGCGGGCGCTCCATGGGAACGAAGCGACGAATGTACATAGCTTTAATGTCAAATGTTGGTCGCTGTTGAGGGTTGAGGGCTGCCCTAGGGAAACGTTGATTAGCTGAGCTGCATTGAGCGTTGGAGCGTGGAGTTGTATCGCCGCTGAAAAGGATTCTTTTGATTTGATACTTGTGGGGTCGAACAGTATTGATATTAATTGTTTCGAGATCTTCCCGTCCTTCAGGTCCTGCTTGTATGCAGCTTTCTCGAAATTGCGTGCAATAATGCCATGAAGCTTTGTCTTTTGAGCAAGTTGATCAAACTGCAGAGTGATATGCCCAAGTTTCACTTTTGAATCGCGTCTTCGATGGCTCTGGCATGCGCGTCGCCATGATTAGTTAGCTAGGTATCGCGATCACATGCATACTGCCGTGAGACTCAAGCAACAGAAGAAGCCTAACTTTGGAGGTGGATCTAGCTTTGAATTACTGATGATACAATCTCCGCCGTTTTCGGCTAATGCCTTCGCATGGCATACATTGCCTCCTCATAACAAACGAATGCGCACTGAACACACCACACTTCTGCGCTGCCGTCCAGTACTGACTTGAGTTCATGGTGCAAGGGGTCTTGGAACTCTGAAGAGGTGCACCGGCGTATCTGGGTATGAAGCCTGGCAGAATTCCTTGCTACGTATACTGCGCCCACTGGCCATGCAAAGCCGTCCTCTTGCGTCTCTGCCGCGGTGTCGCAGCTAGTGATCGTTGGCATTTCTTTTGGAGACCATCTGTTCCAGGGCTGTAGCCTAGATCATTGACGAAGATTTGAAATAAGCCCTTAGATCAGCGACGTTGAGCTTGAGATATGGACTTGTGTCGTGAGAGCTCCCTAGGAGGACAGTCATTTGTCCCAGGGTGATATATAATATGGTGGCGTCTTGAGGAAGGGTCTATGCCCCAGAGCTGGCGTTTGCAGGTGCATGTATTGCGCGTCCAATCTGATAGCTGAGTATGTTTGGTAGAAGGAGCACTTCGTGTGATGGTTCCCGTGGGTTGGTTATGTAGGAGAGAAGCTTCGTTGGTTCCATATATGTGCAAGACTAGCCAATTCAGAACAAGATTGATGAGTGATTAGATCTCAGCATGCATGCCTACCTTGCAGAGCCTGGTCGAGAATTCCGTCCGAATGCCAACGGTTCCGGCAGGCTAGGGAAATCCTTACATTGGGAAGCGCTGGAGGAGTAGACCACGGATGATGCGATGGCCCATAACTCCGGTGAGCAATGTCCATGATATCACGGTGCGCTTGTAAATCTATTACGGCATGGTCTGTCCAGTTAATCTGGGGGCGGAAAAGTGAAGAAAGCCCGCTCATCGCAGCCCTTATCAGCAATGAGTACGGACCGAGGCCAACGAGCCGGTAGCGGAGGAGGGGCGACCATACTGTAAGCGACAACAAAGCTTCCTTAAGCAGAGATCTAGGTGGGGTAAGAGAGCACAGAAACGAGAGCCAGGGAGGAAAAAGAGGATGTGTTGGGCGCGATCTCTTTCATCGCGCTCTTGTTGCCTACGTGTGGAAGCCGGAGTATAGTGAAAGAGTGCTACGTTTGGCCACCTCTGAGCGGTATGCACCTTTCCGTGGGTGCGCATCTTTCGCAAATTGTCTTCGAGAGCTCCAACACGTCTCGTGAAAGCAGCGGCATCGGAGTGCGTATGCACAAATGTGTGTTGTTGGGCCTTTTCGTCGCAATAGAGTGCCCGCAAAATGGTTCGGTGTTAGGTTGGTGTTGACCGCTTGGAAAGAATGATCATGCTGAAACGCCATGGCGCTGTTGGCTCACTAGAACGTTGTCACGTATGAAATGTTTCTCAGGAATACTCGTGGTCGTTTGACTATCCTTCGTGTCCGATGAAAGGACGGAGCCTGAGTGAGCACGTGAGATGTTGTTCAGAGTGAGGTTGTATTTGGCTTGGCCGCTGTAACTCTATCGATGTTGTGGCCCGTGCGTCCATCATCCTCCTTGTGCTGTGGATGACATGGACATATCGTCTCTGTACATCACCCACTACGCACTACCTCGATACGTGGAAGACGGCCGGCACACGATTTCCCCTTTGTCAAATGATTCATGGCCTGAGATCAGACTGGGGATACGCCCTATTTCTGCCACGCAATTTCTCGGCATCCCTCTCTCTTCCAAGGACTCCTTCCCGCAGCGAACTCCGGCTCCGCTTATACCTCTCGTAATTTAATTACAAGTCACAAGCCAAAGGCCTTAGTCATGGGCTTCTTCGAAGTCTTCAAGGTGCGATACATCGATGTCCAGCTTCCCTGCAACACGTACTGACCCCAACAGGCCATCTTGATACCTGCCCTTATCGCAGCGGCGATCTACCTCGTCGGCGCATTCGTAATAGCCCCAGCGATCAGACGTTACAGAAACAAGTACAGCCAATATCTCCCTCTCGACTCGTTATCGCAACAGACAAACTTGTTTCGGGACAGGATATCAAATGGCATAAGAAGACTGGTGGTGCCGCGCCAGATGGTGGTCTATGATGCCTCGGGCAGCAGGAGAGGGAGCGCGAGCGGTGACGAGTTTGTCTTTGAGGATGCGGATGGTGATAGAATGGTTGGGTTTGATGTCAACAGAAGCGATCGCCAAGTAAGAGGTGCGAATGTTGATAGTGAAAATCGGAGGATTGAGGAAGTTTGAGAAGATGGGCTCCTCCTCTGGAACCATTTGCGAGATTGCGGACTGCCACCCACCTGGTACAAGGCTTGAGCAAGGCCTCAATAGCGACAGTGCCTCAAATTGTCACAGCAACTCTTCAACGGTCCTCGCACTGTCCCAAGACGACACGGACGACGGCTGGCGAACCTCTTCATGCCGCCTATACAAGACCGGGCGATACGTCTAGTCATGGCTCATCATATCCTCAAGACTGCTTCTTGAACCTGTCGCGCGTAACACAGACGATTCACGTACGAACGAGCGAACCGATCGCGCGACGAAATACATGTACAGAAGCAGATCCCCGGGCGAGCGCGAGAATCCACCAAGACAAAGTGGGCCGCTCTTAAGGCGATTGCATCTCTCGATTCGATGGATAACGCTCACTATATCTTAGCGAAATAGTCCGGCTGACAGTCAGCCATGCGTTGCTTTAGAAGCTCTTCTGCCGCAATATCTACCATGTTCTGAGTCACACGCAGAAGACAGTCATCGAGAGGTTAACGCTAACCCTGTGTCTTTGAATTGACATGAGGAAGAAGTCCCGACCCATTTGAGCCTGCACGTATTGACGGAATCAGAAGTGTGATACACGTGAAGAGATCGTCGCCACAGCTTCCGATGGCATCATAGCTCCTTGCGCAACACAGTCTGTTGACTATCGATGCAGTGGATCCCAGGTCATGTCTCTTAACATATACGGTTGTATCTATTAGGGCCAGCAGTGAAGCACATGCACATTCCTGACATCGCTTGGCACGAGTGAAAATCCGGTTGAGTCTGCCAGTAGGGCGTAAGGGCGTCATTATTGAGTTTGTACAGGGCGCAGACCACCTGCAAGATATGTACAGACTGCGCGTTCGATCTCATGATTCTGAAGCGGTGACTCAGAGGAAGGCTGATTGAATCGAGTTTGACAGCCAGGATTGCAACATTAACATTAAAAGCTCCTTCCTTCCTTGCCCTTGCAACGGACGGACTCAAACCATTTGACGCAAAGGTCCATCGAGAAATTCACGATCAGCCGCAACATCATCCAAAAAATCTGCACTCATGGCCCCGGTGGCACGAGGTGAGCCCACTGCAACTCCTACAGATCCCTCGCTAACATCCCACGAGAACTCGGTCCTGAAGTGCCCTCCACGCCTGCCGCACTGCCCAACAACTCTCACACACTGCAAAGCCGCCATGTCACACTGGAGGGTCTCCACGAATCTCACATCCCTAGCCTTTGGCGGAATTTGCGTCTGTGGGAGAATGGCCATCTACTGGACTATCTTCCAATGCTAGTCCCTCAGTCGGAAGATGAGCTATGGCAGAGACTTTCGAAAATGTCGACGGAGCGCGGCTTTGTTCTCTATGCCATCAAAGCCGACCCGTCGCAAGTGAATGCGGGATCGAAGGGGGAAAGGAACCACACGGAAGTCTTGGGTGTCATCGCGTACCTCAACATCGTTCCGGAAAACCGCGAGATCGAAGTCGGCGGTGTGCTCTTTGGTCCTGCACTCCAGCGCTCGGCTGCTGCGACAGAGGTACATTACCTGGTACTTCGGAACGTCTCCGAGCCTGATTCGCCTGGTCTTGGAGGCTCTTCGCTTCCGTATCGCCGCATCGTGTGGAAATGTGACCGTCTCAACCACCGGTCGCGTCGTGCCGCTGAACGGCTGGGATACGTGTTTGAGGGAAGATTTCGGAAGCATTGGATTGTCAAGGGGAGGTCACGGGATTCGGATTTCTTGAGCATCGTCGATGATGAGTGGCCTGTCGTCAAGGCTGCACTGGAGCAATGGCTCGACGACGGAAATTTTGATGCGGAAGGACGGCAGGTTAGAAGGCTTGATGGTATTCGAGAGGAACTCAGTAGATCGACAGCAGAAGCGTGATACAAAAAGATGTTTCGTGCAAGGGTTTGATGCCACATCGCCTGTGAACATGGCTTGAACGTACCGCTTTCAAAGTTCGCATGTGCGAACAGTATGCTGTCCGAGTGGATTCGAATCTGGCCAGTGTTCTAGAGTTGAGAGCGCTTGCTGGAGCAGCGGAAGTACAGATATGGCGCTCTCGTAGTAGCTTGTCCAGGCCTCCGTCCTCGAGGTAAGCAGCATAACGACACTGACACACGCTGTAATTTCCCGCACCCAACGCCTTGCCGCTTCGCCTTGAGAGCATACAGTTTTGACTGCTTCACACACGTCTGACCCGTTATCTCCTTTTCTGTGCTCCCTTGAATATCATACCTCCAACGACTCCCGCAGCGACCGCCAGACCTCCTACAATAGCCATACCCATGAGACCTTCCTTGTTCACTTTATCTTCCACCAACTGGCTCAGACTCTGTGCTTGTAGATTATTCGGTTCGATCTCGAGGAGGCTATCGTTGTATCTTCTTGCTTCGGCGTAATTTCCGAGTTTGTAATTGCCCAGAGCAAGATAGTAAAGGCATTCTCGTCGTCGGTCTGGGCTGGCGCGAAAGATGTCGGAGAGCAGGCGAACGCCTTCTTGTTGGTCGGATCGATCGGCGGATTTGATTAATCCCTAGGAGATTAATTAGAGATTGCGCATCTGCGTCTTCTCCGCCGGAACATACCCATGCAAAGTTGAACTTTGTCTGGAGAGACACATATTCGCCTTCCTTTTCGTACTGAGAGCGTAAGACCTGGAGCTCTGCTGGCTTCAAGGGACTGCGGGCCGATGCGTCAGTCAGTCAGTCGAAGCATCGTATACAGGGAAATCCATATAGACGTCTTCTCATGGTCGCGAAGACCTGTGTCACAAGATAAGACATACCTCTCAGCATCAGCAGCATCTGTGAGCCGAAACAAGTTAGCCAGCCTTTCAACAGATATCGTGGTGTCCATGATCGTGTCGTCGAAGGCTCAAGCTTACACGGTAGATGTTCATTCCCCATTGTGAGTCGATGTATCCAAAGAATCTTCGAAGTGACGAGAAGTGAGCTCGTGAACAGTTGACTACTGCCTTGCGATCTTCACATGTCTCAGGGCAGGTGCGGGTACGTCATGCGGTCCGAGTGCTGCTCCGCGAGGTCAACGGCAGCGGTCCGCCGCGTCCGCGTCCGTTGCTCGGGAACCACTTTTGTTTGGGCTGAGTGTCAACATTGAACGTTGCGAACGAAGCAATCAACGAACACACGCAATCCGCATAATCTAGAAAGCATCGCGATCGTCCGATCTGACACCGTCCGGACAGCGCCGCGCTCGAGATTGCAGCTGTGTAGATATACCCATTCCGTCCGACTGTCGCGCAACACCCATCCCGAAAATTCCGGTCGCAAAGATGGTGCTCTTCGATGAGGATCCGGTGGACGTATGCACGGCAGCTACAAGAGACGATACAACATTGCGGCCACTGACCAAGTCATAGTTGATGTCCGAAGCGACCAACAAATTCCACATCGCGCCCGACAAAGACAGCCTAACACGCGTTTCCGGCTCTCTGCACGCCCTCGCAAGCGCTCGGCAATCGCGGATCGATCACCAATCGGCAATCCTGAGCAGCTTGAGCAGACGTCTCAATATTCTCAAGGGCCAATACGACTATGAAGAAGAACGACACGACGCGGGAAGGCATGCAGCGGAGATGCTCAAGATGGACACGGAGAAGTTTCGGATCGCGAAGGGGGTGAATGATGCGGAGATTGAGAGCGAGCGGTTGAGTGGCGAGTTGGCGGCGTTGAAGCAGCAACTGGAGACACTGGAGAAGGAGGGTGTGGAGGGGGGTGCGAGGAGAGGCAGTGAAGGGAGGGAAGATGAGCTCATGCACGTTGCTTGCCTGTTGACGACACTTTGGTCGACCGTCTGCTAATTGTCTCGCACAGATTGAAGCTGAACTTCTATCGCTCGCTGGGCATCGATGCCCAGCAAGACTGGAATACCGGAGAGTACACACGGGCGATCATTCGCAATACCGCTCGAGGCGACGTCAATGTGCTGGATGTGGACGGCAAGCAAACGCAGGGCGCGTTGGCAAATCAGGTCTGGGAGAGCCTCTAGACGGGGAGACTCATTGGCGTTCATGGAGTATAAGGAGGGTAGATACCAATGAAAGGGAATTGACGAAATGTTCGAGCATAGCCTAACGACATTCCCACGAGAGGCAACTCAAATGTGTAGTTGGGAGTCCGGGATTGATTTACGCTTCTATTTACCGTTTCGAAGACTGTGGATCCGCAAGAGAGCCCTTACTTCCAACGGTACACTCCTGATCCAAGCGATAGTCCCCGCAACCAACGGGCTACGCAAAGAGCACAAGGAAAGTTGGAAGGCACCTGTTGAAGAGCTTCGACAGTGCGTGGATCGCCTGCGCCCTGTGAGCTGGCATTGAAAGACGCATCTCCGAATGAGCCCGTACTGGATTTGACAACAGCAAGCTCCGATGGTGGATTTTCCACTCGTTGACCCCTCCTTTCGGGGCCTTCGAATGGCTCCTCATCAGATCATAGCGGAGCGCTTTTCCAGCATGGCGTTGACAAGATTGGACGGTGCCGGTAAGATCTCCTTGCGGAGGGTGAGGCGGAGGAGGAGAAGAAGACGAGGAAGACTTACCCACGCACGCATTCCTCCTCTCGCGGAGCCAGGTTGGGTGTCGTTGAATGGGAACTGGGAAGAAGCATGACTGGCCGTGCAGATTCCGAAGGGAAGATGGCTGCCGCGTGGCTTGGTCCTACAGTAAGTAAGTAGTAAAGGTACTCGGTACAAGTAAGATAGTGATTGATTGATTGATAGGAAGGCAACCCCCCAACCACCAACAAGAGACACAAGCCAGCATTCTTGCACGGCTGGGTATATGCATGCACGTCTTTTCTTGAAAAACGTTGAGAAGATTCCGAGCAACAACAACCACAACAACAACAACAACAACAACCACAACAACCACAACAACAACAACAACAACAACAACAACAACAACAACAACAACAACAACAACAACAACAACAACAACAACAACAACAACAACAACAACAACAACAACAACAACAACAACAAGAAGAAGAACGCTTATCTTGTAATAATGATACTGCTCCATCCATGGCAGGATTTCGAGATGATTCTCAACGGAAGCCGACTTGCTGTATTGTTGTTCCATGGATTCGCCCGCGTGCTTAAAGTATCCAGATAACTGCCGTGTGGGAAAAAAGTACTTGTACAGTACAGCTGCATCCACGGACGGGGTTGTTGAGACGACGTGGTGGTGGTGGTGGATCGAGAGGATTATTATTATTACTGGCGAGCCTCCGACAAAGCATGCCCTCTGGCACCACTCACTCACGCCCGGCAGTTGTGTTCTGGAGATGGGACACAGTCCTGCCAACAAAGACCACGCAGCACGTGCCGTGGGTCTGCTCGAGGCCAAAGCACAGAAAGGGTGTTGTCGTGGATGGCTGAGAGCCACCGACATGGAGAATCAAAGTCCATGGTGGGGATGGCTTCCGGGCACCTCGGCAAGTGATGCAGCCAGTATCTGCCGGCTCGCCTGCCCAGCACACAGTGTGGCAGTCGGCTCTGGGCTGGTCAGTGGTCACTCGATCAATCAAAGCCTTCCACACAGTCCCGCCAGACAGTGGAGTGCCACTACTCCCAGGCGCCAAACAGCGCAGTAACGCGCGCGCAGAGAACGGGAAAGAGCAATTGCCGTTCCTTGGCCAGTTTGTGCCCACACTCCCATTCGCATCATCAACTCCCGGAGTGAGAGTGCCTTCTTTCCTGCACCAGTTTCCTTTCCACCCCCCCCCTTCCGTGTCCATTCCAGGTCAAGGCCAAGTCAACAGCCATCAAGGTGCATACTACCACTCCCAAGATACAAAAAAGATGCCTGTCACCAAGCTTCCCTTCCACGCCGACCACATCGGTTCCCTGATCCGTCCGACGTCCGTCTCAGCAGCGCAAGAGAAGGCCGATGCGGGCGAGATCTCCCAAGAACAGCTCAGCGAAGTACAGCAGAAAGAGATTGCAGACATTGTAAAGAAGCAGCAGGATCACAATGTGCGGGCTTTGTGCTCGGGTGAGTTTGACAGGAAGTACTACTTTTCCGGTTTCTTTGAGAAGCTGGATGGCTTCAAGGAGGTCAGTCCTGTGCCATGGGAGGTGACGAGGCTCTCTGCCGCGCCGATTGCAGCCTTGAAGAAGGCGGGCAAGCAGTACCCCATGGCTGCGATTTGCGATGGGAAGATCAAGTACTCGAAGAGCCCGTACCTGGACAACTGGAAGCTGCTGAGGAATGTGGTATCCCAAGAGCAGTGGAAAGAGTGCAAGTTCACAATGCCACCTCCATGCTACTTCCACCTGCGCCTTGGCCCTGGCAAGTGTTACCCCAAGGAGGTATACCCGAACGATGAGGCCTTCTTCAGCGATCTTGCCGCCGCATACCGGCAAGAGTTCAAGACTCTGTACTCCGAGGGTCTCCGCAACATTCAGATCGATGATCCGACATTGGCGTACTTCTGCTCCGAGGACATGCTGAAGGGTCTGCGGGAGGATGGCGAGGATACGGATAAGATGTTCGATGTGTATCTGAAGGCGCACAACGACTGCATTGCTGACCGGCCCGATGACCTTCACGTCGGACTGCACATCTGCAGAGGTATGGTGGCTCTGTACAGGACTGAAGCGTCTACGTTAGCTAACGACGGCCAGGAAACTTCTCGAAATCCATGCACTTCTCAGAGGGCTCCTACGAGAAGATCGCAGAGAAGTTCTTTCAGACTCTCAACTACGACACCTTCTACCTCGAATACGACAACCTCCGATCAGGTGGCTTTGAGCCCCTGCGTTTCCTGCCCAAACACAAGAACGTTGTGCTTGGCGTGGTGACGACCAAGGATCCTCAGTTGGAAGATGCTGAGTTGATCAAGAGCCGCGTGCTGGAGGCGGCGCAGATCATTGGCAAAGGGCAAGGGAGGAGTGTGGAGGAGGCCATGGAGAACATCGGGATCAGCCCGCAGTGTGGTTTCGCCAGTGTGGCAGTTGGCGCCGAGGGAATGACGGAAGAGAAGATGTTTGCGAAGCTGAAGCTGGTGCAGGATGTAGCAAAGCAGCTGTGGCCGGACCGACGGTAAGGGATTAGCATGTGAAAGCGGATCATGTAGTGTGCCGCATCACGAGACACCGAAAGGTTATTTCCACGGGCCAACTACTGTCTTGGCGCTGTCTGACTATCCGTGGTCTGTGATTTCGTTTGGACACACTGGCAACTGGGCAGCAAATGTGTGGCAGTGTGGTGTCACAAAGACATGTCCTTGCTCAGGAAGCCTCGGCAGTGTCAGTGTCAATGTCAGTCACAAGTGGTCGTGTCAGTGTCAGTGTCAGTGACAGTATCAGTGTCAGTGTCACAGTGGAAGAAGACAACATTCGGAAAAGTGGTTCCAGTCCAATAGCCGATGGCTTGCGAGCGCTACTCGTATGGTTGTTGAGCTGTAGCATGATATCGTGGCGCACCGCGAGCATGCAGCTTCGAGGGAGCTGTGCCGAGTCTTCATGGTGAACCACAGCAGTATGTTGATGATGTCGCTTCTCATCACTGCGGGCAGATGTCTCGAGGTTGCGGTCTCGAGCATCCCAGTAGCCGGACCCTGCTATTGCGAACCGCGAGCCAATGAGTGAGCGCAAATGCGCGGGTGCGAGAACGAGGCGCTATCTGTGTATGATGCTTAGATCGCGTGAAGGCTTATCCGCTGATGTGGTGAAACGGTCGTCCCAACGACTGTCTGACAGTAGTGATGAGGTGCGTGGGCGGTGGTGGGCGACAATGGTGATGGCCACGCGAAAGCGTCTCGTTGGTACGGGCCATGACTCTGGCCTCTCATCCGGGGTATGGCAGGCTGGAGGAGACATTTGATGGGGGGATCATCCGGTGGAAGGCAGAGACAGTGGCAGTGGCAGTGGCAGTGGCAGTGGCAGTGGCGTTCCATCGACGCGGAGGCAGTCGGGGCAATGCGCCTTCGGCAACTAGAAGATGAGAAGCGTAGATCCGAGGCGCTTGAGTGGACGAGTCGCGGCGCAACTTCGATCCACGAGCGTTAGGAGAGGCACTAATAACACATAAGGCTCCTGGGTCCCTGAATTCTTCGAAATTGTTGGGGATCAGAAGGTCTTGGCATCTTATCTGTATATTGGCGGCCCGCTGCCGTACCTCGCAGACCGAACCTTGAAGATTCTCCCGGCAACAAGTGCGCTGTTGTAAGTTGCTGTGAGTTGTCGTGAGCTGACGGAGAGGCCCGCACGCGAGACGGCGACTTGGAGATGGCATTCACCACCGCATCCCATCATCCATGCCGGTGAAGTTACGTGCTGTGGGTGTGGTGTGCATGGGAAAAGGTAGGAAGAGAGTGTGATGTTAGCGCATCGCATCTAGAACCCCGGTTGTTGTTGTTGTTGTTGGAGGTCGAGGCAGGGTACCTGGGTACAGTAGTAGTCAGGTCAGGTAGGTGGCACACTGCGAGGCGAGAGCGAGCGGGCGGTCAGTAGTCGGGCTCAGCTCAGCTCAGGGTCAATGTGGTAAGGTGTGAGGGAACCGGACGGGATTGTCAGGGCGGGCGGCGGGCCAGATAATTTTTTTTGGCACGCTGCTGCACACTGTGCTCTACTGTTTACCTGGCCCGTCCCTTCTTCCGCTTCCACCATCATCCCACCCACACACTCGCCCTCTCAAAACCGAAACTCCTCTCCTTCACCCATCTCTCTACCTTTATTAACCTCCGCTCTCTCCTCTCCTCTCCCCCTCCCCCTCCCACCCGCACCGCACGACACTCCTCGTGCCCCCTCAGCATTCTTGTTAACGGCGGGTCGACCCCATCGCAGCCATTGGCAACCAGCTGCAACGAGCTTCCCAACGACCCAATCAAGCTTCCCACCAGCTCTACGCCCATCCCACCGTCTCTCGCTGCCCTCCTGCTTGACCTCCACCTCTTTCGGAGAAATTCATACTCGCGCGCCCTCAAGCTTGTCTACCATACCATACCACACCACCGCTCAGCTCCTCCTCTCACGCACGCCTTCACGCACCACCCTCGATACCATGAGCACCACAGCACTGCCGCCAAACGCGGCCGTGAGACGCACCGTCACCGTCGATTCCATGCCCTCAACGGCCTCCAACTCGACTGTCCACACCCCGGACGACTCGCCCACCGCGTCCGCTTCCTCGACATCCCTGTCTTCGCTCGGATCGGTTGAGGACTTCCAGCAAGAGCCGAAGCAGAAGCTCGTGGACACCTACGGCAACCAATTCAAGCTGCCCGATTACACCATCAAGGACATCCGCGATGCCATCCCAAAGCACTGCTTTGAACGCTCTGCCGTCCGTGGTCTGAGCTATGTCTTCAGAGACATTGCTCTCCTTGCTGCCACCTTCGCCCTCTACAACAAGTTCTGCACCCCAGAATATGTGCCCTCGTACCCCCTTCGCGTAGCTCTGGGCGCTGCATATACTTTTGTGCAGGGTCTGTTTGGTACCGGTCTCTGGGTGTTGGCGCACGAGTGCGGTCACCAGTCTTTCTCTCCAAGCAAGACGCTGAATGACACTGTCGGCTGGTTCTGTCACTCTGCTCTCCTCGTCCCGTATTTCAGCTGGAAGATCAGCCATGGCAAGCATCACAAGGCCACCGGCAACATGGAGCGTGACATGGTCTTCCTCCCGCGCACCCGTGACGAGCACGCGACTCGCATGGGTTACGTCCTGCATGAAATGCATGAACTCCTGGAAGAGACTCCAATCTACACTGCCACCTCGCTCCTCGGGCAGCAGCTCGCGGGTTGGCCCATGTACTTGTTCATGAACGTGACCGGCCACAACAACCACGCCAAGCAGCCAGAGGGCAAGGGGGTTGGTCGGAAGAACGGCAACGGCAGCGTCAATCACTTCCTGCCAAGCAGCCCTCTGTACGAGAAGAAGGACGAGCATTTGATCCTGCTCTCTGACCTCGGGCTGTTTCTGGTTGGCAGTGCCCTGTTCCTGGTTGGCCGCACGTACGGATGGACAAACTTGCTGGTCTGGTACTTCTTGCCGTATCTCTGGGTGAACCACTGGCTCGGTAAGTTGAATTCTGAGAGCAAGAATCATGGCCTTCCTACTGACAATCAGCTGCAGTCGCCATCACTTACCTCCAGCACACCGACCCTTCGCTCCCGCACTATACCGGCGAGGCTTGGAACTTCACTCGTGGTGCCGCCGCAACCATCGACCGTGAGTTCGGCTTCATTGGCCGCGAGCTCTTCCACGGCATCATCGAGACCCACGTCCTCCACCACTACATCTCGACCATCCCCTTCTACCACGCCGACGAGGCGACCGAGGCCATCAAGCCGATCATGGGCCAGCACTATCGATCTGACACCAAGGACGGCCCACTTGGCTTCATGAAGGCGATGTGGAACAGCTCACGATGGTGTCAGTGGGTGGAGCCCAACGAGGGTGCCAAGGGCGAGGAGTCCAAGGTCCTTTTCTTCCGCAACAGGAACGGACTTGGTATGGCTCCAATGAAGGTCGCGGCTCCTGGCGAGCAAAAGCAGAGCATAATCGTCGGCGACGAGAGCGAATGATGTCTTTAATGGGTATTTGACTGACTTGGTAATGGTCATGGCGCCTCAGCGCGGCGTTTGGTGGGTTGGGTATGGCTGCTCTGGCGGCCATTGATTCATCGCATCTAGATAGAGGCCATCCAAGAGGAAAGGCATAGAGCAAAGAGAAAAAGCTATCGTAGAAGATGTAATGCATAAGTTCGAAAATGAAGGTCAAAACAAAGGGTGAGGAAGAGAAATCGTGGGGAGGTTGCGAATGCGGTGTGTGCCGTGTGTCGTGTGCCGTGTGCTGTCATTAAGAGGTAAGCAGTCTTGCTTTGTGTCTGTCTACGCGTGCCAATCGCAAAGAGCTCCAAGTGATGCAAGCAAGACTCAAGTAACGAGCTTGCTTGATTAGGAGGTACGCAAACTTAACAATCCGACACATCCGGCTCAAGCATTCCATTCCATTCCATTCCATCCGAATGATGGAAGAGAAACCCCACAACAAATAGAGCCCGTCACACTCACTTGCACACCAACCCTTGGACCGAATGACAGACATGTTTCTTGGCATTCAGGAGATGGGCGCTGTTGCGGCGAAGGACATGATTGGCCTTTTGAATTATAATCACTCGTCTGAGAACGCCTAACTAACTAACTAAGGGTTCATACAGATGCCCGCCCTTTCCCGTGGTGCAACTCGCATCAAGACAGAAACGAAGTCTTTGAGATTTCCCAATCGTGATCATAGAAGCCGAGAGCGAGTGTCCCGTCGATGCCTTTCCAGAGCATCGTGCGATCAGCAATGACGAAGTCCGGTTGTCCGCTTCCCGTCATCATGGGCACCATTCTCGCGGCGAGGGGCAGACTTTGCTCGTCGATGCCCCAGACGACCAGTTCTAGGCGTTCGTCTGGCAGTGCCCTGAGATAGATAGCTGCCAGCCCGGACTTTGCGGATGCCGCATATCTCATTCTCCTCCCGTATGCACGCAGAGAGATGTGATCGTCTTCGACCTGTATAGGGTGATTTCCGTAAACGTCTGGGGGGAGGTCGTTGCCGATTGCTATGCTGATGATGTTGCCAGAGGAGTTCAGCGCGCCTTTGTAGTCTGATGTGATTTCGGTGTCGGCTGAGAAGTACTGGCACAAATTGCGGGAGATCTGGAGGGCGATGTGATTGGTTGTGGAAGAGTTGGTGTGGTGGACTATGGAGAATGCACCATGGGTACGGAGGATGGCGTCCATAGCGCCGTACTGTCGGCCGGAGCGCAGAGATCGCCAACAGGGGAGCATTTCTGCGATTTTCCATTGATCTCCCGTCCTGACGATGGTGGACGAGAATACATTTTGAAAGGGTGTCGCTGTCAATTCTTGACCATCTACCATGACGAGTTCGCAAGAACCCCAGTCTTGAGACAGACCGAACATGAACACATTTGTCGTTTCGATCTTGCATATCGATGCCACGGGATCGAGTAGCACATCTATGCGCCCAAGCTGAGCAGCGACACGGAGCTGCAACACCTTGACGCCATACTTGGATCCCGTATCTCCCGGATTTGCGACCACCAGACTGAAGGCAAGTGAAGAAGGCGGCAGTCTTGTTGCGTTCAACATGGCGACGTTTATTTGACCCTCGATGAACTCTCTGAGCGGTTGGGTCGTAAACACGCCATCCCAATAATGCGGCTCACGCGGGAACTCGACATACTGGCTGCTGGCATCTGCTTCGAGGATCAGCTGGCTCATAAGCCTCGAATGGTATGGCGGAACATTATCGTCCGCGCCACCATGCTGTTGGAAGACTGGAATACTCTTCGCATTGGCCAGCAACATTTCATGCCGGTACGTGGCAAGAGAAGACTGCAAAATTGCAGTACGACCTGGCTCCGTCGGTTGCCACAAGGTGTATGGTACATAGTTTTGGATCGACGAGTAGCCACTCAGCGGTGCTGCAGCCACTACCTTGTCTGGCCGATGCGTGAGGGCATACCATGTGCCCTGCCCGCCGTTCGAATGGCCGATGACGAGCCATTTGTCTGTGTCGACGCGGTTGGCCGTCCATTGGGTGTTTTCTATCCATGCAGGGATCATAGCAACAGCAGCTTCAACATCCGCAAAGCCCCAGGCATGCCAGTCATCGCCACTCCACGAGGTGCCTCCGGTGGGAAACAGAGTCCACGCAGCGACATCTGGTAGAGCGTCAAGTGTGTGCCTCATGGACTCGCTCTCTGCCTCAACTCCGGCCCCATGTAATACCAAGATTACAGGTAATGGCTTGTCATGTTCAACTGTCCTGAGAGCCTTTCGAGAAGGTGGACGAAGCATCGCATACGAGGTCCCACCAGCAGCGTTCAGGAAGGTGACTTTGTGAGGCTCTTGGATAGTTCGAAGCTCGGGTTCAGCGGCAAGTGCCAATGATTGGATTCCGTCGCTGCCATCAACGGTATATCGAAGTTCGACGGTAGGATATGGAGGAGGCGGGCTGACGCATTCGATGCGGAATCCCACGGGTCGCGATTGGCCTGGGACTAGCGATACCCCATCAGAGGTGAGCTTCGAAAAGCATTGATTATGATTGACATCCACCGCATGGACCGTGATATCGTGCATTCCGTCATTGCGTAGTATCACAGATGCGTGAGGGCTCGCGAGAATCGCATCTTGGTCGGTGCCAATGTAGTCCGATATGAGGACTCCAGAGCGAGGAGGGTGTACGACTGGCCGCAAATCACTTGAGCTTTCCCAAAGTTCGAGATTGATCCGCATGTCTGGCTCGCCGACGCCTCCCATGGCTCGAACATCTCTCACAAGGCGCACGTCGACACGGTGGATTCCAGGCGCCAAGCGCAACGTTGCTGGCACAGTCTGGTAAGAGTAGAAGTCTCCTCCAAAGTAGTGCACGTCGTCAACCCAGAATTCCAGTACCTGTGGGGTCCAGAGATTGACGAGGATCACGTCGTCAGACTGTACATCTATCTCACCTCTGGCCCAGGCCTGCCACTGCAGGGCAGCCCAGCCGTACACATCTCGCAGACTCTGCCATTCGATATGTGGAAAGCTCACGTCCAGAGAGGCACCTGCAGAGGTTGCGCCGGGGACAGGAAGCTCGGCGGTGAAGTTGGACCAGGAGACGGTGGCATTGGCAGCGAGCGAGCTGGCGAAGGTGGCATTTGGGTCATAGTCCAGCGTGTGGAAGCCACCGAGGAAGTGCAAAGGATCGGCGCCGTACGCAGCCTCTGGTCAAGCATGAGATTCAGCGCGCATCACACAGATCAAAGGGCGCGTGGTGTGTGGCATGCCTCGGGTGCCGATCTGGAAGGGGCCTAAAACACTCCAGGTTTGGGAGAAGGCGCTGTGGCTGAGAGGTGCCCACGACTGCCAACGCTGCATGAACAGCTGCGTGAACTGCAGCATCTCGGCGTGTGTTGTCTGGTCTGGTCTGGTCTGGTCTGGTCTCTCCAGGCCAATGTCGCGTCGCGAGAGGGAATGGAGTCGTTCAGTCCGGATGATGAGTATTAGACTACAAAGTCCGGTTCGGGGACGGGATTGATTGGCGGGCCGAAGTGCCGACCGATAAGCCAAGACGCAGACGCCGGCGCCGGGGGTTCTCGTTTGGGGAAAGGATTCTGGGTGGCTGGCCCGAGAGTGGAGAGTAATGACAGATCCGCCCGACTACGCATCAACAACATCGACACACAGCTACAATACACCTCAACCGACTTTGCGAGCCCTCCCTTCGCACGCCGCAGCCGTTGCAATCGGCGGAGATTATACTAGCAGCAGATTGCCCTACCGGCTGGCTGCGCGCACAAGCACGCCCTACTAGCACCACACCTATCTCACACCTGTACCACCACCACCCTCCACCGAGGCCACCTGTTCCCTGACTGTCCCTCAGCGCTGCCATGGAGCGCTAATTGCTGCGCCCTACGCCCACCCAACTCCCCAGATATGGCGCCCCACGCAACAGGTGGATATGAGCGCAGGCGTTCATCCTCGTTCCAGCAACAGCAGCAGAACCAGCCCAACGCAAAGTTCAAGTTCCCCGACTACAATGAACAGGAGGTCTTCGAGGAGGACGGCGACGAGGTAGGCCAGGGCGGCGACAGCCCGCGACCGCTTCCCAATGGCCTGCCACAAGGGATGCACTCCAGCGAACGCTGGCCAGCGCGACGAGAATCGGCACTTAAGAGCTGGGCGACAGGAGGTATGAATGGAAGAGCAGGCGGCACGAGCAGACATGGCAGACAAAGAAGTCTGAGCGAGGCTATCCGAATCGTGCGCACCAGGAGAGGCGCAAGCATTAGCGAGAATGCACATGAGATTGCCGAATCGCTCAAGGCGCCCGTGTCGATGAAGCTAGTTGTATGTTCTTCCAGCACCACACCTCCCAGTATAACTCTCCCCTGGCTGATACACTTGCAAAGATGCTCTGCGGCTTCTGGTATGCGACCTCGATTCTCACCAACACCTCATCCAAGGCCATCTTGACCGCTCTGCCCAAGCCAGTCACTCTGACTATTGTGCAATTCTTGCTCGTGTCCCTGCTCTGTATGTCTCTTTCGTGGCTCGCGAAGCGCAACTCCGCAGTAAGAGAGGCCTTGCCCGTGTTGAAGAACGGCATTCGCAGGCCCAACAAGGACCTCATCATGGCCACCCTGCCCTTGACAGCCTTCCAGATCGGAGGCCACATTCTCAACTCCGATGCCATGTCGCGGATTCCGGTGTCTCTGGTGCACACAATCAAGGGACTCTCCCCTATGATGACCGTCATCGCCTACCGAATGTTTTTCGATATTCGTTATTCGATTCCAACCTACCTTTCCCTAGTGCCCTTGACACTGGGAGTAATCATGGCATGCTCGGCGAGTTTGGCCGGCAACTTTGTTGGATTAACGTACGCGTTCGGGAGCGCCGTCTTGTTCGTCACGCAGAATATCGTGTCCAAGAAGATTTTCAACGATGCAGCAAAAGCCGAGGCAGACGGAACGCCCATCGGGAGGAGAAAGCCAGATAAGCTGAACTTGCTGTGCTACTCCTCGGCCCTCGCATTCCTATTCACTGCGCCCATTTGGCTGTGGTCCGAGGGATTCTCGATTGCCGCTGACTTCTGGAAAGACGGATCGATTGATCTGAGGCAGCGACCGGGATCTCTGGATCATGGACGGCTCGCCGTGGAGTTCATTTTCAATGGCACTTTCCACTTCTTGCAGAGCCTCGTGGCATTTGTGTTGCTTGGAATGGTTTCACCCGTGACATACTCCGTCGCCAGCTTGATAAAGCGAGTGGTGGTCATCATGTTCGCCATCGTCTGGTTCGGCAATCCAATGACGACCATCCAAGGCTGCGGGTTTGGACTCACGTTCCTGGGACTGTACCTGTACGACCGCACGTCGGACGCGGCCAAGAAAGACAAGCACGCGCGGGAGAAAGAAGACAGCAAAGAACCGCTGTTGCCATTGAGTACCGGAGATGCGAAGAAGAGCGATGCTCCGGCTTTCACACAGTCGCCTATGAACATGGACGAATCTGGACGCACGTATCTGGGTAGCACGGGTTACGCGAATGGTGATCCGAATGGGAGTGGGCCGGGCAGACCGCGTGCCAACAGCGCGTCGCCAAATGCCAACGGCGTTCCCATATCGCTGCCACCTGGGACCAAGGCGCAGGAAACGTGGCATACAGGCGATCTAGCGAGACAGCAGCCGGCGACGGCTGTCAGATGATGACATGTAGACTTACACGAAATCTAGCATTACCTACGAACAGTCTTGCTCAATATGATAGATTCTCCTAGCCCTCCGCGTAAGACTGTCATTTGCGAAGAGTCTGATAGGTGCACGCGAAATTATACGCCGCGGGCGGATATTGTGCACTGAATACTGGCCGCATCTATGTACATGAAATGAAGATCTGACGCTCTCATACAGGGGAATCATCGTGTGCTTGCGGCTAGATAGTTGATGTCCTCTCCTTTCCCAAATCCAGATCGAGCGGGTCTTCCCAATGAATCTCCAACTGGCTCCCCACTCATAAGCGATGTTACCAACCCCATGTTGGCAGGCTACTGGATTCTGTGTCACGAAGGCTATGACATTTTATGCCTTCTTGGTCACCGTCTTGCGGGCCTTGACGGTCATATCGTATAGCGCATCCTTGAAAGCGAAGAGGAAGGCTGCCGTGATGACGGACTGGGTGACCTTGGGGCCAATACCTGGGTCAAGAGTCAGTGTCAGACCCTCGTACGTGCATGGGGGGGGGACTCACCTCCGTAGAGACCGCCGATGCCCTCATCCCTGTAGATCCTCTTGAGAGTGGCAGTGATTCCCTCCTTGGGACTGTCGGCGCTGGCAACGTGTGCCCTGGACTTGACCGTGATGTACGGATAGGTGATGCTGGTAGCCGCAAGCTTGCCCAGAGCACCGAGCACAAAGCTATCCGTCGGTCCGACTTTCCTCCTCCTCTCTACAGCCTGCTTCAGCTGTTCGAAGATGGTGTATTGCAAGATGGGGTTGATGACCAAGACCAACGCGGGCAACACGCCGGCAAAGAGGCGCATGAAGCCGTCCTCGCGGATGATCTTGAGGACGGTGGAGATGGTGCCGGGCGCTTTGGCTTTCTTTGGTTGTTCGCCTTCTTTGGTGGGGAGGGATTGGCTCGCTTCGTTCTCGCGCGCGGTCATGCGGGTGTTGACGACCCAGATGGGATTGGTGATGAGGACGGTCGCGGAGCCGGCCAGGGCCCCGGCGGCCATGGATTCGAGGGTGCTGAGTTGTTTCTTGTTCGTCGTCCGCTGGAAGAAGGCGCGCGAGTACTCGTACCCTGGCAGTACACATTAGATCGAGGCCCGGGGCGTTTAGGGATCGGAGGGACTGACAGTAGTAGTATACGAAGTTCGTAACCGTGATTCCAAACAGAGCACTGTCGAGGCCGGCGTAGAGACCAGAGATGCCCTCGCGGTCAATGATTCGCTTCGCAGCGGATATAGTCCCGGTTTGGGCCTTCTTCTTCTCTACCTGAGCTCGGGTGGAGAGGGTGATCAATGGGTAGCTGTGTGTCTATCGATCAGTCGTCTGTTGGATTCGCTGCGAGGCGCGGAGAGGCGTACGTCAAGGCCATAGAAAACAGCCCACCGCCGGCGCCCGCCAGAGCGTGAGCGACATTATCGCTCTGCTGCTCGGCGGTGCTCTGGTTCGCGGCGCTCTCCTGCTCATGTCAGTCCGTCTCTTCGACTCGACGTGTGGTGGAACCGCGATCGTCACCTTCTCAGACATGATGGCAGCGATATCGACCTGCGTGCGGAAGAGGAGAGGACGGGGGACGAAGAAGACTCGGCGTTGGCTGGTCGGCGGCGTCTACATAATAAGGTTGCTCGTGGTAGCTTGTGAAAGTACCTGCGACATCATCCGAAGCAATAGAACCTCGGCTGTTGTCTACCCTTTATGTCAACATGTGATGCCCGCCCGGTCGATGGTCTGCCGAAGATGGTCCGGTCCGCCCGTATCGGGGGCTATTTTGGTCGCAATTCGGCCTCACGTTGGAAACTCACTAAACTCACTAACCTCACTAATTGCCTCCTTTTGACGATATTGCACATTAACCAGACCCCATACCATACCAGCCAAGATTTGGCATCAGCTTCCTCTACTTCTCGCTACTAGGCCCTTCGCGAGCCTTTAGGGGCCGTGAGGCCTGCTCGCGGGCCTGTGAAGCACGACCGCATTCCTCCGGGACTCTTCATCAGCCGGACTACAGTAACATGTATCGACACGACCCCGGCGCGGGCGCGGAACAGCACTATCAACTCCAAGCGGGCTCTGGCAGCTCTCCTTTCGCTCAAGCACACTTTGACTCTCCAATCTATGGCATTGACCCTGCGCTGCACAATCGCCCACAGCACCTCCATCCCGCAACTCGCCTCGGTCAGCGATCGTCTCCGCACATGAGACAGTCGTCCAATGAGTTGTCGGCATCGATGCAACCTCCTACTAGCTCGCCTCGGATGAACAACAGTACCCCAGGACCTGGCAATGCGTCTTTGTACAGCCCAACAGACAGGCGATTACCTCCAAAGGATGTCTCGGCGGAGAATATTGCGGAGGTGTATACCGACTTCATCCTCTACTGCAATCCAAACTTTCCCCTCGATGTCGACACTAGCACACTTAAGACGACTTTTCAGACTCCTCCCAAGAGCGACAACAAGGACTTCGAGACGTTTCGCCTGTTCGAGCTCATTCGAAAATTCCATGCGAAGGAGATCAAGACATGGGGTCAACTAGCACTGGATCTGGGTGTCGAGGCACCGGATACGACCAAGGGCCAGTCCGTGCAAAAGGTTCAACAGTACAGCGTGCGACTCAAGCGATGGATGCGGGCCATGCACATCGATGCTTTCTTCGAGTATCTCCTGGGCAAACAGCACAACTACTTCACGGAAATCCCGCACCCTAACGACCCATATCCCTCGACGGGCAGAGACGGTGTCATGGCTGAGGAGGACCTTGCGATCCGAGCTCTGGATCCTTCTTTCAGGCCTAAGCGAGGGAGACGGAGGAATTCAGAGGCCGAAAGGGAAGAGGAAAACGAAGCTGAGCCTGCGAGCAAGCAGCCTAGATTGCTTGACCATCCTGCACCCTATTCTGGCGCGCCTATGTCTTCCATACCGCTCAGCGCCAATCCAGATAACTACCATGATCCTTGGGCTGTGGCTTCTGCGGTCACGCCGCAGAGCTTCGCACCATGGTCAGCTAGACCAGGTGGCCCGCCATCAGCTTTCTCTTCAACGTCAAACCTTCGATGGCAGCTAGGCCAGACTCCGAGCACGCCTCATCCAATGAGCGCTATTCCGACCTCGATGTCTGCTCACATTGACGCCGCATTCGATGGAGAGCCCAAGTCGGCGGTCACACCCTCTTCCAGGAGGAGGAGGAAACATGGTCCTGCTGTCTCTAGTGCATGGTCATCCAACACCGCACCTGGCTCCAAACCTCGAGGAAGACCTCCTGCAAATCGAAATGTTCAAGACGGACCTTATGGCACGTTCCCCGTAGATCCGACGAACGAGAAGTCGAGAGCTCAAAGCTCAACCCCGGCTGATGGTGTAGGTCATGTTACAAACTCTTTCGGCGAGGACCGAAGTCCTCCGCAGCTGGATCAACCGACTTTCCAACCCCAAAGCGAAGGACGACCGGGCAGATTGTCTCTACAAGTTCCACCACACACCGGGGCACCGGTAAGACTCGCGACGCCTCCTACATTGCTTGTAAATGGAGAGACGAACGAGACAGGAAGCAAGAGCGACTCAGATGATGCTAGTCGAAACGTTGTAGCCGTGACAGCACCTCCTCACGGGCGTACCGTCATGAGTACAGCCGGCGGCAATGCCATACCAGGCTTCTCTTTTGAAGCCCTGAAACGCGTCGTGACAAGCGATCTACTCCGCGCAGACATCATCGGCAGGAAGCAGCGACTGACCGGCGACGAGGCTAAGCGCCTCGCAGATGCTGTGCTCGAGCGGCTAGGCGTCTCAAGATCGGATTCAGACAACCCTCGGGATAGTCTTGCTCGGCTCACCGCTGCTTCCTGGCTGGGGCTCGGCGACCAATTCAACGTGCCTCTCGGTCCTTCAGCGGGTCACGGCAAGCGCATCAACGTCACGCGTTTCCGAACCGACGCCGAAGGCTACGAAGAAATCACCTTTGACGAAGACGCAGACGATGTCCGAGAAGTCTTCGATATCTTCTGGCAAGCAAGCCAAGGAGGCTGCACGGGCAGTTTCGAAATGAAAGGGCTCTCACTCAGTCCCCACACGCCTCCGGGCCCGACGACGGAGACCTTGCACGATCTCATATTACGCAAGAGCGTGGAGGGCGTCATGAATCTTGAAAAGGACGGGTGGCTTGAGAAGAATCTGCTCGAGGTCGCTCGGGCTGCGAAGCCGTTTAAAGGCGGCGGTGGGGACGACGGAGTCAATTGGAAGGCACGGTGTATGGCGCTGGAATTTGCCGCGAAGATCGCGCAGGGTGAGGTTCAGAGGGCGCAGCAGCGGATGATCGAGAAGATGTTGAATGCTGTCTTGTAGGAGACTTGTTTTGGATTTGAGATACCCGATGCTTGTTTTTTTTGGATGAAAAAAGGCAGCTCTTTCAATCTCCTGTTGCAGCGAGAATCGGCGCGAGAACGGAATAAAAACGACTTCTTCCTAGCGATTTCCAAAGGCATCGTGAGACGCAGCTGCATGATGCGAGGTGGCTTGCAGCTGATGGACTCACTTGGTCGTGTCGACGTATGCGTCCACACGCCAAATTCAAGAATGTTTCCGCGATGATGATATGGACGCGTTTGTTTGCTCGCTCAACAGACGATCAACGTGCTGTGTCACATGCACTCATCATCAACATATTCGAGTCGCATCATCCCGGCTTCCACGGATGATCAGATTATAGAACGTCTATGCAAAATAGCAAAAGAAGGCCCAAAAATTCAGGGGGATATATCACTTGGAATCTTCAACCATGCCACCGAACGCCTTGATTTAAAGCAATCAGTATTTGCTCTTGTATCATCCCCCCCAACCCCCACCTTGCCTTGCCAGAGGCTACCTTAGTCGAGCTACCGACCCGCCAGACTGCTTGCCGGCCCAACGAGGGCGCGCTGCTTGCCGATCCAGCTCTTGGGCTCTTGTCTCCGCCGACCCAGGGAGACACCGTTGTTCTGCAGCCTGCTCGAGAGATCATACCAAGCCGTCACCATGAGGCGATTCTCGCGCTCGAGTGCAGGCACATCCCGAGGAGCCTCTTCTTCCCTTGGTGACTTCGCCACTGTCTCGAGTTGTTTCCGCAACTCCGTGATGGTAGCATCCCTCTCCTCCAGCTGCTGCTCGGCTTTCTCCTTTTCTTCATCGGAAGCCTCGCGGCCTCGGCCCTGCTCCTCGAGCGCCGCATTGCGTTCCGAGGCTTGTTTCAACCTCACGTCTGCTGCCTCAAGCTGCTTCTCCAGCATTGCCAGTTTGTCGACCAAGTGCTTGTTCTCATCTGTCCTTGGTACGGGAGGCCTGGACTCCGCCTCATCCTCAGAGGGATCACTCTTTGGCTCTGGCTCCTCGATTTCAATGTCGTCTTCGATGTTTGACTCTTCTAGCTTGTTGCGTAGTTGCGTGATCGCTTCATGATCGCGTTCCTGACGCTCACGAGCCGCGTCAAGCTTTTGTGACAAGACGCGTGCATCGTACTCTGCATGCTTTCTTGTCGTCGTAAGCTCATTGATCTGGTACTCCTGGTTTCTGATCAACCCCTTCTTCTCGATGATTTCCTTCTCGAGACTTGCTTGCGTGGCCTTCAGCCGCTCCAGATCTTCCAGTCGCTCGTTCGCCAGCTTGAGCTCATCCCTTAAAGATGCATTGGCCTTTTCCTGCTCTTGTAGTGCTTGTATCTTCTTTTTCAAGTTCTCATTGGCTCTCACCTTTTGATTCAGGTCTTCATTCTCAGCGCGCAGCATCTGAGCGTCATCTCGAAACTTCATGTTGGCCTCATTCTCACTCTTGTAATGCGAAATCTGTTTTTCGTACGTTTCCACTGCATCTTTGGAGGATTGCAGCTGATTCTCGAGATCTTCGATATACGCTCGATCATTATCCGCTTGCCGCTGGAGTTTCTTGAAGTCGTCATCTGCTGTAGCTTTGCGTCCTTTGTTGTTGATCTCGGACCGGTATGCATCAAAAGCCTCTTGGAGTTGTTCCTTGTCATTCCGCAACGCTTGCAGCTGCCGCTGCGCCTCGGCGTGGCTTGACTGCAGCTTCTCGATTGTGGCCTGCGCTTGCAACAGCTCCTCTTCACGTTCTAGAAAAGGATCCCCAAACAATCCTCCAGTTTCCTTTGACCCATTCGCACTCGATATCTCTGGCTTTGCCGGCGTCTCTTGCTCCGATTGATAAGCAGACTCGTCTCGACTGACGGACTCCGAATCCGGCGCTTCCACATCTTGCATGCTCCTGATCTGGTATGCGATGGCCATTGCATGTTCGTTGCCCAGACCCAACAAGCGCTTTCCCATCCGCTGATTCGACTCCGGAGACGCCATCGCAGCGCGTATGATCTCCATGATGAGCTTTTCGAGATCGCTCGTGGAGCCGTCCGCGGCAATGGCTTTGAGATCCGGGACCGTGCTCGCCAGAGCAGTGCCTTGCCCGTTGCAGACATCTCTGTAGTATACGGACAGCTGTTTCTCCAGGTGCTTCAGGTTCTGCCACCTCCGCGTCCACTCGCTCTCATGCCCGATGTCCGGCTCCGGCAGCTGGCCAGAAAAGTACTCCGGGTCGACATCTTGCAGTATAGCCCACAGAGCCCTCCCGTCGCCTAGCTCACGGAGCTTCTCGATCTTTCCGCCATTCTCAAACGACCTGACCCAGGCCAGCAAGCTGTCGCCTAGCGAGTCCGGTTCAGGGGAGGAAGCCATTGGATCGTGTCGCAGGTTGTACAGGACGGTCCTCAGACCTCCGTCGGCGAAGGCTGCAGTGGTGACGGTCTGCGGGTGTTTCAGTCATTGTCCGTGGGTGCCGGGCATCCTGGCGGATATGGTACTTAACTGGCGAAGGACGGCAGCGGTGTCGAGCGGACGCGTGACGTGGAGGAAGAAGGTTGCCAGGGCAGGTTATGCTGCCTTATGTCAGCGCGCCTCAGGCAGAAAAGTCGCGGCTTGACGCTGACTGAATATGCTCACGAAAACCGCATAGTTTTATGCATCCATCAAGGACTCCAATACCGCGACGTTAGACTTGGAAGGGCACACAAGAGCCTCAAAGCTACCGCATTTGCTGTCTGGTTGAACGGCGCCTACCACGACTTATGGTCTCGGACAGTTTGCAGGGCGCCGGAAAGGTAGGTGGATACAGCATCATCAGGAACCACGCAACAGCAGCAGCAGCAGCAGCAGCAGCAGCAGCAGCAGCAAACGATCGATGGTGACAGATGACAGTAATGTCTCGGGGAGCACAACGAGCCAATTCCAACGACACTTGGTCCTGTTGTTGCTCAAATCTACTAGTATAAGAATCACACCGTCCGTCCACCACCGTCTACCCTCAGCACTCGTCTATCTAGCTGGCTGATGCGTATTCTACATTTCGTCGTCGTCACTCGTCGTTAGCTGTTGTACATTTCAGAGAGGCCGTCCGTCTTGCGCTTAGCATCGCTGCTCTATTCCGCGTCAGGTAAGCCGTGATCCAGTCCTCGTGAGCTCATGCATGCTGATACCACTCTCCCGCAACCAAACAAAACCGAATTGCTACCTCATGCTATGCAATGCAATGCTTTCTCGAATCAAATCCAAACTGTCATCGTCGCCCGCTGTCCGTCACGACTGGCGGAAGCGTGTATCGCGGAGGAGCCGCCGGGGGACCGGTCACGTCGACCAGCGGCGGTAGTGGTGTTCTGTTGTGCGGTGTGGAGGAGATGGGCATCGATCTCGCGCTGTCCGCCCGGCGTCGCAGGGCAGCATGCCCGGGAGGAGACGTGTCATCGCTGCTCCGTCGCAATCTGGTCTGCACAGGCGACACGGGGTGTGATATGCTGTGCGGGATCTGAGGAAGGCTGTGGTTGTGTGTATGTGAGTAGGCCATGGCACTGGGCGGCTGTACGGTGCGTGCACAAGGCGACAGGCTGCTCCTGCTCTCTGGCTCTTGCGATCGTTCCGGCCCGTGCTGGCCGGCGAGATGGAAGACAGGCACGTTGGCGCGTTGAGCCATCTCGACCTCACCAATCTGCCAGTGCATCGCTTCCGCTGCCCGCCATGGCAGCTGCATCTCCTTCGAGATCTTCTCCCACATGTCCTTCTTGAATCTGCACGACGAGTCAGCGACGGATTGGACGAATGACACCCACGCAGAACGCAACCTACCGCTCATACAACCGTGCGAGCTTGTTCTTCTTCTCCTCGTCCCACTCCGACCGTCGTTCGAGGTAGTTCTGGAAGCGCAGTCGACAACTGATGGCACTGCGACCAGGCAGGTGCTTGGAGATGTCTTCCCACTTCATGCCATTCCCTCTCAGCTCGATGATCGATCGATCCTCGTCCGCGGTCCATTTCGATTGCTTCTTCTTCGCGGGCGCTTCACCAGGATGGGGATGAGGAGGTGCGAGGCGCTTGTTACTGGGTCCGACATGGGACACTGGTATCGGCGGAGGCAGCCTCGGATCCGGGATCGATGTTGGTGGGTAGTGTGAGTAGGCCGTCATGGGATGGAAAGGAGGTGGAGGGGGAGCATAATGGTGCTGGGCATAGTGTACTGTCTGCATCGGAGGATATGTTGGATGATGGGCCTGGTACGAAGCGTCTAATGGTGGTACTGCGAGCGGAGCTGGCGTCGTTGCTGTCGTTATCGTTGAAATCTGGGCTGAGCCTGCAATATCGTCTCTGGCTTTGCTGCTCGTCGTTGTCCTGGAGCTGGTACTGACATTGCCTGGAGACGATGCTGACTTGGGCCGCTCCAGCAACGAGGAGATATCCACGGTTGCGGCCGTTGCTGGCTTTACGGCCAGCTCATGCGTTTCGAAGGAATACACTCTATTGCACTTTGCTGCAGAGTCGTTGACGGAAGATGATGCGGTGCAGCTCGACCTGGTCCAAAGAAGAAGTGTGAATAGCGGGATGTCGATAAGTTCCCTTGGGTCAAGGCTCGTCTCCGGATTGGACGACTAAGCCACCCACTGTATGAAGCGGGATTGATACGGCTCTTGTTCGGCACGGCCTCGAGGATGGCTGTGTGACCGTTAAGAATCTGCCGGCGGGAAGGGTTCGCGGTCTGATGAAGCAAGAAGTCCGTCCTGTGGACCGATGGGGCATCCGAGGTGTCGTGACGTTATCAACCGTGAGTGAGTAGTGTCTTGTCCCCAGAACGTTTTGGTATGGTCAGTCGAATTACACAATATAGTTCCTCTGGAGGATCCGGTTCGGTTCGAGGAGAGATGGGTCGGTCGCTTAGACTTGGCTGGCCGATCGACGGTGTATATGTACGAACGCCTGAGAGTCGGCGTGTTATGCCAGCGTCTGCAGTGCACGAGGATAACCCTGCATGGCGAAACTTCGTGTCTGTTGAAACGGGACAGTCGGTGTCGAGGTCTGAACGTTTCCAAGATCGTTTCACTTGCGGCGAAACGACAGCATTGACGTAAGACCAAGGCAGAGATGGAGGATGGTCGATCTCGCGGCTAGGCAGTGGCCCGAGTACAGGGCAGGGTAGGGTAGGGTAGGATAGTAGGGGAGGGGAGGGTGGAGGGGGGAATTGGGGGGACGAGTACTGGTGGGTAGTGGGTTTTGCGTGCAACCTTTCAACCTCTTTCTTTCGCGCCAGACGCGGACAGGCGCGAAGGAGGCCGCAAGAAATAAGGTATCCGAATGTGCGGATAGCGAGCGAATGACAGACACGGCAAGGGACGAGACGGACAACAGAGATGATCTGGAGGGCCCCGGCACAAAGTAAGGAAAGCACATACATAGGAGGACCGAAACCAAGACCCCTGGCTCCTGGCTCTTGGCTCCTGGCTCCTGGCTCCTCTCCTGTCCTGTCCTGTGTGTGCAGATGCATGCAGGCTGGCGAGCGGCCGACACATCATAATAAGGCGGGCGGGCCAGCAGGCGGGCGCAGCAATGCACCATGAATGGCAGCGAATTGTGGTCTGTCTGCGCCGGTTAAGGTAGGTTCCACTAGGATGGATCTTTTTCGACAGCAGCAGCAGCACAGGCCGGCAGACAGCACACGCAGCGCAGCGCAGCGCCTGGCCAGGGTTTCTTTTAGCTGTGTCGATCCATGCGCGCTCATGCGGCAGAAGGGCATGGCGTCAGCTACTGTACTTCACCCGGACATGCATCTCGGATGCCGGACTGCTCATCAGCAACTGTCCTGCCACGTATGTACCTTACCTTGTATTCGCTGTGGCAGGAGGAGGTGTAGCTAGTATATAGTATGTGCCGTGGGGAGTCAGGTAGATAGGTATATGGGTAGATAGGTAGGTAGGTAGGGAGGTAGGTAGGGAGGTAGGTAGGGAGGTAGGTAGCGTGGGTGAGACCCGATCAACAACAGCTGTCTGTCTGTCTGTCTGTCCATGTCACGGGGGTGTGTGTGTGATCACCTCCTGCGCCTCAGCAGTGAGTGCATCGCATCGCATCGCATCCGCATCCGCATCGCATCGCATCGCATCGCGTCGCTTCTACCCGCCATAGCTGACAAGGTACTATTCTATTATACTTCGTCCACAATCCTGCCTCACGGGCGCCTCGCCTCTCCCACCCGTGATGGATCAATCACCGCGCGTCGCCCACCGCCCACCGCCCACCGCCCTCGTCTCGTTTCGTCTCGTCTCGTCTCGTCTCGTCTCCTCCTCGACGCCCATCCCAGCCAGTCGTCTGCGGGTGGGCGAGTCGATTCCGCTGCGGGTTGGCGGCTTGCAGGACAATATACCTATTACTCCCCCATCAGACTCGTCGCCCGCCAGACTAAGCTCTGGCCCAGCTGGGGGAAGTCTGTCACAGCCGCAGCGCTACCGCCCTAGTCACATCTCTACCCACATCGTCGAACAACTGATCTGTGCTTTTCTCCCAGGCGCTAGGACCTCCCAGACGAATGACTTGCGTCAAGCAACCATCCCTGATGGACCGCATCAGGCCTCCGTTCACCGACACTCTCCGCGAGTGCGCCAGCCGCTGGCCACCTTGCACTTTCATCATCATCATCATCATCACCATCACCATCACCATCACCGTCGTTGTCGCCGCCGCTTGCTCGGCCCGCGGGACCGCAGGACGTGGTGTTGTTGTGCTGCCACAGCGTGCGTCCATTCCCACGTTTCCAGCACGGCGACGACGCAAGGAGGAGGGGCCCACAAGCGGCCTAGTCCACGAGACCGAGGGCGCTACCGCGTTACACAAGGCTGCTTGAGACGCCGCGAGGACCAATGATGTAGCGACATTTGTCGAGATGGCCCGACCAGTCGGCAGTTGACCGCCTCCCATGGCATGATGCGCATTCCTAGCGCACGCCGCGGATCTGAATCATGATGTTGAGGGCAACAATGTCAAGTGCTCGTGGCCTCCTTGCAATCTGGCGTCAGCTGGACGAGTGGGTGGAAGGGTGGAGACCACACACAGGCCGGCACACAACAACGCAACGCAACGCAACGCAACGCAACGCAACGCTACGCTCGGAAGAGCTCGAGTGCGCTCCGTCTGCGGAGCGCGGCGGCAGACAGCAAAACGAGATATGCGGGTCGCCGTTAGATCTGATGAGCCTCTCCCGTGCGGACCTTTCTTCGCAGAGCGCGCGGGCTCCCGAGACAGCCGTAGGTGGGTGGACAAGGCGATTGTTGTCTCTCCCAATCGAATGGATGCCTCTCTCACCGCCCCGAGTGTAGCGTGGCCGTGCAAGCGGCGTGTGATATGTGACTACTGTGCGAGCGCGCGAGCCAAGTCCGAGCACGCTCTCGTCGATGATTATTCCACGGACGGCAGTTCAGAATCGTCGTCATCTCTCCAGCGTGGAGATCGTCGTGTGCAAGGAACGGCGGCGAGGGGGCAGGAGAGGTGCTTGAGGTGGTCTAGCGGTGCACCACGCTGCGGCCACTTCTTGCTCTGCATGAGCTAAAGTACGCCGAACTCTCCCGAACATGTTCCCTCGAAGCTGTTCCCTGCAAACCTTGGCAACCTTGGGACGGCCGAGTTGAGATGCGATGTTCAGGCGGTGAAGCGGGCGAAAAAAAGGTGGAAACGGGCAGCAGCCGGCGTTTCGTATTGCAAGCAGCAGCCCGACGCCGCCGCCAGCAGCTCTCTTGTTGTTGGTCTCTGTCACGGGCTCGGTGTCCGCTCCCCGTGTGTGCGTGTGTCCTCCCCCCCCCCGCCCCTGCTGGAGCGGAGGACGGAGGCGCGGAGGGAGAGCAGATGACGCAGTAGCGCCGCGAGCCATCCTCGAGTGTCTCGTAATGCGACATGATATGCCTTAAGTTGTTGTCCGAGCAGCATGCGGTTGGTGATATTATTGACCTCATCCCGTGTGCAACTACGTCCATCGGATCGCTAGTGCTGGGCACCGACCGACGACTGATCCGGAGTGGGGCAATTGAGCTATAGCACTAGTCATCGCTATCGATATGATAAGGTACGTACCTTCCAATTGTGCTATACGGTACGGTATAGGTGACGACCGTGCCTGCCGCAGATGACGACCGTGCCTGCCGCCGCAGCACAGAATGATGGAAGGCACCAGCGGGTAGCTTCGAGAGGCGGAAGGCAGGCATGACGGCGCTGCCTCCGGCCAATCAGAGCGGGTCCGAGGTCCATCTCGATCTGATTGGCTGGTGCAGGTGATTGCCGAAACGAACGGAAACCTCAGGCCTCGAATTTAGCCGAGTGAGTTTGGAACATCATACTAGACGCGACACTCGCTCGTCCCTGCACGCTACGCTGCACGCCCTTCCTCCCAATCTTCCTTCCCCCTTCGCCCCATAATATCAACCACCTATTACCGACCGCATACGCCTGCCACCGTCGCTGCCTCACCTCTCAAACCGGTTCATTCGCCGCCGCCGCCGCCACCGGCTTCGCAACTACCGGTCCCGGAAGCTTACCTACCATTGCACTCCCCCCCCGCCCCATTCATCCACAGATCCGACCATTCATTGCCATTGCCATGTCCACGGCCGCGGATGTGCCCCTACTAGTCGTCTCGGAGCATTCTTCTGCTGAGCGACGGATCACGCCTGCTTGGTCCATCGCCGCTCTCAAGGCCCGCCTCGAGCCCATCACGGGTGTGCCGGCCACTTGTCAGAGGCTGAGTCTGAAGATCGGCTCGCAGCCACCGCAGGCCATCGATGCTCAGGATGAGGAAGCGGCCCAGATAGGCGCATGGCCACTGCAGCCGTATGCAGAGCTTCAGGTGGGTGCTGAGAGCCTCCTACGTCTCACCCTCTCTCCTCAAACGCCCCTCCAATCCCGGATGAACGCTGCATTTCCCCTGCTGCGCCTCAGTGTCATTCACCTCGGTGTTTGGAGCACGCGGCACCACGAATGCAAACAGGATCACGGCTCAAACCCGGCGGCTTCCTCCAAGTTTGGCTGCAGAACGAGGGGCTATACCAGATCTCGAACGCGTCCGCTGCCAGGGACTCGCCTGGTCAAGCAGTCATGTGTATGCTGATCACGGCGACTGTAGGTCATCGACACTCGTCCGCCGGGCGCCAGGACCAATTACACGGATGTCTCCTCGGTGCAAAAGTACGAAATGTCAGCGGCAGAGTACGAGGATCGCTCCGACAGCGTTCTTGCTTGGAAGAAGTCGCAAAAGCTCGGCCGCTTTGATCCGAATGCCCCAGACATTCTCCAGCAAAAGGTCAATGTCTCCTACCGCGAGGTCGAAGAACGGGGCATCAAGCAAGGCATGCGCTGTCGTTTGCTCCCCGAGTCTGATCATCGGCGCGGTACGGTACAGTACATCGGCGACGTGCCAGACATCCCGGGTGTCGGCGCGTGGGTGGGAGTCGCCCTCGACGAGCCTACTGGGAAGAATGACGGCAGCGTCAAAGACAGGCGCTACTTCGAGTGCCAACCTAACTTTGGCGTCTTTGTGCGGGCTGAGCGAGTGGAAATGGGAGACTTCCCCGTGCTCGATGAGTTTGCAGACGAGGAAGACGAATTCTGAAAGTTGCAGCTCCAGGTACCAGTTGTTTGGTAACTTCCCAGGTCGGCATTCGGATGTTCATCCGGAAGGCCCCATCGAAGTCTCATGCGTGCTTCACGCGCATGGACTCGGGCGAGACGGCAGATGGAAGCATCTCTGTTCGTCCGGCAACAACAAGGTTGGGAGTAAGCGCACAGTGGCTCTGATTGAAGATGGCGCGCAGTTCGGTTCTCCGTCTGCCAACGCATTGCTGACAGCCCTATGCAGCTACAGGTCGGGGATCGAGTTCACACTCATTCCTACCTCTGGATTCTGGGCGGATGTCACAGGCGTTCGCACCGAGAACGAGAGGATGGCTTCGAGGATCTGAGATCTTTCCTGGCCTTCAATAACGAATCTATAAAAGCGTCATGCATATTGCCCAGCACGCGTTACTGCGCCAACCTTGCATATGCAAACGCTGCGCTTCAACCGTTCTTGCATGGTTCTGTTGGCAACCGTCGCGTCTGACCGCCTGTTTGTCGTTCTGATGAGTTGACATTTCAGGGTCCTGCAAACTAAGCTCAGCGACTGGAGTCTAGAATATGCGCGCATATTAATCGCGCCTCCGGAGGTCGAGTCAGAGTTCCCGCTGAGCACGCATACACGTGTCAACGAGCCATCCTTCGAGGCAAAACACGGAATCTGTCCATACAAGACAGTGGTGATGCGACGCGGCGGTGTGTGAGGTAGGCATCCCCTGTCCGTTCTCGTCCAAAACACTCGTTACGAAGGCCACACGAACTCAATCGTCAAAAGGACCGGCTCCATACTGTGATACTGTGATACCATTGGCAATTCCGAGACACTGGTGGGCACATTGCGTGTATGACTGGTGTGGAGCGGATTTCCGTACCATGAGACATGGTGGCTCGTGGCGTGTGGCGAAATAGCGTACCTCGCTACCTGACGTCTATGAGCGACTCCACGCCCATCATCATTATTGACGCTCATCAGATGCTGATGAGACTGCATAGCACCGCATATGCAGCATCCCACCAGGAACCTGTTCAACGACCGCTCACCTGCCAAACTCTACAACCACTCGCTCTTTCCAGACCTGCAGCCTCCCGGTCAAACCTTCCCTCCATAGTGCTCTGTGGAGTCAGCGGAAATCGCGCTGGCACATGCATCTGCATCCACCAACAACAAGGCAGCTCACCACCATTATTCCAGCCATCTCATCAATGCCACGTCTCTCCATGCAAGTTCCATCTTCTCCTGTGCTGTTTTGTCTACACCACGGACGGATATCCCATCGACCACGTCTAGACTCGCACCCGTCCGCGGAAAAACTTCTTTGAATTCGAAGAAATTGGACCAGGATATCTCGACCTCCTATAGATCTGCCTTGCACATTGGGGCGGATCTGTTGCGACACTCACATCAAGTCTAACGACTCATCATACATACCACGCACGCTCCCCACCCACTCACCCCACTTTCCTCACATATCTATTGCACTTACCCAAAATCGCCTTTGCTGCTAGATAGATAGATGGATAGATAGATAGATACTGTAGATAGATAGACGAACTCCCCGAAACCGAATGAACGAACCAACGGACATTATTGTCTGTTCTGTCTCTGTCCGTCTGTCTGTTCCGTCTGTGCTTCATTAACACGGCCCTGTCCTGTCTTGCCTGTCTGTCTAACCTTAGGTCGTGATCAATTGAAGAATGTCCCGTCGTATCTTTTCTGAAGGGCTCACACATGGACCACCCAATCCTCGTGATGATGCCCAACCAATGGCTGTGGACAATGCATAGCGTAGACTTTCGAGGCAGTAGTCGCGTCTAAACAAGAAAGAAAGAAAGAAAGAAAGAAAGAAAGAAAGAAAGAAAGAAAAAAAAAAAGCCTATCTTTATCACGGACAAGGTCGGCGCAACCCCCTAAGACACAAGACGTGACGTCGGCCCTTTAGTGACACCTCTCACACGTGGACACGGGGGATATGGGGGAGGCGGTGTTCTGAGACCTGCATACGGTACATACAGCAGTTCGACAGACAGATATTCCACGAGTTGTCGTTATCTTCGCCGCCCGTGCGTGGAGCAACAAGATCCTGCCGACCCCAAAGCGGAGGTCAAGGGATGTGTGAAATGAGTGAGACGTACACGTAAGAGGGCGAAACAACTGGCTTGCATGTGGGTATCTGTCCAATCTCGACGAACGAACAAACGCCCCGACACCAGCTCGCTCGCCCGCCATCCCCTTCTTCGTTTGCGGGAGGCAAAATTTCTCAAACAAGCTAAAACAAAAAAGCAGTCGTAAGCACTCCGGATCAACAATGCATGCAGGTCTCGTCACATGCCCAACAACAATTCCTTCCTTCCTTCCTGCCAATGCTCCCAACAGCAACTTGCCGTGATCGTGAAATCCTATGCACGGGCATCGAGCAAGAGTTCCTGTGACTCGCCAGACGTGCAAACTCAATCCAAGCCGCCCAAAGAGCGATTTCCGTTTAAAGCCAGAGAACAGGTGGTCACAGGAAAGCCAACACATCGGGCTGGCTATTCCGCTCCCTCAACCACACATCCCTGTGCAAAGAAAATCTTGGCAGTCGTCGTGCTGCTCTCGTTTGTAATGGCGTAATTATTCCCTGTATGCACAAAGAGTATGGATTAGCCCCAGTTCATCCTGGTGAATCAATCACGTGTATGTGAGTGCCAGGGTTGTTCGCATATGCGAACGATGAATCGCAAAGATAGCGAATTTCAGAGCGAGGCGAAGATGGACATGGGCACACGAAGACCACTCGGCTCCGGCGGCGGGTAATGCGTTGTAACGTTGCACAGTTGAGGCCTTTCGTCGTCCACTCGCGCTCATCCAAACCATTAGAGAGCGCGGCAAGGTGGCGTCAGCAGAAGCAAGCAGCAGCACAGGGAACAGGCCAGTTTCGAGAGCAGGATTCCAGTAGTCCGGCTGCACCGCTTTCCCCCATCCGAGCACATCCTAGCCTTGTCATGCCGACAGGCGAGCGACAGTTCTGTTGCACAGCAGCAACCGCGGCGACAAGGCACCAGCACAAGCGGGCTCCTTTTCTGGTTTCTGTCGCTGCCGCCCGAGCCGCCCTCGAGCCGTATGTACCACGTCGTCCAGCAGAGGCTCGTGCAGTGCAACGAACGTGCAACCGAATTCTAAGGTGACAGCGCTGGTCGCACATACACCGCCCCGGACAACGGTCCATTTGGCTCGAGTCGCGGCCGCAGGCGCACCGCTAGGCCGCTTGCATCTTCTTTCAAGGGATCCGGACTCCAGAGTGCCATTGCGGTTGTTGCGGTGAGTTCACCGCTTCGTATGGAGCCATGAGTTGGACCCGCATACGCGCCTCAGATCCATGGTCGAGATAACAGAGCCTGTCCGCTTGACAAGGACAGCGAGGAGACGAAGCGTGGCCGATGCCGAGCCAGACATGTTCCGGCGAAATTGTGGGCACGATTCCGGAGAAAGGATGGGGATGAAAGGAATGATGAAGGGGAAACGTTACCTCTTGGGACAATCCAAACTCCACCCTTGCTGAGCGCAAATGAGTTGACCTCCAGACCCATCGCGCCAACCTCCACCAAGACTTTGCCCTCGTGAACAAAGAAGACCATCTGCATCTTGCGGCTGTTCTTGGCGCGTTTAAAGCCTTCCGGAGGCAGTTCGACAACGCCGGCGCCAAAGAAGGGTATCGTCATGATCTTGGCATATTTGAATTCGCTTCCGGCAACGTCACGCGTTATGATTGACGAAGCTGCGAACGCGAGATCTGTGTGTGTGGTTAGTAGAACATCAGATGAAAGCCAAACACAAGGCATCTGCAACCATACCTTCTTGCACAGGGTTGTTTGCATCGCCGTTCTTCGTGGCTGGATCCCAGCTGGCGACGGTGCCGGTGATCACGCCCATTTCCTCTTCCCATTCGTCTGGCATGACCGACTCAGCCTCGCTTTCTTCTGCGATATCTTGAAGTCGACCTCCTTTTCCTTTCCTTCCCTTCTTCTTGCGTTTGACAGGCTTGGGCTTCTCGACTTGTTCTGCACGTACAATGCCTTCAATTTCACCAGCTCGCCAAATCCGAGATTCGTTCTCCCAGAACTTCAGCGGCTGGATCAGGTTGCGCCCAGCGCGCGAAACCTGATGGGATGCGTCCTCGAAAGGAGTAGTGGCTCGCAAGTTGACATTGCTAATTGGGCCAGCACTGCCACTCCGCGCTTTCTTCGAAGGTGACCCATCAAGCTTCACAGGACTACCCTTCTTCTGCGCTGCGGCCTTCGAACTTGTCTCTCTCGTTGCAGCGGCTTTGCCTTTCCCTTTAGGACGTCCCTTGCCTTTCTTCGCAGGCTGTGGTTCTTGTTGTTCTTCAAGTTGAGCGTCTAGTTGAGTTTGCGCACCGGCCTCATCTTCTGGGACCATGTCGCCGTCTGCCTGATATTCGTCTCCAAACGCAATCATGGACGGATCAATGGCTTCGGTTCCTTCATCGTGGTGTATGATGACTTTGTCTGCATTCGAAGATCGATGTCGCTTGGGCGGGGGCCCCATCGAGGCGTGTCCAGCGGACGCTGTGCTGTCGTTTAGAGACTGATCATTCTCTATACTGCTCCTGGTGCGCTTCTTGCCGGATCCTGTTGACGCACTAAGTTGGCTATTGTCAACAGATCGATCAGATTTCCTCGGCCGGCCACGTTTGCGTTTCAAGGGACTTTCGCCAGCTTGCTGCTGGTTTGGCTCGTCCAAGCTCACAGCAGTATGCTCTGTTTCCATAGGATATGAGTCTCCATCGTCCATGAAAACGGGAGGGTCATCTCTTTCGATGGACTCCTCGACATTCTCGTCGTCGTCCAGAACGCCGTTCGTGTGTTCAATGGAAGTTTTCGCACCGTCGGAATCATCATCCTCATCATGCAAGTCGAATGGATCTCGTCGCGCGGGCCCCGTTGACCTTCTCAAGACTTTCTTAGGTTTGAACGGACTTTGCGCGTCTACAACCGAAGCCCTCTTGTTGTCCCTGTTGGAGGGTCCTCCAAAGTCCAGACGTCGGTTCGCCCGGGGCTGCGCGTGCGCGTCTTCGTCGTCCTCATCGACCGCACCTTTCGCTCGAGTGTTCTGTTTGACCGAAGACATGCGCCTGGGCGAGCCAATGTTTGTATGCCTTGGGGTTGACTGGCGGGGGGGCGGGAAGCGCGGTGTTCTGCGCTGACTGAGTGTCGTCGCTACATCTGGCGCGGAGCCTAGAGGTACCATGTCAGTATTGCCGGTGAGAGAGGAGATTCGTGAAATGGACGTACTGTTTTGCACGTCCATTTCATCGCTCTCGAGAGTCTTACTGCCATTCTGCTGCGCCGAGCCAGGTGAAGAGTAGATGCCAGATAATGGCTCCAGTCCATGCTCGTCGCGTACGCCCGTGTCTTTCAGCGTGATGCCGGTCTTGCGCCCAACCTTGCCCACATCGAAGTATTGATTGTCGGTCCTCTTTCTCCTCCCTGGTGTTGTGTTTTTTCCAGCAGGCGCCATACCGCGCGGCGGCCTATTCTCCTTTCCTGTCGCCAGCTTGAAATTGTTCGTTGACGCGGATTGTACTCGCTACCATGCGTGAGCGAGTAATGGAAGCGCAATGCGACGCGACGTGGAGGATGCACAAGTTATGATTTCCGGCTTGTTTACACGCGCCGTTTGGTCCCGCGTTTCGCTCCTTCCCGATCGGTGAGGTCATGTGATCGCCTTGGCAACAACCGACGTCACCTTTAGACTTCTGTCCAGGAACATCAACATTGTAGTGCAACTGAACGCTGTATTGAGGTCCGGCGATAATGTCGTCGAAAGACATCTTCATTCGAGGCCTGCACATCGTTCAGGCACTTTTGGGTGCCTATGGCGCCACGGTGTCATTTGTTGCCATCAACAACCTCCTCCAGTATGAAGAGACCGCCAAGAAGCTCGCTGAATGGTCTGATACGGTACACATCCTTGGGTAGAGAGGTTAGTTGAGCCGCTTCACTGACTGGGCCTAGGCTGCACACGAATTGCACAAGACGAGGACCACCCAGGCCACAGGAGCGATAGCAGTGAGTAGTTTACACATTCTAATGCTTCGATAATTTGCTGAATCAACGGTTAGATCTTCGCCTCTCTGATTGCGTCTCTGACGCTTGCAGTCGCTCCCCACGCACTATTAAAGATCGTCCGTGTCGGAATCTCTCCAGTACTCCTTGTAGCCATCCTCTTCGCTCGGGCCCACATCAAAAACTATTGGTATGTTGAGACCCGTCACCTTGAACCTTGGTCTGGGCTCACAGAAGTAGGGCCCCCAAAGATGGAAAGACAGTGGGAGTGCGCATTCCTCTGCCCAAAATGGAGCAATACAACGAGGCTCAACGGCAGACTCAGAAGTTGCTCAAAGTACTTGAGTATCTCGAATATAGCTGGGTTGCGGCGAGCTTCGTGAACGGCATGCTGGGTGCTTAAGACATGAACGAGATGAGACTCCAGAATAACGCTTGAACGACGTGATAGAGAATATGTAATTTTTCTGGAGCGGTATGCATTGCCAGCACCAAGGTCCTCGACTCTTCTCCGTACAAAAATGCATATCGAGTATGGGCAACAAAGCTCCTCCCTTGTTAAACTATTACGAAACATTAGAGATTTCATACTCACATACCCGCCACGAGGTACACGACCAAAAAGACGCCACATCAAAGCCCAACACGTATTCAATGCTGATTCGACCACGGTTTGTGCGACAGTTGACCTATCCTAACAAATGTGGACAATCGAGCGAATGCAAAGGGAAACGGGCCTTGCTCATTGTTTGCCATGATAGAGATACATACGAAGTGAGAATGAGCCGTCTCCAAACCATAGAGCCACTGCGTCCAGAGGGCAGTCTAATTCCAAGCTCAACCCGGCGCAGATTTGATGATTCGCGCTCAAGTATCGTATTCTCAAAGGCGAATGATGCGGACTCCGCCAGCCCCTCCCGATTATCGATAATTTGAAGCCGTTGTGACGCCAACAAACATTCGGCACCAGCTCTGTCGGGCTCGGTACAAGTAAGAGAAGCCCAGAGACAGTACTGGCTCAGGTCATCGGAACCAGTTGTATAAGCCTTCTCAGAGACAATGATACAGGCCTTCAACTCTCAGAGTGGTCACCTCGAGTCATCCTGAGGGCACCGCGACAGAAACTGCGTTCTCCAGGCCAGGACAAAGCATCAAGCCATCGAATGACTATTCTGCAGCATATTCGCAAGATTTCTGTGGAGATGATTGGACTTTTTATCTTATGGCTGCGGCCAATGACTGCATGTGAACACGGAGCCAGAAGCTGACCTAAATTGACGCTCGAGGGCGCGCGCACCAAAGCGGTTTTTCCTTGGTCGAATACACGGAAGTCTTCCTTCTTCTTCTTCTGCCAACTCCGCTCGCGAAGTTCATCGCCATCAAAGGCCACAACCACACCCAAAGCTATCTCCAATCAGACTCGTGCGGACTAGGACCCGTGACTGCTCCACACAACAGACCTAACCGAATATAGACAGTGGCTATAGAAGAAGGAAGTCACGAAGCGCGCCTGAGAAGGAGGTAGAGCCAAAGCTACATCGTGAGTGGCGCTCTTCGCCAGCTGCGTGTCCTCAGGATTGCCGGTGAGATGTTTTGACGACGTCTTAAACACCTTTACAGCTGTTCGCACAGTAGATCCGCTTCTTGGTGCCGATACAGATGAAGAACTTCCCATCATTTAAACAGCCTGCTAGCTGAAGTCGAATGGGAGGAGGTGCAGGTGCGAGTGCAGGTGCAGTGTGTAAAGAGCAGACGAAAGTGGGTCCATCGGAATTTCCTCGGCAAGTCGCGTCTTCCGCGACGCGTTCAATCTTGCTCCAAAGCGATACATATCCCACCCACAAGTGAAAAGAGTAGCAGAATCACGCCAGCAAAATGGATGAAAAAATGGAAGACGCGGTGCAACAAGAGTCCCAGGAGATTCTGCAAGAAACTCCAGCCGCCGATGTCTTCGTCCCACCCTCGATTCACAGGCCGAAAGTGCTCGCCGGCGAGAGCTACACGCATCATTCGGCCATACCCGCCAGTATTCAGAGCGACATGACCACCGAGTGCGTTCTCGGGGTGGATGAAGCCGGCAGGGGTCCAGTACTCGGTATGCATGTAAATACCTTCCGAAACAGATCTCCATCGAAAATTGCTTAACTTTTTTTGTTCTCTCTCAGGCCCTATGGTCTACGGACTCTACTACCTCCCCCTCCCCCTCCACCGCTCCCTCCTAGCCGACACCCACCAATTCGACGACTCCAAAGCCCTCACCCCAGCCGTGCGATCAGCCCTCATGGAAAACCTCTGCACCCCGAACACAGATCTCTTCCAGCACAGCGGCTGGGCCATCCGCTCTCTCTCCGCCCGCGACATCTCCTCCGCCATGCTGCGACCCCACGGCGTCTACAACCTCAACGCACAAGCCATGGACGCCACGATCACCCTCATCCAGGAAGTGCTGAATGCAGGCGTGAATGTGCGCCAAGTGTACATTGACACCATCGGCCCGCCGGCGGCGTATCAGAAGCGCCTCGAGCGGATCTTCCCGGCTCTGGAGATTACCGTGGCGAAGAAGGCGGATAGTCTGTTTCCTTGCGTTTCCGCTGCTTCGGTCTGCGCTAAAGTGACGAGGGATGCGGCGCTGGAAGTGCTCTATAGCGCCTATGCCACTGCCGCCGAGGAGGAGGAGGGTGGCATCGCCGCCTGGGGTTCGGGGTACCCTTCCGATGCACGTTGTTCGAATTGGTTGAAGGCCAATATGCATCCTCTCTTTGGCTGGGGCAACGAGTGTCGATTTAGTTGGGGCACGGCGAAAGAGTTGCTGGAAGCGAAGGGTGCTCCGTGTCGAATTGACTGGCCCGAGGGAGATGAAGATGCGGACAATATGAAGTTGACCGGTTTCTTCCTCGGCGCTGATGATGATGACCGAGAGGATGAGCTAGGGTCGTGGTTTGGCAGGCGGGTGACTGAGGAGGTTTTTTGAGAGCATTATTAATATTATTCTTTGTGCATTATGAATCACAATCAGCACAGTGGAAGCTGCCATTGACGAGTCTCGGCAAACGTGTGCCATGCATTAGCATCGACGGAGTACCGGCGTAGGTCTAAACAACAAATACGAGCCGTTCACCTCAGCTCCAGCATGGCATGTCAAGATGAAACCGCTCACCGGTTAGCTCCACGAGACTCCGGACATCACGTCCTCACATTCATCGAGGGAGCTGGAGGATTATATGCTGGCACGATGAAAGACCTAAAATGGAAGTAGACCGCGTTGTGACATTAGGTATCAACACATTTGGGTGTTTTTGCCTATATCATATATATGGACCGAGCAAAGCGTGGTAGCACACAATACGCGCTCATTGCGGCGCTCAAATAGGTCTGTCTAAGGATCGTATGTATCGTTCCAAGCCATAACATCTGCGAAGCGAGTGATGCGTGCCCTTCTCATCGTCGGGTAGGATTAAGTATGCATTATCATCATCGTAGAGCTCGCAAAATGTCATGTGTAGGTTGGTGTGAAAGTGGCATAAAAAGCCATGAGTCCATTCTTTCGTGATGTGTCCCGTTCACATCGTTGGGATTGTTCATGCTAGGGCAATCAATGCAGCTGCACCCGCGAGGAGACCAATGATTGGCTTCTGGGCAGAAGCGGCGCCAGTGTAAGAAACCGGAGTAGTTGGGGTGGTCGAGCTGACTGGGGAGGTCGTAGTTGGACTGGATGGAACGGGAACGGTGGTGTTGCCGCCGCCGTAGACCGGTGGTGCCGGGGGAGCTGTGCCGACCGGGGAGACCGGGGTAGTAGAAATTGGTGGGCTTGGCAGCGGAGTGACGACGACGGCCGGTGGCGAGTAAGCCGGTGCAGTTGGCTGCTCGTAGGTCTTGGTCAAGACAGTCGTGCCCTCAACGCAAGTTGGGCATGGGACGGCAGTGAGAACAGTGACCGTCTGTGTCTCTGGTGGAGCCACTGGAGAAACAGGCGAGCTTGGTGGAGAGTACGCTGGTGGTGCAGAGTAGACTGGTGGCGGTGGTGATGGTGGCGTGGAGGTAGATGTCTCTGGTGGAGCCACGGGGGAAACAGGCGAGCTTGATGGAGAGTACGCTGGTGGTGGTGGTGGTGGTGGTGGCGTGGAGGTAGTTGTCTCTGGTGGAGCCACGGGAGAAACAGGCGAGCTTGATGGAGAGTACTCTGGTGGTGGTGGTGGTGTGGAGGTAGTTGGGACAGGCTTGGTAACCACGCTTGTGATCGTCGAGTAAGTCGAGTACGTCTTGGTGATGGTAGTTCCGCTCGTGACTGTGGTCTCTGTGACTGGGCAGTACGTGCTGTACAGAGTCGTCTCAACGGTGACCGTGGTTGGCTTAGGTGGAGTTGATGTTGTGTATGTAATTGCGTTAGGTGGAGCTGGTGGCGAGTAGGGAGTTGGGACAGGCTTCTCGGGGGTGGTCGTGGGGGTAGTGACCGGGCAGATGGTAGTCGAAATTGGAATTGTCTTGGTGGTGATGACCGTCGATTTGGCGGGACAATTGGGGACCTCAGGACCACAGGAGGTGACCGTGATCTCAGTGGTCGAGTAGATGGTGGAGGTGGTAAGGTTGGTGGTCTCGCTGGTTATTGGGGAGACGGGTGCGGTTGTGGAGGTGGAGGTGGTGCACGGTGCAGTCGTCTTGTAGGTAGTCGTGACAACCGATGTCTTGGTCAAAGTTCTTGTGAGGGTTGTTGTTCCAGAAGTGTACTTTGAAGTGACAGGGCAACTAATCACGTTAGCCTAGATCATCTGAAATGTAGCGATGTTGAACTCACGTCGTCGTGTAGACCGTGGTCCGCTCCGTCGTAGTCACTGGCGCTGTAGGATAGACTGGCGTTGTTGTGTTCTTCCCTGGAATTGGGTAGACCGGCACAGAGGGAGTGAACGAGTGGTAGACCGTTGTAGTCGACGATGTGGTCGACGGGACAGTCGACGAGGTGGTCGACGGGACAGTCGACGAGGTGGTCGACGAGGTGGTCGACGAGGTGGTCGACGAGGTGGTCGACGGGACAGTCGACGGGGTGGTCGAACAGGAGGTGGAAGAAGTGGTCGAAGAGGTGGTCGACGAGGTGGTCGACGAGGTGGTCGACGAGGTGGTCGACGAGGTGGTCGACGGGGTGGTCGAACAGGAGGTCGACGAGGTGGTCGTCTTTGGAGGGTAGCTCGTGGTTGCGGTTGTGTTCCAATTGGGCGGCGAGTAGACTGGTGGCTGATATTCCGGAGGAGCGTATTGAGGAGCACCGTACTGAGGAGGACTGCCAGCCAAGGAGGCCATTGCCGTGGAGGCAAGGCCTGCGAGGACAACTGCCGCGAACATGATGTCGACGCCGCAGTCACGATTGACCGAGTATTAGTGATTAAGCTGCTCAGCGTAGTAGGGCAACGACTGAGCTGAAGCGAGCGTGAGGTCAAACGAAAGTGGTCGAACCGCAGCAAATAACGGAATCAACAGTCAACAGAGTTGAATTTGCAATGACAAGCGGCCAGGACAGGAGCTCTCATATGTAGGCTGGGCCCGTATCGCAGGTGACGTCCTGGCAGAGGAGCGGACAAGGGCGCGAGAATGGACATGGCCGGGATGGCATGGGCGGTGGAGGGTTGCTGGAGGTGAAGCGAAGCCACAAACAGCAAGAGGCAGCGTCTCTGAATGGTCGGCCATGGGACATACCGGCATAGCGATCTCCACGGACGCGAGGTGGAGGAGTGAGTTGGTTGGGGGACTGGGTGGCATACCGCTTGCAGCGAGTGATGGAGGAGCACAGCATGGGTGCCGTCGTATAACCAGGGTGGGCAGACAGGGAAGTGCTGTCGGTCAGATGCCTGTAGTAGAGTACGAGAGACTTGGTATTAGACCGTCACCGGTAGACCATTACCGGTAGAGCATCACCGCACAGCGACCGGGGGCTTCTCACATGGTGCAATCGCACAATCATAATACCGTGAATTCATCCACGCAGAGCACCTTGTCGTCGATATGGCCATGGCTTGCGCTTGTGGAGGATATCGCAGCACAGCAGATACAGGGCATGGCATGGCATGGCATGGCATGGCGGTGCAGCTGCAGAGGAGTCTACGCTCCGAGGAGTCTTCGCTGCGGTGTGGGCGCTGTGCGATGGTATTGCTGTGTTGGCGGTGGGCTTGGCGGTGGGTTGTCGCGAACGACGGAGTGGTGTGGATCAAGACAGCAGTAAGGTAGTGGTAGTAGTGTAAGGTAGTGTAGTGATAGTGATGACACGAGAAGAGACTTCGGGTGCCTGGAGCTAACGAGGCAAGGCTGAACCTTAACAGTGCCCGGATCTTCCTGCCCGAATCGTCCCGTCCTGACCGAATCGAGTTGGCGCGGTGGTCCGTCGCATGGCTTGCCACGTGCAATAGTGCGCCGAGTGTGCCTGCCGTTCGGTCTCCTCCCGTCATGATCGTGACGGGTTCAAGGCAGCAATTCGGCGGTATCATATGACATGCTATTGTAGGCACTCGTATTCTGCAGAATCTGCTAGTCTGCAGCACTATCGTAGGTAGACAGAACGCCAAGCTCAACAATCACCATACTCACCAGCCACATGCAATCTCTCGTCAGCATCATTCCTCGCCTTGTTCTGCCTCCGCGCATGTCCACACTGTGCACCAAGCCACCACGTCACTTCACTTCACGCTGCTGCGGGTCAATCGGAGCGGATGCATAATATAATAATTAAGCAGTCAATCGCCTCGACTTCTCCATCCCTACATCCTCTTCGCACCCGAACAGCAAACAACCGCCAGGTATGCCGGACCATCCGCCGTGGAGAGACTTCCCGCGACGTCTTTTAGCCGCTCTAGTACGCTTGTGCTATCATTATCTTATCTAGGTATGAGCGGCGAGCCCGCGGCAACATCACCACGTCCGCATCTGCAACTACTGCTAGTCTCGCGTCGAGGGCAAAGGTCACCGGTCCAGCTGCTATATGCAATGCAGCAAGTGTTGGCGAGCTGTCTGCCGGGGAGGCTGCCTCTCACCTCTCACCTCTCACCCGCCCGTCCCCAGAGCTACACTGCATTATTGTTAAGTTGCCTCGGGAATCTGCGATGTGGGCCTCCAGTGGCTTGCACGTGACCGTCACTACGACCCCTGCATCTCCAGCCACAGCCCCAGCCACTTGTTCCGGATAAAATGTGTCCGCTCCATCCGTCTTCCTAGGATCGCCGTGATCTGATACCAATCTAGACTTTCTAGGTCATGGCCGGCAGGGCACCTTGACGACAGGACCGAAACCGGATTCGCTGCTTACCAAACGTCCCAAACCAGCACCACTGATAAAGCTGAGAGGTGGGCAGCTAATCTCCCCTCGACATAGACCCTTGCCCTGCGTCAATTCGTGTTCTCATCTGTTCATTAGCGTTACTAACCATAGTCATGTACGCTGAGCCCTGGCTAGTCAATATCGAAAGTCTCTGGTCAAGAGAGCCATGTTTCTCATTTTCTCGCTGCATCAGGCAGGAATAGGGGCCAGAATCGCAGCATCGAAGCAATGTCCACACCGCGGCACAGCTTTACGCCTCACGAGAGTCGCTCGGGACTGGACAATGCCTCGACAGTGGAAAGCAGATCTCTGGCTACACAACGACCATGGGCAATTGATCCTCTTGCTGAGGAACAGTAGCCTGTACAATTGATTGGCTGAAGATTCTTTCTTCACCACCGAGGGTCAGACATCCGTCCACACGTCGGCTCTTCAGGTCGACAGCTTTGAAGCTTCTGGGAAGGTCCAGTGCATCATCCCGGTCGCGCTCGGAATCGGCGTTCCCTTCGTCTCGTCACCGGATACGCCCGACCCATCGCCCTGGCAACGTTGAAGACGGCATATTCTGTGTATTGATTCTCGCGTCCAGAGATATGATCGCTTCATCAATCTGAGGCAAGGCGCATCTTTACCTCCCGTTTGCATCTTGCTTTTCGAAAAGTTCATGAAATCGCTCAATGGGACAAGATATATCACTATCGCCCAGCGCCAACTGGGAGAGCGTTTGCTAAGGTATGCCGCCGCGGAATGTTCAAGCCGTCAGTTGCCGCTGCCATCCGACCTGCAAAATCACTGAATCTGGACCGAGCTCAGGGATGATGGTAATAACGTGTAAACAGTATTAACATCATTATTATACAAAAGTTTGGTGCGTACGTTCTGTATCCTCAAAGCTGTCGCTAATCGCCAGATGCATATCAAGTCCGACTCACTAAATTACGCCACCTGCTAGATCAGTATTCAGACAATTCAAGACATCTTCTTCACCACGCCAACAAGCCCAAGCCACCTGCTACTGCTGCCACAATCCCGCCAGAAACCCCATTCACCACTGCAGCACCGCTGGAATGCACAGCCGCCGCAGACGAGGTCGATGATCCAGTCGCCGAGCCACTCGAAGCGGAACCGTGGCTTCCAGACGCTGTGGCCGTAGACGTCGTCGTCGCCTTGGCCGTCCCACTCAGCGTCGTAGCAGCAGCTCCCGTACTTGCAGCAGTCCCCGTCGCCACAGAACTTCCACCCGACGTCGTAGTCGCCGCCGCAGCAGCAGCACCACCCAACTTCTCCACCCCACCCGTCACAGTAACCGCAAAACTCGTAACATCCGTGCCCCCATACGTCGTCGTGCTCGAACCGGGGAAATTCGCCGAACTCCCGGCGGCGCTCTCACTGCACGTCACGGGGCTCGCGGACGTCTGGCAGGCCTGCGTTCCCGTGAACCCTTCGTCGGACATGTACATGTTGTAGGTCGACGGGCCGATGGTGAGGGTCTGGTAGGGGAAGAGACCGCAGTCGGAGTCGGCGGTGGAGTAGATGGGTGCGCAGGAGAGGGCGAGGGTCGTGGCGTCTTTGTTGGCGGAGACGACGGAGGCGACCAGGGAGACGGAATCGTAGCCGTAGAAGGGGAGCGTGAGGACGGTGGACGATCCTTGTTGTTGGGCCATGGCGTAGCTCGAGAGCGCGAGCAGACTGAGGATTGTAGATGTTGCCATTTTCCTTTTCTTTCGTTCCGTTGTCGTCGTCGTCGTCGTCGTCGTCGTGTTGTCAGACTTTGAGAATACCGTAGTGTCCTCCTATGCAGATTGAATTCATTGACACGAAAGGGACCGGCCTCATCACGCGACAGCACGCGAGCATTTATAGCAAAACCTCGCAGGAATCAAACCCTAAACGCTGCTTCCTGGAGGAAAGACATGAAATCTCTTCTGATTCGACTGCGTGGCGTTCGAGCCGTTGAGAGGAGCGAGACTTGACTGCTTGAAGTATTGGTGGCGTCACAAGCGTTCCTTCCAATTTCAGGGGGCCAGTGGAGCCCGCGGCTGGCACGATGTCTGTCTTCACTGTTTAAGGTAGCTCGGCCGTATTTCGCGATTCGAAAGGCACGACAACCTATGACTACAACAAGATAGGAGAGGGTATCTGCAGGTAATTCTTTGCGGCCCAAGCCCGGATGGATGGAATCAAAGCTCATCGTTCAGTGAGTGCCCAGGTTGCTATCGCACTCTAATCTATCCTCTAGATTCTCGCGCTCGAGGCGTGTCCGACAGCAGACAAACCAACGCCATCGCTAAAGATCAAGTAACAGGTAGAAAGAAAGAAAGAAAGAAAGAAAGAAAGAAAGAAAGAAAGAAAGAAAGAAAGAAAGAAAGAAAGAAAGAAAGAAAGAAAGAAAGGAACAACGTCTAGAAATGGCCATCACGATGGTCATCATACGAATGCAGACAGTCTCTTCTGCCGCTTTTCAACATCCTTCATCTCCCCGCGAATTTCTTCGTTGAACTGTTCCCAGCCGTCCAGATAGACATGATGACCAGCCTTTCGGATGACGGTGACTTTGGCGTCACCATTCTCGAGCTGCTTCTCCCTCTCTGAGGCTTGTGCTAGGGCCTTTGCTTTCTCTTCCTTCAACCGCTCTTCGGAAGCGAGGCCACCAGCGACGTCCATCCAGTCGTTCTCTCCGTACATCATCACCACGGGAATGCCAGTCTCCTTGACTTTCAAAGTTGCATGGGAGGGAGTCGAGGACGCGTTGTCTGGAGCAGGCTCGTTATGCACCTCAAGAAATTGACGGCCCACGCCATGAATCCGGCGAATGAGCGGCGATCTTGCGAAGGCACCAGGAGCTAGGACGTAAGCCAACGCGTACTCTCCACTGCCTCTTTGACGGAAAAGAGAGTAGCTGTAGTCGTGTAGAGCTTGCGACTCCTCAGCTGGCAGATGAGAGAAACGCCTGCTCGTCCAGCCTGATACCAACCGGGGTCCAAGAGGACCTGAAAGACGAACGAGCGAGAATGGCGAGATATTTGCATCCCAGAGCGTGACCAACCACTTCGGCATATTTCTGCGAGGCGGAGGCTGTTTTTTCTGGGTAGTCGCACTAACCGCGTCTTGTGTAAACTCGTTGGCCATGGTATTGTCTCCTGGCTCGGGCATGTCTTCATTGACGGCATATGGATCTTCTGGTATGCCTACTGGCGACGCCAGAATGAGTTTGTTGAGATGTCCAGGGTACTTGAGAGCATAGCAGACTGCCATATAGCCCCCAAGACTGTGTCCTAGTAGTGTCATTTTCTCGATGCCCTTCTTTTGCCGCCACTCCTCTAGCGCATCCACGAACCAGCTCTCGGCCTCGCGAACCTTCGCCTCCTTTTCCTTGGCATGTATTCTGAACGGTGGTCTGGTGCTCCTCCCCATACCTAGAAGATCCAGCGCGTACAGTTTCCAATTCGGTTGTCGTGAGAGTCCTTCAAAGTTCTTGTAGAAGAATCCAAGACCTGCCCCGTATCCGTGAAGCATTACAAGGTTGTTGTCAACCTGCTCGCCGAGCCGCTCCACGCTGAACTCGTTCAGGGCTCGGTCCTTACCATCAAGCTGGACCATCTGGCTCCGCCACTGTCGCGGCCCATACGGATCGTTGACGCTGCTCGTCCGCTGCACAGGCTCGACAGCACTACCGGTAGACTTGTCCAGGCTTAATGAAGAGTTCGATGTGGTTGGAGGTTCGCTTGCGGTCTGAGCGTGAGTGGGCGGCTTCTGGAGGTAGGGTATGTAGCTCATGACCTTGTGCTCAGCGACCGCAGGGGTGATGGCAGCCCACCACTGCGAGAAGCCATCTTTGTAGCCGAGTGGAAAGTAGCCACCCCTCGGCTGCTGTCTCCCACTTGCGTCTGCCTCTTCCTTTGCGCGTTGCCTGGCGAGCATGGGCTTGCCACCGGTTGGAGCGTTTGGCGGCGGGGGAGTGTTCACGTCGTCTGCGGACTCGGATGCGGAAGCCATGGTCGAGTAGCTGCTGTGCTGTATGCTCAGTGGAGGGAGCTCGGCCTTGGTCTTCGCAGTAGAAGTCGTGATGGGGGACAAGGCGGCGATGAAGACGGCGGGGCGTAAGGTCGCGGGAACGGCAAGCCAGGAGACTGCCGCACTCCGGAAGGTCATGAGCGGCCGCAAACAGACACGGCGTTATCGTCGCTGTCTACGGCGGTAGGCGGAGTGGAGTGCGGTGAGGGCGAGCGCAGGGTAGGAGGAGGTGCTGGATGTAGGCAGCGGCATGACCGAGACAGGTGTTGCGAACGGCATTCTCGGTGCTTGTTGCAGTGCTTGCTGGCTGGACGGTCTGCACGTCGGGGGAGTGGTCAAAGCCAGACTCCTCTCCCCGTATTTCTCCGCCATTCAGCCCGCCCACGTTTTCCCCCGTCCGAGGTCCTCTCTCGATCCAACACATATTCCTCCGGCTCGCCATCACATGACAGCGCAACCATGAAATGAGTCCCAGACCTTCCTTCTTCTCAATAGCATCGCGACGCCCGCATCTCCGGCCGTGATCAGTCGGTGGCGGGACGGCTGAAGGGCAATCGGGTGTAAAACACAGATTCATTGGAAACCCGCATCGCTTCGCCAACATGAGCGACGTCGACCGCATAATCAAAGGCGCTCCGCCTCCAGACGTCTCCGCCGAACAGGTTGCCGCCGAAGCAAGAGCTTCATCTCCATCGTCATCATCATCATCATCATCATCATCACCATCGACTATGCCATCCGTGACTGCTCCTCTTCCTCCGCATGGACAAAGCAACGACCCGCGAGATGCCCTGCCGTCCAGCCCGCCTCAGATATATCTGAACATGCTCATTCTAGAATCATCCCTCCGCCTGCAGTACATCAGTCTCCGCGCGCGACTCAGGCTCCACTTGTTGCTCGTCGTGGGCTTAGCTGCTTGGAATCTCCTTTTCACCTACCTGCTGTTCTTCCGTCCACGCGAGGATGGCAGTGGCGTGGGAGGCAGTGTTTACTGGGTCCTCGAAGCGGCCGAGAAATTGGGCTTCTTCTCAGGCGTGATCACGCTGTGCCTCTTCTGGGGGACTGGAATGTATGACCGTGGTGTGCGTTGGCCACGGAAGTTCATCTCTACGACAAATCGCGGCCTGCGAGGCTTCAATCTTAAAGTCGTGGTCGTGAAGGGCTCCTTTCTTTCTGAGCTGGCGGGCTGGTTCGCCATGCTTGATCAGTTTGGCTGGTTCCGAGAGGATCGCGTCAACTTCCAAGTGGTGCCCAAAGACATCGAGGCTGGAGCCTCCAAAGAACTCTGGAATGCCCACGCCGCTCGTCACGGCGTTTTAGAAGAAGATCTCGCACCGGGAGGAGACGTGCTCCGAGTACTGCTTCTGCCGAAGCCGTTTAGTCCTGACTTCCGAGAAGGCTGGGACACGTACCGAATGGAGTACTGGGAGCGCGAGAACGCAAGGCGGGCCTCACTGCGCAACATAGTACGGATACGACAGCGCGAGGTGGCAAAGAAGGACGGCGGCTGGCTGTGGTGGACAGGTTGGAGAGGATGGCAAAACTTCCGCCTCGTAGGCAGAAAGTCACGACGCCAAATGGAACTGGAGAAGCTTGCCCTAAAGGATAAGCCATCGGTCGAGCGTGTGAAGGAACGCCGACGAAAAGGAAGCCTGCTCCGTGATGGTTCGCACACGCACTCTCGCGCGTCGTCGACTTCGCGTACTCCCACACCAGAGCCAGATGCGCGTCAGCAAAGGCGAGAGCGGAGGACTAGTAGCACCCATTCCAGTGCTGGCACGCGAAGGCCGCGGAAACCGCCCGTAAATGAGAAGAGCCGTCTTAGTGCTACTGAGACGCTGCTACAGCACGATTCACGCGATTTTTCTGGCCCCTCACCGCTGTCAAAGAGGAGTAGCACGATCAGCACAGGAAGCTCTGAAGATGGCATCAAGAAGGAGGAGGAGGCAGATTCGCCACTGAAGCAAGAGCCTCTTTTCGCTGATGACATAAAGGCCGAGCCTGCAGAGGCATGAGAATGTAGGCGCTGTTAGTATCAACAGAATCGCTCGTGATCTTTGCGGACATCGCTCACGTGTTCACTTGCCAGAACATAAATGTTCTTCACTGCTGCACAACTGGTTCCAACAGGCATTTATTGACCCCACCAGATTGCATACAGCGTGTGATGTGTTGATATCCAATGACCACGACGATTCCAGGACACTTGGGACAGCGTCTGAACGCTGCATGTCGCGTGGCGTGTAGTACTGGAAGTCTAACAAGTCCAACAAGAAGATCGTTATTGCTCCTCGCTACCAAACGACGTATGGCGAGAAACAAGAAACAATGATAATGTGCTCTGTCTGATAAAGTCGATTTTGGCGAGTCCGGTGCGTCTCCTAGAAGCATTGCTCGTCCCGTCGCCATGCAAGCAGACGACAGGTATTGGCTTATTGGGAAAGGCGACGATGCTTCGTTATCCTCACGTCATTCCCCTGCCTAACGACGACCTGAGCCTCCTGAGAACCAGCGGCATCCCAAACAAGCACGCAAATCTTCTCTATGGCGCAGCCACCGGGCCTGCATTCTCCAACTGATGCTCCGGGAGAAGTCAATTCTAAGGCAGTCTCGGTGTTCACTGGTAGCGATTTTGCTGCGCAGCAGATTGTCATCACAAAAGATTCCGTAGTCGCTCAGTTTAACGAGGTAGTTGGCACTTTTTCATCAAGTCTCGACCTGCAACGCTGGAGAGCACGCAATATGGAGGACTCACAACAACGCTAGAAGACTACACCAACTTGTATGACAGCGAAATGGCAACCGAGTTCAAGGCCGACTGGGCAAGCTCACTGGCATGCTCACGAACGATACATACCCAGGATTTGTGATTCTCGATGGAGCGCCTTTCACTGCACCCTGGCAGCGTTAGATGTCTGATGCCTGGTCGGGACACTGTACCCTTCAACGCCTACGACGATGCCACTGTAAGCGCCATTACCGGACAAACGCTCTCAGGCCTTCTCAGTACGTCACGGCTGTTTCTACGCTGACCAGCGGAAGCAGAGCACGCTCCACAGCGCACGCCCATGTCCGTTGCTGCAAGCTTGTGATGCTTACTTCTATATTTCCATTTCCAAGACTCAGTGTGACTTCCTGCCACTGCCCATCAGGACCAATTTTGGCGCCAATCAATCTGATTTACAAACCTGAAGATACTGCGAAACGACTGGTGGTTTGCCAACATGATGTTCAAAATCAACGACTTTTGGACGGGTCACTCGAAACTCTTTCACCTGGGAGATTATCTTGGAGGCTGCGATGAGGACGCGGAGTGATGGGACACCGGGTATCCTCACCCACTAGACCTTGTGCATGCTCGCTGCGGTCGCCATCAGCGTTGCTCGGCGCCCAAGGTGATCTCCTCCAGGCCGAAGTTCAGATGCTCCATAGTAGCAGCCATGGCGTGATCCCCAGCGAGATTATGTGGGTGAAGGCGGTCATCATCAGAAGAAGAAGAAGACGACGACGATGATCTACAAGTCTTTGTGTTGGGTTGACCGTCAATTACTCGACTCAGTGGGATGTTTTGGTGTTTTAGTGTGCGTTGGCAGTGGGCAGCGAGCAAAGTTCAAACCAATTGCCAAGCCAAGCTCGGATCTTCATGTGATAAGGGGAAGCCGGAAGGAGCGACCGGCCTTCACTGCAACATGTCTGAAATCAAACCAGAGAGCTGATCGATCAACGTGCTTGCAGGACTACACTGCTGCTCTTGAACGGGAGATATGCTGGAAATTCTTCACTGCGATGCGCAGACCACTGAGCTAGGTGATACGCCGAGACTGCTTCGATCAGTCACGGACGCAGCAAAGCAGAAGCGAAAGAAATACTGTACTCAAATTATGCCAATGCAATATCTACTCTATCAAGCCTTGCCCGCGGCGATCTCCTTCTCCCGGTCAACTTTCTCCTTTTCGGCCTGCAGGCGTTTCTGTTCCCGTTCAAGCTGGTCTGGTCTGCGCACTGCAATGTCCTTAGGCTTGTAATCGCTGAAGAGGACCTTCAGCAACTTCTCTATGCACCAGCAGCCAACATAATCCAGAACCATCATCAAGCAGAGAGTGACCTTGAACTCAGTGGCAAAGGGCACCAGCTGCAGTTTCTCATTGATCTCCGGAACAAATTCGGTTGCGCAGGAGAAAGCAACTGCTGTGACGAGTACGATGCCCCAGTACATGCCCCTGTTCTCCTTGATCGACTCGCGGAACGGTCGACCTTGGTAGTTGATGGCGAAAGTCGAAATCTGTTGGATGAGTTGCAAGAGGTAGATTGCGGAATTGAGAAGCGATGGCTCAAACTTCTGCTCTAAGTCTATCTTGCTGCGAGGTGTTCTTTCTTCGAACTTGTGAACGTAGTCTGAGATGTAGATGAGGGTGGCGATGTGCACGGCAAATTGCCCAAGCACAGACGGGATGATGTACCAGTTCCAGATGTTGTTCTGTGGACGCTCCTTTGAGAGCTGCTCGACAGTCTGCCAAGAACATTAGCCATCGTGATCATCAGTATCACGAAATCAAACGACGTACCTTGGCGCGGGAAATGCTCAAGAAGCATACACTCATGAGCATTCCGCTAATAGTGACCTGTCCGTCGCCAAATTTGATGCCTTCTAAGTACAGCACACTCAAGCTGTATGCGCTGATCAGGCAATTTAGCGCCAGAATCTTGTACATCTGGATGGTCGCGACCAGTGTGCAACGTCCTTGCCGGATAATGTTAGGAATGGCGACGACGTTTGCGAGTTTGCTCGTAAAAGGCGCTGCAATCGAAGCATCCCCCAATTTGATGGTGGGTGGCTCGTCAGCGTTCAGTTCGTCCTCAAGCATGGACATAGACAGCTTCTCTGCCATCGCACTGGCAGCGTTTTGAGCCTTCTGCTTCTTTTGCTCCTGTGGCGATAGCGTTTCGGGAGCCCGCTGCGCTGGCTGAGGCGGAGGCGTATATTTGCTGACGGTGCCGTTGGCACTGCTGTTCTGCTCGTGCTCTTTTTGAGCTGCAAGTTGAGCCTTGGCCGACGACTCCCGCTCCACAGCCTTGTCGTAATGCGGATTTGTCGGTCCAGGAGGATAGAGGTGAGCGATGTGCGCCGGGACGGGCGGCTCTGGTTGGTTGAAGCGCTGCATCATAGCTTTCTGTTTCTCGTAGATCTCCTTCATCTTGGTCTCGCGGAAATGCTTGGCAATCTTGTCCATATCCTCCTTGGTTCCATTGAGAAGAGCAACTCCAACATGAGCTTGCTTCAAAGCGCCCACGTCGTTGGTGCCGTCTCCAGCCATGAGCGTGGTGTAGCCTTGCTCCTTCAAGCCCAAAAGAATCTCCTCCTTCTGCTTTGGTGAAACGCGTGCGTACACCCAGGCGTGCCGCACCAGCGAATGGAATGCCCGTTGGTCTCTGAACTTTGCCAAGCCGTATCCTGTTACGCACAAATCCTTGTTTTTGATGATTTCTGGATCGAGATCCTTGGTTGGATCCACGGGAATGTTGATCTTATCATCAACACTTCTCCACACCAGCTTTTCGCCGCTGTCATCGTTCTCAGGTGCATCAAGGATAAGGACGTCGCGGTCCACAATCTCGACTTGGCGAGCAACGTGAACAGCCGTGAGTGGGTTGTCGCCAGTGATCATGACAACGCGATGACTGCTCTCGTTCAACATGCGCACAGCCTTAATGGCATCATCTTTAAGAGGGCACTGTAGAATTAGAAACCCAGCGAAATGAAGATCACGCTCGACATCCTCGCGTTTGAGGTCGTTAACCTTCTTTTGCGAGATCTCATCGTTGGTGGACATGTACTTGTAGGCCAATGCCAGCACACGGGCTCCGTTCCGGCTGAAGTACTTAAAAGTCTCCTCGTACTTGGGAGGAACATTGACGAGCATCTTGCGAATTGTCTCCGGCGCTCCCTTGACGCCAACGAAGGTGCCCTTGGTCTTTCTCCCAGTTTGGTGGTCGGTAGTAATTGCCGTGGCGATGGAGCTCTGCCTCTTCAACACAGAGGAGAATTGGAAGCGGCGCTTAATTTGAACCGTGTTGCCGCCTCCAGTCTTCGGCGATAGCGTGTCATTCTTGCCCAGAGTCCAGCCGAGAGACTCTAGAGTGGCCTTCTCCATGGGCTCTCCAACCACGTCACCTTCTTCAAGCTTGACGAGCGCATGTGCGGTAGCAAGTGTGAGTGTGGTCTCAAGCCCTGTGTCTGTGACTCTGGTGAGGAGGCTCTGGGCACCGTCCGCTTCCTTTGGAACATCGTCCCGGCCTAGGAAGAGTCCCGCAATGCCATCGACCACGAGGTCCTCGCCAGTGAGCGTCCCAGTCTTGTCGAAACATGCCACGTCCACACGACCTGCAAATGGAATTCGGAATGGCTCTGTACAGAAGATAGCATATTTGCTGAGAGCCGCCAAACTCGTGTTTACGGCCAAGCTCAGCTCCATGGGCAGCTCTGGTGGAACGACAGAGGTAATGATGAGAACGCAATCTAGGAGCAACTTCGACCTCTTTCGATCCTGCTTGACACCCTCAACCCATACGTACCATGACGCTGCAATAGCGAATACACACAGGAAGAGAATGAAGAGCAGAGCTTCCACGTTGTTGGCAGAGACACGCTCAGTCGAGTAGATCATCGTGCGAACGAGCGCACCTTGGTTGGTTTCGAACCCGGTTTTCAGTACCACCGCCAGAGCACCTTTGTCCGGAGCACCAGGCACTCCCGAAGCGATTTGAGGAACAGTATCTGGTGCATCCTCCGAAGCATTGCCGTGCTGCACCTGAAGGACTTTAGTGCCACCCCAAAGCAACGCGTTCTTGTCCAGTCCATCCGGTTCGAGTCTTGCCTCGGCTGGTCGCAGTTGGATAGAGTCTTTCAGAACCGGCGTACTCTCTCCGGAGAGCATAGCCTCGTTCACAATCGCGCTTCCTTCGACTAGGAGCATGTCGCAAGCCACGCCAGAATCTTCCTTCGTTCTTCCAACCGAGATGAGATCTCCAGGGAGCAGCGCATCACTCTGTACCTCCGTCCATTTCTTCTCTCGGTATACCCAGACATTGTATGGCTTGATACTCATTCCTCGGAATTCCTTAAGCGTCCGCTGACGTTGCCAGACGACAGTCGATTCGAAGACGACCAGCATAAACAGCGTGAAGAGCGAGTAGTACCAGTACTCATCCAGCATCCAGAGTCCGACACAGAACACCTGGAAGACGAAAAATGGTGCAACAGCATGTTCCTTGAAAAGCTCCGTGAAAGTTGGCACCGGGATGTCGAAGATATTTGGTCCATAGTACTGCTTCAGCCTCTCGATGTCTGCGGCCTTCTCCAACCCTTTCGATTGCTGGAATTCTTTGATGGACGGCTTGGGCTCGTTATCGATACTGTACGAAAGCGGCGCAAAGGTTCCCTTCTGGTCGTCATACAAGAATCGTCTCTTTTGGAAGAGGAAGCTGGTATTGTCCCGTCCTGCAACTCGCTCCCTCTTTATTTCGCAGATCTCACTTACTCCCGCATTTGCATCTGGCATCACCTTGATCAAACCAGCATCGCCCACGTTCTTGGCCCGCGTAGCTGTAAACCAAGCTCTTATGTTCACATCCCAGAATGTCATAAGCCATAACAGTGACTGGAGGGTGAAAATGCTGCCGGCGTAAACGAATGTCCATTCTTGGCCGTTGATGTACTTGTCGTAGCTTTCTTGCGAGAAGTAGAAGCTGAAGAATACGGGCCAGAGCACGGCGAAAGGCCAGACATATGTGTGGAAAGCGAGTGGGCGTGGATTGTGCAGGGACGCAGATTTGATCTCTGCTCGATCTACGAGTGGCGCCCTGTACAACCGTCAGTATCAGAAGGAGAACAAGATGTCTTCCAGCACTTACATGTTGGCAAGATTGAGATGGCGACAACGCAGGAGAACAAAAGTTGAACGTCGACCTATCTCGAGGGACGCGGAAATCTGGCCGCTTTGTATGCCACGTGACTGTGAACCCTAAAATCGGCAGAAATGGTATCGTTGTTACATTTCGCCACGGACGGCGAGATTGAGCTCGCAGAAAGTCATATTCTCGCTTGGAGATTCCAAATATCTGGGATCTCGATCAGGGAACAATTGCACGTGAAGCACGTGAAGATTCGTGATTGCTGCCTGAAAGCTGTAAGGCAGAAGTACGTAACGTTGCGGAGTCACGTCCATCAGCTTCAAAGACGCTCACTTGACGCTCACCAGCACCACTGTACCGCCTTCCTCTCCCACTCAAACACCACCTACAACCACTCTCCTTCCTTTCCTCCCGCACGCCTGCGAATACCCGCGCCGGTCGACCATCTACGTTTCCAGTCGAGAGTACATGCGAGCAGGAGCCATCGCCGCCGCCACAGTCACGTCTCTGGCAGCCTGAGGACACCGTATAGGTGACTGCATTGCAGTGACTGCCTGCACACAGCAAGCTCGGTCTGCCGCAGAGCGCATATCAGACGCGCTCTTCCACCTCTGACATTCTTCGACCCACACACCACCACTCAACAACCACACCAGCGCTGCCCGTCATGTCCAAGGCAGCAGCAGCGGCGGCCCAGAAGCCGGCTCCCACCATGCCCACCAACAAGGACGACATTCAAGGCACCTGGGCCTTTCTGGAGTGGGGCGTGGAGCGTATCATGTACAGCCTCAGCGAGGGTGTCGATCTCAAGACATACATGTCGCTCTACACCTCCATCCATAACTTCTGCACCGCGCAGAAGGCTGTCGGCACGGGCTCTCCTAACACGAGCAACCTGAACTCGAGCCATCGCGGCGCTCATCTTCTCGGAGAGGATCTCTACCACCGATTGAACGACTACCTGAAGAAGCATCTGGATCTGGTGAAGCAAGAGATGGTTCAGCATGCCGACGAGGCACTGCTCACATTCTACATCAAGGAGTGGAAGCGCTACACTCAGGCTGGCATGTACAATAACCATCTATTCCGCTACTTGAACCGCCACTGGGTGAAGCGAGAGATGGACGAGGGAAAGAAGGACGTCTTCGACATATACACTCTTCATCTGGTGCGGTGGAAGGAGGACATGTTTGGCGATGCTCAAAACGCTGTCATGCAAGCCGTGTTGCGTCTTGTGGAGAAGCAGCGGAACGGTGAAACCATTGAGCAGTCCAAGATCAAGGATGTGGTTCAGTCTTTCGTCTCTCTCGGTATCGATGAAGCGGACAGCACCAAGACCACTCTTGACGTCTACCGCGAACACTTCGAGAAGCCATACTTGGAAGCTACTGCTAGGTACTATACCAACGAATCGCAGCAATTCCTTGCGGAGAACTCGGTCGTCGACTACATGAAGAAGGCCGAGAAGCGTCTGGACGAGGAGCGAGAGCGTGTACCTCTTTATCTTCTTCCAGAGATCATGCAACCACTCATGAAGACTTGCGAGGGTGTTCTTATCGCCGCACATGCCACTGTGCTTCGAGACGAGTTCCAAGTGCTTCTTGACAACGATCGCGAAGACGACATGGCTCGCATGTACAAGCTCCTTGCGCGTATTCCGGAAGGCCTTGACCCTCTTCGTACCCGTTTCGAGAACCATGTCCGTCAAGCTGGCCTGCTCGCAGTTGAGAAAGTGGCAGACCAAGGCGAGAGCCTTGAACCAAAGGCATACATCGACGCACTTCTGGAGGTGCACACTCAGTACGCAGCGCTGGTCCAGAACGCATTCATCGGCGAGTCGGAATTCGTTCGCTCGCTTGACAACGCATGTCGCGAGTACGTCAATCGCAACAAGGTCTGCGCCAAGAACTCGAATAGGAGCCCTGAGGTCCTAGCCAAGCATGCGGACAACGTTCTCAAGCGATCCACCAAAGCAACCGAGGAAGACGACATGGAGAAGTTGCTCGACCAGATCATGACGATCTTCAAGTACATTGAGGACAAGGACGTGTTTCAGAAATTCTACTCACGCCACTTGGCCAAGCGTCTGGTCAACGGCACATCTGCCAGCGGCGACGCGGAGACATCCATGATCTCCAAGCTGAAGGACGCATCTGGATTCGAATACACCAACAAGCTCCAGCGCATGTTCCAGGATATGCAAACCTCGAAGGATCTCAACGCTGCCTACGAGGAGTGGTGCGCGCAGAACATCGACAAGGAGGACCGCAAGGATCACATCGACGCCACTTATCAAATCCTTGGCACAGGCTCTTGGCCTCTGCAGTCACCACCAACGACTTTCGCACCTCCTACGGCGATTGTCAAGACATACGAGCGCTTTGCCAACTTCTACAACAACAAGCATGGTGGCCGCAAGCTCACTTGGCTGTGGCATCTGTGCAAGGGAGAGATCCGTGCAAACTTCATCAAGATGAACAAGGTTCCGTACACCTTCCAGGTCTCCACCTACCAGATTGCCATTCTTCTCCTCTTCAACGACAACGAGACAGTCACTTACGAGACTATTGCTGCGGAGACTGCTCTTGCTAAGGAGACCCTTGATCCATCCATCGCAATCATGCTCAAGGCGAAGCTGCTGACCGCCAGCCCTGAGAACACCACCGCTCCTGGCACTGTCTACTCCATCAACCTAGGCTTCAAGAACAAGAAGGTCAAGGTCAACCTCAACATCGCCATCAAGTCTGAGACGAAGCAGGAGACCGAGGACACGCACAAGACGATCGAAGAGGATAGAAAGATGCTCATGCAGTCCGCGATTGTGCGCATCATGAAGTCGCGGAAGCAGATGAAGCACAGCCAGCTGGTCTCTGAGACCATTGGCCAGATCAAGAACCGCTTCTCGCCCAAGGTGGGTGATATCAAGAAGTGCATCGACATCTTGATCGAGAAGGAGTACCTTGAGCGCCTGGAGGGCGATGACTTGGGCTACCTGGCCTAGATAAGTCGAGGATATAGGTACCTGCATTTTGCAAGAAATTACATACGGCGTTTTATGAGAGGAATTCATGGGTTCAAAGGTGATCCTGGTGAGCTGGGCTTGAGCTGGGCTGGTGGGATTGCTTGGGCTACTTTAGCATGGCGTGGGCGTTCTACCACACTTACGTAGGGACAAGGATGATGAGATGCCTTTACGTCGCTGCCATGGAAGTGCGACTGGCTCCGGGAAGAGCAATAGATCGTGCATGAGGGAACGAAGAGAGTTACCATTACTTCAAGGGCCCTTTCTTTTTGACACTCCTCCGATACACAACCCGCTTTCGTCGTGATTTTATGAGTTGAATACTGTGATTTGTACATCTGTATCATACATATATAGTGCCATGGTGGCCCGTAGAGCGATATTACTTTGCGGTTGTGCTCTCGCGTCCATCGTGCCACGCTTTGGGAACGAGAGAGTCAGACTCGCTCAGAGGCTCCTGCTGCTTCGCCGGTTCTGTTCTCGATGCCGCTCTCTCTGCTGCTTGCGGCTCACTTGAGACCGGAACAGCCTCGCCTGGACCCTGCTGACCTTGTGTCTCCAGCTGCGCATCGACGTCTTCCTCATCCATCTCCGACCCGTAGATTTCGGGATGCTCCCGGAAGCAGTTCTGCATTGTCTTGAAATGCTCGATGCACTCCACACCCTTGGGCTCCTCCTTGGAATAGACGAAGCAGCTGAAGGCCGCTCGGAATTGTTCTCCACAGGGACCGTGGGCCATGCCGCCGAGACATGGACAGTCCCAGTTGATCTCGCCCGTCTCTTCGTTGAAAGCGCCTTGTTGTTCCGCTTCTTCTTCTAGCGCTTCGGGACCCTCTGCTGAAGCCGGCGGAGCCGAGATTGAAGCCTCTGTGGTGGTGGGGCTTTCGGGTTGTCGTTGAGTCTGGGTGGATCGTGCGCGGGCTCGTCGTTGTTCGGCCGTCGAGTCGACGGTGCGGTAGGTTTCTGATTCGTGTGGCGTTTCGGGAGCTGTATGGACTGCATCTGAAATCATGTCAGGATCTAATTCATCTCGATGCGGTGGGGTTATGACTTACATTGCGGCTCCTCTGCGAAGACATTGGCGGTGTTGTAGTAGTACACAATCGCACCTGCTGCTCCCCATCTGAGAGCAGCGCCTCTCCATGTCCCGGACTTTGAAGCCGCCGTGCTGGCGAATCTCCTTCCGATTCGCTGCGCTTTGGGTATGGATCTTGCCGTGGTGGCTGCTCGGATCGCAGGTCGAAACATTCTGAATTGCGAATGCGCTCACAGACAAAGGAAAGGCCGATGTGATGATGGGAGAGAAGAGAGTTGTGTCTTTGGTGGAAGCGTTTGTCGAATCGCTCGCGAAGCTTTGAAATCACGTCGGATCGGTCCGATCGGCTGATCTTTTTGCCGCGCAATGGATTTCATCATCACCAAATGACTCGGGAGTGTATGATGGACGATCCGGACTACATCCGAGTACTGAACGCCGAGACGCCAATGGATAGAACAAGTGGTGACCGCCCCAATGGACAACACACGACGGAGTTGCACCCTTGTCGCTATCTCCAGTCAAGCTCAAATCCCGTGGACTTCGACAAGACCGCGCTTATCATCTTGAACTCGCCAATCCAAGATCTTGGCCTCCTCGAAGCTCTATATGGTCACGCAGGCTACCGTATCTGCTGCGATGGAGGCGCGAACCGGCTCTACGATCTGCTGTCGCAGCAAAAGACTCCAGAGACCCTGCGGACACTACTACCAAATGCCATTCATGGAGATCTGGATTCTCTGAGAGACGACGTCCGCAGGTACTACGAGGAGCACGACGTCAAAGTCATGCGCGATCCCGATCAGAACAGCAACGACTTTGGAAAATGCATGGCCTACATCGCGGACGGATTGCCGAGCGTGCAGACTGTCCTGGTGTTGGGCAGCCTTGGAGGCCGTGTGGATCAAGGTATAGGCCTGCTACATGGGATCTACCGCGAACAGAAACATCAACGGCCCCATTTACGATTGCTCTTCTTCTCTGAAGGCAGTGTCAGTATGGTGATCATGAGCGGAACAACCACCATTCACACGCCACTGGGAGAAGGCGTGATTGAAGAGAACGTTGGGATCTTGCCGCTCTACGGCAAGGCTGTGATCAGCACGGAGGGGCTGGAATGGGATGTCCGAGACTGGCCAACAGAGATGGGCGGAAATGTGAGCACGTCGAATCACATCAAGGCAGACCAGGTGTCCATCATTTCCGATGTTGACGTTCTGTTTACGATCGAAAGAAGGACCACATGATGATATGCGTCCAGTGTAGATTGGAAGCGAGCTGCCTGCGGCTCTTGCCTATCGCCACGTAGCTCCCATCCAGCCACCTTGGTACTGGAGAAGGCGAAGAAGCGCAACGCGCAAGTGATATTGAAGTGAGACCTGGTATTTGGCAGCTTGCGCTGAGAGACGTTGTACGCTGGCCAGGTCTACGTATTCCAAATCCGGCCTTGACGGCGAGACCTCTGCAGAGAAGGACTGTATTGGAAAGGAGGTAGAGGGACAAAAAGAGAGTTGGACCGTCTCTGAGCCGATGGGGAGATTAGATGGGGATTTATTTTCCCATTAGATCGAAGAAACGAAATGCATCAAGGCCCATTCCGCTGACCCCGGGGGTTCCTGCAGTGGTTGAGTGGCACATGAAGCATTACACGGCATGGCATGTATGCTCGTGGTTGACGGACACGCGCAGGATGGAACCACGTTCAAGGACGTCATCAAGTCGAAAACCTCAATGCGTCTGCTTCCATGGCTGTACCAGAGTCGCTGTCTACATACCACAGAGCAACGGCTGGGAATCGGACGTGTGTGAAAGGGGGATTTTTTTTCCTAAGCACAGGGATAGCTGCTGTGGCGCAAAAGACCCTGCAGTTTAGAGTATGCAGCCTGAGCAAACAAATTGACGACGTCGCAATGTGTATGGAGTATCGCGACCGGCCCATTTGTCAAAGCAGCGACCGGATGGGTGTTGTTGGCAAAGGCGGCGATTGACATGTGATTGTGCAGAGGATGGAGGGAAAGACGGAGTGATAATAAAGTGAGGTGCGAGGGGGGCACGGGCCTCCGGGTAGTGGTTTCCTTCTCCGGATGTGGACCCTGCAGAGCGGCGGGAGTGGGAAGGCGCTGCACACCTACTAGTAGTAGTGTGTGCGTGTGGGCGAAGACATTTCTACCCACTGTGCACCCACCTGCACCTGGCAGCAGTGGTGACCGCCGGCCAGCCAGACCTCTCTACCACCAAGTGCGACTCTGCGAATTCGAATTTGCCGTGCAGGCCTTATAGGAACACGCGACTGCTCGACGACGGCTGCACCCACGACGAGCGCCCTGTGTGCTGCGAGCCCGCCCTGCACGCGCCCGTTGGCCCCGACACTCACGACGCCTCCGCCTCCCACTGCACTCTCCCACTCTCCCACTCTCCCTCCCCGCCGCAAGCCTCTGAGAGCTGCACACTACTCCTGTGTACCTTCCTCAAGGTAGAGACGACAGCCATGCTCCTATAGAGCACCCACCACACCACACCACACCACACCACACCACACCACTGCACACACACCACTCACCATGCCCTTCACCTGCGACCCATTTACTGCAGCGCATTGCACGGTCAGTCATCCTCCGGTCTCTCCAACACCGTCCAACACCCTTGAACGCCCCTGCTAAATCCACCGTCGCATGCAGGCTTGATATACCGTTTCCACAACCTCATCGTATACGACTCCCACTGCCGCGACCTGGGAAGAAATCCAACCCGATCCCACCACACCTCTACCCTTACCCCATTGGCGACCATGGCGTGGCAGCCACAGCCAGACCAGCTCAATCAGCTGGCTCAGTGCCTTCGAGATTCTCTCAGCGGCCATGACGTCGCTGCACAAAAGAATGCAGAGCAGGTGCGTGGAAAGCTGGAGGTCCGGCTTCTGGCGAGCTTTCACTGACGGCGTGACAGATGCTACGGCAAGCAAAGAGCTCCCCAGACATCAACAACTACCTCGTATACCTATGCGTAACGCCCAACTCCACCACTGGTCTTCCACCAGATGCATACCATGCCGCCCGCAGCGCCGCGGCCATCATGCTCAAGAACAATGTCAAGTCTTCGTACAGATCATTACCGGAGCAGAGCAAGTCATACATCAAGTCCAATGTGCTGCTTGGTCTGCAAGATCGGAACACGCAGATCCGCAATTATGTCGGAAATGTCATCACCGAGACTGTTCGACAGGGCGGTATCCTCGGCTGGTCACAGGTGCTGCCCGAACTGGTCGCCATGGTGGAGAATGGCCAGGATCCTAATGCCCAGGACGGAGCGATGAGCGCCCTCTTCAAAATTTGCGAAGACAACCGCAAAGCGTTAGACCAGGAGTACCAGACACAGCGACCCCTGGCCTTCTTATTACCCAAGCTCGTCGAGTTCACGCGCAGCCAGAACCTCAAGGTCAGGTCGAAAGCGCTTGCTGCGATCAACGTCTTCTTGAACGAGCCAGTCGCACTCACGATTCGCGAGAATATCAACGAGATCCTGCCCGAGATTGTGCGACTATCGACAGACAGCGAGGCCGATGTGCGCAGATTCGTGTGCCGAGCATTTGCACTGCTCGCGGATTCTCTGCCTGGGGTGCTTCTTCCTCACGTCCAAGGAATTGTTGACTATACCCTGTCGCAGCAGAAGGATGTCCATAATCAGGAGCTGGCCTTGGACGCGGCCGAATTCTTCTTTGAAGCTAGCAGCAACGCGGAGCTGCGGCAGGCACTGGGTCCACACCTGAGCCGGATTGTCCCGGTGCTTCTCGACTGCATGATCTACAGCGAGGACGATCAGCTGCGCCTAGAGGGCGATGAAGACGATGCTGAACTCGACGATGAGGCCAAGGATATCAAGCCACAATTCGCCACCTCCAAGTCATCTCGAGCAGATCAGAGCGGAGCTAGTACTGCTCAAACCAACGGCCAAGCTAAGCCTGCCGTCAATGGCTTCGCTTACGAGGACGAGGACGACGACTTGAGTGAAGGTGAGATCGACGAGGATGAAGACTTCGACGATATCGATCCTGAGGAGGAGTGGAATCTCCGAAAGTGCTCTGCAGCCTCGCTCGACAGCCTCGCCGGGCAATTTCACAGTGATGTCTTCAAACAAGTCCTGCCTTGGCTAATGGACAACCTACAACACCGAGACTGGCCAAACCGTGAAGCAGCAGTACTAGCTCTTGGAGCTATCGGTCCTGGATGCATGGACGACATAACGCCGCACCTGCCACAGTTGATCCCGTACATGCTCACCCTTCTGAACGACCAACAGCCGGTTGTGCGAGTGATCACTTGTTGGTCGTTAAGCAGGTACGCACAATGGGCGGCGCACGACGAGGCCGCGCCGAAGCGGGAGTTCTTCGAGCCGATAATGGAAGGTCTGCTTCAGCGTATGCTCGACAACAACAAGAAGGTCCAAGAGTCAGCCGCTTCCGCCTTTGCGGCCCTAGAAGAAAAGGCAAATACCGCTCTCGCACCGTACTGTCATGTCATCCTGCAGCAGTTTGTCAAATGCTTTGGCAAATACAAAGACAAGAATATGTACATTCTGTACGACTGCGTACAGACTCTGGCCGAACATGCGTCGCCGACACTCGCACAGCCGGAGAACGTCAATCTTCTGATGCCGGCCTTGATCGAACGCTGGCACAAAGTACAGGACCAGTCGCGGGAAATGTTCCCGTTGCTCGAGTGCCTCTCCTTCGTCGCTCAAGCTCTTGGAGCACAGTTTGCGCCATTCGCTCAGCCACTCTTCATGCGCTGCATCAAACTGATTCAGCAAAACTTGGAGGACGGCCTCTCGGCAGAGCAATCGTTCATGGATCAACCGGACAAAGACTTCCTGGTGACCAGCCTAGACCTGTTAAGCAGCATCATCCAGGCGCTGAGCGAGGATCAAAGTACACAACTGGCAACGTCTGCCCAACCCAACATGTTCCAGCTGCTTGCATATTGCATGAAGGATGGGAATAACGACGTGCGCCAATCAGCATACGCCTTGCTTGGCGACTGCGCCATCTACATCTTTCCACAGCTCCAGGAGTTCTTGCCGGACCTGATGGAGATCCTCCTTGCGCAGCTTGACCTCAATGAGGCGTCCGTGGATGCGGAGACGGCCTTCCGGGTGATTAACAATGCCTGCTGGTCTTGCGGCGAAATCGCCATGCGCCACAAGGAGGGCATGACACCCTACGTTGAACGACTTCTCCACAAGCTGGCCATTATTATGTTCAACAAGGACGTTCCAGATTCTCTGCGAGAGAACGCAGCGATTGCACTCGGTCGACTCGGACTTGGTTGCCACCAACAGCTGGCTCCGCATCTTGAGAAGTTTGCGCCGCCGTTCTTGCAGTCCATGCAGAAGGTCAGCTGGACCGACGAGAAGGGCCATGCGTACAAAGGCTTTGTCAACATTGTGCTTGACAATCCCAAGGCGCTGGAGAACTGCTTGCTGGACTTCTTTCTGGAGATGGCCAACGCACCGGGACTCTTCCTCACCGGCATGCAGGACGACGGACCCCTGAACGGCTTCGAGCGGGTACTGGCACAGTACAAGCAGATGATCGGAGATGGCTTCGACCAATATCTGCACAACCTACCGGCGCCGAAGGAGCAGGCACTGCGCCAACTGTATTCCTTTTAGCAAAGGGGAACGGTGATGGTCTGTATCTAAACTCCGGTCCTGGGCGGCACAATGTCACTCACGCGTTGCAGTCTCTCTCCCCCAGGATGGCGAGATGATGAGGATTGACAAGAAGGTATTACTCATTTACACGGCGTTTGCTTTACGATACCAATCTAGATAGCGAGTTTGGGGACGGCGATGCGACGCGTGCCCTTTGTGCAGCGTCTCTGTTTCAGCGTAGCATCTGATCGCGATAGGCGACAGCGCAAAAGAGGATGTTTTCCGGCGGGAGTCATTGTTTTTTCTGGCATCAGTATGCAGCGGCGGATGCGTAGCTATGGGAGGAAAAGGGATATAAGGTCGCAGATAGAGGCATTTGGAGCGCGAGCGGGTGGTTTATGAGCGAAGAGAAGTGTATTTGAACGGAGGCGATGTTTGATGCACGCCGGGTGGTTACGAAGGCAAGCGCGTATCGCTGCGAATGATGAATGAAGGGCGCGGAAAAAGAGAAGCCAGACCTCCATGTAGATAGGACTGAGGACAGGCCGTATATGGGATATTGCGGCCAGAAAAGCCAATGGCTCCGGATCGCTCCCATTCACATGCATGACAAGAAGCCGCTCCCTCCCCTTGAAGACCGGGGATCCATGTCTAGAATCGGTGTCTTCTGCTTAGCCGCGGAATGTTCTATGGCGAGTTGAGATTGTGTAGTCAATGGCGAAGGGTGGCTTTGTTTCACAGTGGTGAAGGTGACCTTACGAATATCATAACACAAGGTACCTTATGATATCGTTGGTTGTTGGTACGGTACGGTACGGCACGGGTGGGCGTCTAGCAAGCGTCTTGCATTCGTCACTCGCCAAGCCAAGCCCAGACTCGCATCCTTCCATCGCCCATCACTACCGCCGCCCGCACCTTCGGCCTACCCGACTGCACCGTACCGTACCATACATCTACTGTGCACATCAGCCTCCTACCAGCCCTCCACTACCACCACCACCACCACCACCACCACCACCACATACCACATACCACACTGTTATCCCGACGCCGCCTCTTGGACATACCGTTCCGCCCACAATACCACGACGGAAGGGCGCCTTACTGCATCCGACCGCTGCGCCCGCACGAGGGGACGCTGCGCCGCTCGCCGGAAGAGGGCCGACAGGACATCCCGCTGAACTCAGGTGCACTTTGTTTTGGGCGCCTACATCCGGACACCACATCGCCTGCGTGCGACTGTGAACCACACAAACAACCTGGCCTAATCCACGACATCTGCCCATGGCGCAAAGAGCGCTTCGAGATGGTGACAACTACGGCCATGTCTCCTCCACCCTGGCGACTTCCTACACCTCATCGCACACCATGCCCACACCCACACCCGACATGACCGCGACGAGCGCTGTGCAATGGCAAGTCGAGGCAGGCAGGACCCGCTGGCCTGGTGGCAAGATAACGTGGGAGGACTATCAGCAGAACACCGTGACCGAAACCGGGCTGGGCTCGACGGGCAAGGGCATCTTGATAGGAATGCTCTCGGCTTTTGGGTCTGCTGCGCTGATCGGCCTCGTCATTGCCGTCATCTACTTCTTCCGACACACCAGTCGAGGGCGCATCTTCTTGGACCGGATCAGCCGGCCGGGAGAATTCGATGATGAACAGTCTTTCTTGCGCGAGGAAGAGGAGGCACTTGCGGACATGGACGATTTGCAGCGTTCAGAATACTTCAGAGCGAAAGGTACGTTTTGATGGCACGTTTTCGAGAGTATACGGTATGGCTAACACAGGCAACAGCATTTGTCCAAGCGAACCCTCCCGAATCCGTTCAAACCGACATATCATTATCACAATTCTTGGCGATTCAAGAGAAGGGCGTGTCAGCGTGGGAGTTTGAGCCGGAGTTGGAGATTGCAAATTGCTTCGTGGAGGCCAGGACCGAGATTGAATTCTTCGACTCCGAGTGTAGTGTGCAGACCAACCTGCCGATTCCCAAACAAAACGAGGTATACTACTGGGAGGCCAAATTATACGACAAGCCGGATGCTACACTAGTCAGCGTTGGAGTAACAACAAAGCCGTATCCGCTCTTCCGGATACCAGGACTTCATAAGTATTCGATCGCGTACACTTCGACGGGCCATCGGCGATTTAATCAGGCTTTCACTCCTACCAGTTATGGACCTCCGTACGTGCAGGGCGATGTCATTGGAGTCGGGTATAGGCCGCGAACTGGGACCATCTTCTTCACTCGCAACGGCAAGAAATTGGAAGATGTGGCCCATGGACTGAAACTCCTCAATTTCTTCCCCACGGTTGGAGCGAACGGGCCTTGCAATGTCCATGTGAACTTCGGTCAGATGGGATTTGTTTTCATTGAAGCGAACGTGAAGAAGTGGGGATTGGCTCCGATGACCGGAAGTCTCGCTCCGCCGCCTCCCTATGGAAGTGAAGCCGGCAGTATCCTACTTGAAGGTGGCAGAGAGGGAGTCCGCGAAGGCCAAGCCTGGATTCCTGGGCACGGTCGAACCAACAGCGCCCAGATTCGATTGCAGGGGAGGCCGACAAGGAGTCCTGGGCCGGAGAGGTCACCTACGGATATTTCGCTCGCTCATTTCAATCTCATGGACTCGCAAGAGGAGCAGGAAGAGGAAGATGTAGGAGAGGGAACAAGCGAAGCAGCCAGCAGCCAGCATCTCATCAATCCTGGACTTCCACTCGAGCCCGCAGACCATCCCCCTCCTGAGTACGAGAGCCCCGAAGATGACGATGGCGAAGATTCCGATACCACGCCGCGAGCCAGTGGCGCCCATGGATACGAAGAGCAACGACGATTACTAAACAACAGCCCCCCTATACCCACCTACGAAGCTGCTGTGAGCGACGTGAAGGCTGGCAGAGGGCGCAGCTCCACCCGGACTCGACCGCGAAGCGAGTCATAACTCCAATCATTTATCAATTCGCATTTAAACCGTTTCTGTCACTGTCGGATATTTAGGGTGCACTGGAGTTTTGTATTGGCATGGAAATGAACGAACGGAGCGAGAATGGGAATTGAGCCCCAGTTGTAGGATTGAAATGGGGGGTTTCGAAAAAGGGGTTTCGAATAGGGAGGTATACCCCATGCTTGCTTGTGTACAGCGCGAAATGTTGCTTTTAGGGGGAAAGGAGGAGAGGAGGAAGTCTCACTCCCAAATGTCATGAAAGGTCACGAACAGTCAAGATCAATCAATAGCTCTTATCAATGTACCCAGATGGATGCAAGGCCGACTTGCTTTTCCATCGTTTCTCTCTGCTCTCGTGCTCCCGTGGGTCGTACCGCCATTTCCCCACGTGCCTTCTCTCCATCAAATCGAATGACGTAAGTGAATGTCAATGTCCATACTATGTCGCTACATGTACCTTAAGGTATACATCAACCGACCCATCAAGGTGTGTGTGACATACATCCAACAACTCCAAAAAGAAACGAACCATGACAATGGCATCCGAACTCCTCCTCACGCCCCTCCAAGAGCTCAAAGTCCTCCAACATCAAATCCCCGCCCACGGCCTCCTGATCCCCAATACCTCGCTGCAACGCAAACCCCTCCTGATCTACAAAGCCGCTTTTCACACGCCGCCGCCGCCGCCACAAAACCCCACCACCACCACCACCACCACCACCACCAGCAGCAGCATCGCTTCTGCCATCGAAACCCACCTCTCCCGCATCGGCATCGTCGTCCCGCAGTGGCGATTCACAATGTACAGCACATCACACTTCCACAGCACGACGCACGAAGTGCTCGCCGTGTGCCACGGGCGAGCGCGGTTATGCTTCGGACACGAGGAGAACCCGGGCCGGGTGGAAAGTGTTTTGGAAAGGGGGGATGTGATTGTGATTCCGGCGGGGGTGAGTCATCGGTTGTTGGAGGATTTGGACGGCGGGTTTGAGATGGTGGGGAGTTATCCCGAAGGTTCAGGTTGTCGTCGTTGGGATATGTGTTATGGGAGGCCGGGGGAGGAAGGGCAGATTGCGGGGATTCGAGGGTTGGGGTGGTTTGAGCGGGATCCGGTCTATGGGGATGAGGGGCCGGTGTTGGGGGTCTGATGATGGGGTAGGCGATTGGGGAGCGTGGCGAAGGGGTTTCTGCTCGTGGAGGGATATGTGCGTTAATTCCACGAACTTTGCGTGAATGGGTATTATGAAGGAGAAAAGACGAAAAAGGTACTCATCATCCGACAGAGGCATCGCCGAGCAAAGTCATCGGATACTGTACATACCGCAATCGACATTCTGCATCGCTTCATGCAGAGACCGTAGCCGCAGGGCCAAAGGAATCTGATGAGCTCTCGTCCTCCTCGGGAGGATCTTGTCGCGCCCAAGCCTCCTCGACGTTCTTCCTCAAATAGTATTTCTTCTTTTCATAACCTGCGACATGTTCCCGATGATCTTCGGTGACTTGTAGCACGTCCCAGGCACGTCCGTCTCCAAGCTTCGCGAGCTCGACGGCTAATAGCTCCAGAGTACCAAATCGCGGCATCCAATCCAAAGGCTGCATCTCGGCAAAGTATCGAAATCCCCAGTCCAGCAATTCCTTGCCCTTGGCCGATTCCTTCTCAGCAGCGCTACGATCCTCCAGCTCCGAAGCGAGTCGCAACGCGGCCTTGCCAGCTTCTAGGAAGACGAGGATGACCCGATCGTACGTGAGCTGTGTAGGAGCGATCCTCAGAGCTAGGAGCTCCGAGACGAGGAAAGATGCCTGTTGCTCGTCTGGTGGTTCTGCTGTTCTACAGCCTTTCAGCAAAAGGTTGAACGTGTCGATATTAGCATACGACTTCTGCGGGCCTTTACCCTCCGGGGCAAAGGTGTGGATGAGCTTATAGATCTTCATCGCCCCTGCAAGGTTTTTCTGGTCGACGTAGCATTCAATCAGGAGGTTCAGGACCGCGATAGGTATTTCGCGCTCCCCGTCATGGAGCTCTCGTAAGATGGTGAAGGCTTCTTTCAGTAGTTCGGGCTTGTCGCGCAGATAGTGAAACAGTGCGCGGGTCTCCATAACTGTAGGCTCCAGTTTCTCCAAGGGCATGATGGTGAGGATACTTATAGCGCGTCTGAGGTCCGGCGGGTCTGTCGAGAGGTATGTGGAGATGAGGAGCTCATAATGGACAGGTTGGAATGCCGTACCACGCTTGCTGAGATGGGTGAAGACTTCAGTACCCATGACTGCATCTCCTGTTCTCGCCGCGGTAGCCAGCACGTTCAGACAAGTCCCAGAAGATGGATTGAGGAAGCCTGGATTGACCTGGCTGTTCCAGACGAGAGCCGTCGCATCGTGATGCCGCGCTTCACTTCCCTTGTCCAAGAGATAATACCACAAGTTCCGGCTGATCTGGAGCTCGCCTGTATCGAAACGCATGCGCATAATACGAAATGCCTCCTCGAGCTCACCGGCGTCGCAGAGCATGTACACTGCCATGTCCCAAAGCCAGCTATCAACCGGCCCAGTCCTCGTCATCTCGTCTAATCTGTGGAGGGCTTGCTCAAAAAGACCATCACGCAGCATTCCGGCCACGACATCATGCGCGCCTTCACTACTCAACTTGTACCACCTCCTCTGCATGTAATCCAGAATATCGGTCCTCAGCAAATGGTCCAGATGCACAGACACAACCTTCAAGACGGCATGGCATGTCCCGTTATCCGGCTGAAACCCCTCGTCCTTCATCTCCTCCAACAAGTCTTGAACGCGCCATGTCGCACCTTCAGCATGATTGACGTTGCTCAGTATAAGCGCATTGTAAATCCTCAGATTCGGCGCTTGCCTTCGCTCTTTCACCAGATATTCCGCAATTTCACGGGTGAACAACACTCGTCCTTCCACCGCCTCCCGATGCAGTTTTCCATAGAGCGCAGACGTAGTTTCCTGGTCCGGTCGAAAATCGAGCTCGAATTGAGGACGAGCTTTTGCTTCGGAAGGACCAGTTTCGGAGTCACTCAATACTTGCTTGGAACGGTTATCCAAGAGCAAGTTCGCAGCGCCCTCGCGTGAGGTCGGAATGGTTTCAACTCGACGGATGGTGGTACTGTGGAAGGCAGCCTGTCGCGTGTTCAGGCATTGCTGCAGAGGTTTTGGCGGGCGGCAGAGCAGTCGCGAAGCTCTGACGAGGCTGCCTTGTTTCCAGGCCGGACAGAGGCACTGCCAGAGAGGATCAATGACTGTTGTTGCGGTGCGCATGTCATCTTCTGCGAATGTTCGGAGACGGATGAGCAGCTTTGGGAAAGTTGAAGGTACAGGAACGGGAGTTTCACATGGGCTTGCCGTCCGACCCGAAGCTTAAATTTAGCCTAGTCTGATCACGGAGAGCACACGGCATGTCTATATTAGTCATTCAGTTTAATACATATCATCCAAAATAGAGTCCTGTCGATAAGCTGGGAGGTAAGTCCTCCTCTTTTGTTCCCCACTCGCTTTCCGTGTCCCCTAGCACGAGTTCCAATGTTCCGCCATCGAGGAAGAAGTTGTGATCGATCCAGTTCTTGGTGTACTTCTTGCCATCTAGCACCGCTGATTGAACGTAAATCTTCTTGTACGTCGGATCGAAGTTGACGTTGCGTATGGTTGCCCTCTTGCCGGTCTGTGGATTGGTGATGCTGACACTCGGGAAGTAGGGTGGAATGATGAAGTAGACCGACTGACCAGCACTGGGGAAGATGCCAAGCATGCTGAAGAAGACGAAAGTGCCCATTGAGCCGCTGTCGTCGTTCCCGGGTATACCTTCGATTGTGTCGTTGAACATGCCGGGGATGTACCTGTGGGTTTCTTTGGACGAGAGGCCGGGTCGACCAGCGAAGTGGTACAGGAACGCAGTCAAGAAGGCTTGTTCGTCGCCCATGTACAGAACTCCGCTGTTGTGGAGCTTGTGTAGACGCTCAAGATATGCATCTCGGCCACCGAGCAGTTTGGCAAGTTCTGCCATGTCCCCGGGAACATAGAAGAGATAGAGCCACGGGCTGCCCTCGTATGTCTCGTGGCCTCCGGCGTTCAGATAGCAACCATCGAAGTCGTTCAGATGTGAGCATAGAGTCGCATTCTGGAAGGAGAATGTGCCATTTACCCGACGAGGCTGTGGAAATCCTTTGAAGCCCATGGACTCCAGGTCCCAGTCGATAACATTTTTCCTGCAAAGCGAAAGGTAGAAGGTAAGCAGGTGTCTAAGGCATAATTTGGTGCCTTCAGGGCATTATTTTACTTACCAATTGCTTGCCCGCTCTGCGTATTTCTCGTAGTCAGAGTTTCGGCCAGTCGCATTTGCCATCTCCGCAATGCAGAAATCATTGTAGGCGTACTATGACTCCAGAGTCAGTAGGTAGACTATGCAATGATGATGAGAGTTGATCTCACTTCGACTGTTCGCGAGACTGATCGTGTGCGCAACCCACCAACGTCCAAATCCTTGTATGGGATATAGCCCAAGCTCTTCCAGCTCTCGAGCCCGCCACGGCCCTCAATATCCCAGTCTATGGGCTGTTCTTCGGCATCTTTCACGATCGCAGCATAACCCTCCGTCCAGTTGACACCGTCAAGCTTTTTGATGAACGAATCAACAATGATGACATCGGCATTAGATCCTCCTTGAGTATTACCTTTGCAGAAGGACATGCGACAGTCTGGCAGCCATCCGGCGTTCTTGTAGATGTCAATCAGAGATCGTACCATTCTCGATTGCGAGACCGTGTCCACAAGGAGGTAAAACGGATGCACCTGTACCCAGATTCGTAAGCGATTGTCCGTCATATGAAAACACGACTCCTTTACTCACTCCTCGAAACGTGTCCCAGATACAGTACCAGGAGTCATAGTACGGCTCCGTCGAATTCCAAAGCTGGTTCTCTCCGGTATAGTCCTGTGGGTTGATGAAGGCTCGATACACTCCACTCCAGAAATTCCTCAAGTGACTCTCGTCGACGCCAGTTGAGTCCAGCTGGATTGGCTCCATCTTCTTACGCCATGCATTTTGTGCATTCTTCAGTAAACGGTCGAAGTCCCAGTCCTGAATTTCGCGCTCTGCATTCTGACATGCGCGTTCGATGCACAGCCAAGAGAGGCCAACTCTTGCCATAATCGTGTCGCCTGGCTTGACGTCTTTGAAGCGATTGTACACCCCTTGACGAGCACCGTAGAACGCATCAGTAGAATCCGCGACTGCCATTCCCGGGTACGTTGTGTCATTGAACATGCCATAGTCTTGGATCTCAGCGCCTTTGAAGTCCGCGCACATGTAGGCATGATAATGACCTTGTCCGAAAGATGGATCGAATTGACCTTCCGCCGTGATTCGCCCAGTAGATGCATCCACGTAAAGCGTTCGAGGACCGTTGGAGCCAGGAAGATCTGATCCGTCGGCAAGGACAACCGGGTTGACACCCGTACTGTTCGTGAACGTGAACTTCAGCAACGATGATCGTTCGGCTGCCGTCATCTCCACTTTGACTCCAGATACGAGTTCGATCGAAAAGTAGCCTGGTGTTGCCACGACGGATTCTTGAACAGGCAGCGTACCACGTCGAAACTTCTGGAGTCTACAGGCGGTGATGTTTGGACAGGATGGCTGGATAAAGAGAGGGAAGTCGCCCAGCGACGATGCACCTCCAGTACCAGAGTCATGGAGAGAAGAGAAGCCGAAGACCGGAGAACCGTTGTGAGCATAGCCAGCGTGATTCTCCTGTTGCACATCTGCCACGACTTTGGCCATGCCAAAGGGCAGTGTTGCTCCGGCAAAAACATGACCTCCTGGACCAGTCCCAATCAAAGGATCGATATAACGGAGCACATCGTCTGGCGCGCGAGAGCCGCCCAAGGCATTGACCAGCAGAAGGATAAGCACCGCGACTAGCATTCCGCTGAGAATGCTGATCCAGGTGCAGGGTGTGCAGAAGGGAGCAGTTTGCGTGGGCACCTTATCTTGAATCTTCTGTGAGCGCTCTCTGGCATAGCCAATGCATGTCTTTAATGATGGTATGGACTCTAGGAATCGCCGCCGTGTGTTGCCGACTGGGAGATTCTCCTCCTGGAAGCCCTCCTCGCCCTCAGCAGGCTCTTCATTCTCCAGAAGTTTGTACGACTGCGAGCTCGCCATTGTAGCAAGAGAAAGTAGCAAACAAGGATGATGAAGGAGAGTGCATGAAATAGAAGACGGACCAGGATGTTTCGCGCTTGCGTCTCGAGCAGACTGTCATGTCGTAGCCGTAGCCGTAGCCATTTGTTCAGCCAGCCCCGTCAGGTACCAGACTGTTAGCCAAGTCGAAGTGAAGTTCGCCAAGGTCGCTTAGGATGCATCGTTTGGTCCTTGCTGCGCTCAGGCATCTGCGCTAACCCTGATCCACCCGTGGAGGGGGCGCGTGGCGTTCTTTGAGGCATCTCATGACTGGCGACCCGGTCGACGCCTTACGCTTGAAAGAGGTTCTTACCGTCTCGCGCACTGCGTTGCTCTGCCACACGCATATCGTAGAGCACTTTATAGTGGTAGGCATGCTTCGAAGCTCTTCCAACGGAGGGAGAGACCTAGGGCAGGACGGGAAATGGAAAGATGGAGCACAGAGTGGAGGAGTGGAGAGTGGAGTCCAGATCTGCCGCTATAGTCGCCATCGGGCCGAGCCGATGTCATCGACCGATGTTGTCGACAGCGGGTATCAATGAAAGAACGAATTATCGGAATCCTTGCGGCATCTAACTTACATTCGTACCTTGGTTGGTCGACGGTAAGGTAGAGAGATCTATCGTGACTGATGCCAAGCCCGCCTCTGAGCGTGGTCGCGTGCCTGCTGTATCTGAGGACAGATGCCTTCGGCAGACCGATGAGCCATACGACCTACATAAGGTAGGTAGAAAGACCGCGTGATCAATCTCTCGCAATCCAAATATATAGCCAAGTCGGGAAGCCTCTCTTGAATCTCACATCTCATATACAAGAGTCAAATCTCAGATCAATCGCCTTCATCATCGAGGGGCTCCGAGAGCAGTGAAGACCAGCCAGCCAACGACTTTCCCCCAAACGAGCTAGACGACGAAGATGCCTATCTTCAACTCCCTCGAACAAGCGCTCGCGCCAATGCCTACAGTGCACAACTCGCTGCTTCCGCCCAAGGGCACAACAAAGACGCCGACGCCACAGTCAACTCCTGGCAAGGCGAACAAGTCCCAACGCAAGCACACTCCAGCTATAGCCGTTCCAGAAGCCGTCCAGGAAGTGCCAGAGGAGGAAGTCTCGTCGTCTGGTCACGGGCGATCGGTCTCCAATTCCAGTGCAGCCACCAGTGTCTCCGAAGGCAAATACCAGGAGTATCAGAGTCATCGAAGCACCAACTAACGATTCGCAGGCTCTACTACAAATGAGTAAGGCCCGAGATACGGAGCCCGAATGTCACTGAAAGCGTAATGCGCCACTCTGAGGCTGTTGTGAGCGGACGTGTCAGTAGAGCTGGGTTCATGCGCTATGTATACAGTCCACTTGAAGCATTACGTCTGTACAAGCATCGACACCACGAAATCAAGACAGCGTATCGCATGCCCGCGTGGGCCAATCCGCATCATTCATACCAGGACGTCGCTCCTTCAACGCCCTGCGCTTTCTATGCGGCCAGCTATTCCTTTTGAACTTTTCCTCGAATCGTACGCCTCAAACTCCCCTGTCCATGCTTTTGGGTTTGCTGATCTTACATCATCTTGTTGAAGGCCGGAATCAGTGTCTGCGCCAGCCAGAAGGAGAAGGTGAGCTTCGGCCCGGTCATGAGAAGCTTTGGAACCAGTCCCTTGAAGAAAGCACCGATACCCTCGTGGCGGGCCATATCGGCCACGATCTTTGTACCTGATCGCTTGACCTCAAAGTTCTGGTTCTGGATTCGTGTCTTGACGACATCGAGGGGAGCGGAAACGATAAGCGATGCGCTTGAGCCGGCGATGGAAGCGACACCGTTTTGAACCCATGTTGCCGAGTTGTAGTCCTGGAGCTTGAACAGGTACTGCTTGGCCGCTGCGGAACCACCAAAGAGCGCGAAAGATCCAGGAGCATTGCGTGCAGCTGTCCATCCCCATCCTCGGTAGAGACCAAATCCCTCATCCGCAACGATCCTGAGCACGCCTCTTCCACGGAAAGCATCCGGGTTTGTCTGTCTCTTGATCTTGAGCACGTCCAGTGGCAGTAGGACAATCTCTCCGATTCCAATCAATGACCCAGCCGTCGCGTGCATGATCGCTTTGCCATTGCCCTTGCCGAACGCTCTGTCGAAAGAATCACCATGGTTCGTCGACAAATAATCTCTCACGAATGGCTGTCCACCGTATTTATACACTCGCTGCAAGATCTTATACGCCGCAGCATATCCTAGGCCCGGGAAGAGAGTGAAAAATCGCTTGACGATGGGCTCGGATGCATGCGATCGGAAAATGACCTCGTTGAGCTGCGACGCGTTGGCTACCTTACCCTGGTGGGACATGAGACGCTTTGCGATGGTGTCGACGGGATGGAAGACGATGAGCTCGGCGATACCGGCGGATCCTATAGTGATGTATTAGGACATCTGCTACCCAATGTCACAATATCACTCGAGCGATCGTACCGGCTCCCAGTAATCGTGCTGCTGTCGACTCTTTCTGAACGTCCTTCGCGGACCCAACCTTGGGCGCGGCCACTGGCGGCGACATTGTGGCGGTAGGAGTCGAATACAGATGATGATTGGAGCGCTGAGGGAAGAGGTTGTGTAGCGAACGCCAGTGAAATGCTGTGGAGGATGAATTTTGGAGTTCGAGCACGCGAACCCGAAAAATGTCTCGCAAGCTCCCCCCTACCAAGCACGGGCCACCGGATCGACTTCACTTCAGGTCTTTTACACGCCTCGGCTTCAACAAGCAACGCCGCCGCCCACTATCTTAGGCCACCACTCGAGTCTACGAAGCTATACGAACATCTTGGCTCCGTCACATCTTTTCATGGGATATACCATGCTTACTCTGTGTGCTGTGAGCTGGAGCTCTCAAAGCGCCATCCGCGATCTCCGTACCTTGCTTGATGATCGCTTACGCCAACCCCTCGATAGAGCCATCCGTCCACTAGAGTTCCGGCATTGTGCAAAGAGAGGATGGATCCGAAGCTCCCGAACCTCCAAAGTAAGAAGCTGTGCGATGAGCTTACCTAGCTGGAAGTCATATAATAGCATGCCCGGTGGTAGGTAGATCTCGTAGTAGCCAACCTCTTTCACCCCTCTCATCAACACGCACTGGTCAAGTAGACTATCCCTAGGCACTGCTCTTGATACAGCTCCATCCCTTCACGGCCATGGCAGACCAATACTACCCACGCTTTCCACCAACGCTAGCTTCTCAACACCCACCAGAAACCCAGTCCTACGCACAAAGAGCAGAGGACAACGTCTTCAAGGCCTTCGGCGAAAATGGCTCCCTCATCACCTATCAACACCCCAACGGAGGCCTAATTGGTCCCTTCCCAATAATCATCGCCTCCAAAGAAATCGGTGAGTCCGTCCTCGCCGCTCCACAAACCCTTGCCAAGCTCTCTACTATCCCGGACGATGCCAAAGAAGTCGCCATCCTAGTCGTGGGAGCCAAATTCGATTGCGCTTATGAACAATACGCTCACCGCAACATTGCGACGAAGAAATCTCTCCTGACGGAGCAGCAGTGCGCGGACATCAGGGCGCAGAGGAAACCGGAGGGGTTGAGTGAGGCGGCGAGCGTCACATATGATGCGGCGTTTCATCTGGCAAATCAGAAAGGACCTCTGCCGACTGGGGTCTTCAAAGAATGGGTAAAGGCTTTGGGCTCCAAGGAGAGCATGTTGGTTATGACGCATTATATTGGCATATACTGCCACGTTTGTGTTCTGATGAATATGGCAGACACGCCACTGCCACCAGGAGAGACTCATTGATGGAAGCTCTCCAAGACAAGAAGGAAACAGACGAGATCTACCTAATCTTTGCACTCCTGTCGTTCCCGCTCGACTTCTGCGAGGTAGTCCCAGAACAGCTTTTCACCCCAATTTCATCATTCCCTCATACTTTTCACCAATTCTGCGAGGAGAAAATGTACCTCGGAATCCCGTCTATCCAAACTCGTGATGCCTTTGATCCAACAAGGGATGGGTTCGCGAACAGCCAGGATTGGTTCTCCCGCTAATAGATTATCGCGCTGTATCGGCGACGTCTTCAGCAGAAGCCCGGGCTTCAAGCTCGCCGCGGAAAAGAGTATGCATGCCCACTCGCGTGCTTTTGCAACACACTGATCCCGTGGACTGTCGCTCCGATCATGATGGTGTATTTTCTTAGGCGGAACCCGTTGGAAACGCGAGTGCTATAGTACAACCACTCCTTGAGTCTGCCGATGTTGACCTCTACGACAGAGCAGAGTTGGGCGCCTGAGTGCTCGTTGCACTTGCGGGCGTAGTCGGACTCGTTGCTGTACCACTGTTGTGTGCTCGACTCTTCTTCCGTTCCTTCTTGCTCGCCTTACTACCTCGACGCTCCTCTTTGAGCTTCTCAGCCTTTGTTGCCTTGGTCTCCGAGAAGACGGCAGGTGGAGTGGGCGCTGCCTTCTCAGGCTTCGGCGTAGGCGCTTGAGATGCCGAAGCGGACTCCTTTTCCGCCCGGGCCTTCGCTTCTGCTGCCTCGTCATCGGCTCTACGCTTCTTGACCGCAGCCGTGGAAGTTGTAAAGCGCAGATTGCCTGGCTCTCCAATGAGCGGATTCTCATCCGCAAACTCATCGCCGTAGTTCGACATAAGATTCAGAGTCTCGATTAGCAGTTGCGTATCTCTGCTGTTGGATGCAGCGGCGCTGCTAGATGCCTGACGAGTGTCTGAGTCAACAGATCCTGCTCTGATCGACTGTAATTCTCCATCTGGCGCGACACTTCCTTCGCGAGAGCCTGGCATGAGTGTTCCTCCCCCAGGCGAGGCCGTCGATGAAGTCGATGTGGTCTGCTTGAGCGCACGAGGTAGATAGTGGTGACCTGCCGCTGGAGTGTATCGCGGCAGACTGCCCGCTGTGCCGAAGTAAGTATTCAGGCTTGCAGCTGCAGCAAGAAGCCGATTTCCAACCACGTCGAACACGTTAGGAGCTTGATAGACACACTCGCCTACCGCGAAAAAAGTGCCAAGGACCGTGAGTTCCCAGTAATGATTTCTGCTTCTCTTGTGTGGCTCGGTCAAGACAGAGGGACCAGGCGAAGTCATCGTCGGGTTTTTCGCCAATTCCTTCAGAACCCGATTCTGCTTCCTGATCGTCCATATGCCAGTGGTCATGCCCTGAGCTGCTAGCGCTTTGTCTTCTACTGGCCGTGGCTCTCCAGTAATGATGTACTCGGTTCCTGGTCGGTCGCGCACGACGTCTTCCAACGCTTTGCGGTCGCATGTTAACATCCATTGCTCCACATTGGCCTTGGCTTGCTGGAAGATGATTCCGTTCTTGCTCTCCCAGTCAAAGAAAGCGGACTCGGATAAGTAGCGATGGATCATATTCTCATCCATAGGTCGACCGCCCTGGCTGACCCACCACTCAATGATTTCGGGACGACGATGCTGGATCTCGTCCAGCGGCTCCGACGTCATCTTGGCCATGACTGCTGCGCGTGCACGATTTGCGCTATTGAAGTCGAAGTTCGATGAGAATTGTGACCTCCTCTGATGCAGAGCAGAAGAGTGAGCGAGAGCAAGATATCGCTTAATCGTCCTGCTTCAAGCGTGTTCCGATGACAGCATGTCCTCAGTGTTTTTCGCAACCGATGAGAAAAGCTTCGAAGCTCGATGCGAAAAGATGAAGTTGCAGGCGGATCGTATTGCTTTGCCAGGCAATTTAGCAAGTTCCAGTGCACCCTTGCGAACCACTTGCGCAGTCTAGTTCGTGACAGCGTCCACCAGCTCCTTCCGGTTTGACCATTGACTTTGCTGTGGAAACAGCAGATTAGTTGCTTCGCGTATGCACGTGTCGCCGCTGCTTTAGCGTTCCTGCGAGTGAATGTGTTCGGAATGTGGTTGGCATACTTATCGATCCCGATGCGGAGCGTGGAGGGAGCTGGCGGCCCGTACCGGGAGTTAATCCGTTCTTTTGAGCAGCATGTGAAGACTGCGGAGTCTCATTCGCCGATACGGCAGCATTATCGGCGTCAATTGTGCTATACTGCGAGCATGAAGCTCTCTCCGGTTGAACTACCGAGGCGCATGGGTTGAGCGTAGATTCTCCGTCAGCCATGGCCGACCCCAAAGTCCCTCGCACCCCCAAATGGCCGACTCACAACGCTCCTCGCGTCTGGTTTCTGACCTGCGCCAACAGTCCCATCGGCATCTCGCTATGCCGACACCTCATTGCACATGGCGACTACGTGACCGCTGGAGTACAGCCGGCGGAGTTCGAGAGGGAGGAGGAGCGCAGCCGAGATTTCAAGGACTTCCTAGAGGAACTGGCATCTCCCTCGGCAGCGAGAGATGGACTCGAAGATGGAAAGAGTAAGGAAGAGCTAAGCGAGAAAGACCGAGAGAAGGTAGAAAAGGAAAAGAGAGAGAAAGAGCTTTACCGGAGTCGTCTACGCGTCGTAGCGTTGGACGTGAGAATCAGGGGACAATGTCAGTCGGCGGTCGCTGAAGCCGTGCGCTGCTTTGGTCGCGTAGACATACTCTTCTGTTGCCAATCGGAGGTGGTCGTGGGCACCATAGAGGAGCTATCTCAGAGCCCACGGACGTTGAGCCTGGTAAAAGACCAGTTCGAGACCAACTTCTTTGGACCCGTCAACATTATCAAGGCCACATTACCCGTGTTTAGGTTGAAGAAGAATGGTCACATCGTCCTGCTGACTGCTGTGACTGGACATCTAGGCACGCCCGGACTAGGTATGTACTGCGCGAGCCAGTGGGCTATCGAGGGTTATTGCGACAGTCTGGCCTACGAGATTGCTCCGTTCAACATCAAGATGACCATCGTGCAGCCGAACATGGAGATCAACGTTCTGACGCACCGTATCACCTCGGCTCCGCCAATGGCCTGCTATACGGACGAAAACAATCCAGCACCACTATCAAGGAACATCCTGTCGTCCCTTCTGGATCGCATTGAAGGCTCCGACGAACCGACTACTGGGGATCAACTACATTCCAACGAAGTTACTAGCCTCTATCCGCCATTGAACAGGGGAATGAAGGAGCGCCTTGTAGCAGAGACGGTCCACGCGGTGGCTGCAATCGGTGGCCATGATAATCCACCAGCGCGCCACATCGTCGGATTGGAGGGCATTACGACTGTCAAAGAGAAGCTGAAGACTGTCAGTGAGGAGCTCGAAGAGTTCGTCGAGTGCAGCGGCGCAGTCGATATCGAGAAGACGGGCGATGGCAATTCAACTCCCGGCCAAGGCAACGCACTCCCTGGCTGACGATGCGAGGAATACGTTGTGGTACCCGATGTCGAGCCATATTGAACCGAGACCAAGCTAGGAACATACATCCGATGTCTCTTGATTGGTGCATGCACAAAAGGCTCGTCCATTCTCGATACCCTCGGGCTGGTCTCTCATGTTCAATTCCAGGCTCTGGTAAACGTTTTTAGAAAGAGAGCGGATGAGAGTACCGAGCTGTTCGAGGACAAATAGCCGGGATACAGACGGGTAATATCTCGACAGGTGCGCTTGAATCCCATCTTCAGCGCCGGCACAACGCGATGCGGCGTGGCGTCAGCGAAAACGTGGAGAGCCCCGCTTATGAGCAACGGGATCTCTTGCCGCATGAGCATGAGCCCGCACCAAGTTCCCAACCAGGTTCGCCCCAACTCCATACTACGAGACTCTCGCAGGCACTTTTGATTATTCCACGGCCGAAGCGAAACCGCATCTTCATCGTTCACATTCGACATCTCCCAAGCTTGGATTTGCGACAAGATATGAACCGCCTGTGACATGCGCACGAGTGCGGCATTGCAAGAAGGGCCGAATACAGCGGCTCACAGCTGAGGAACGGAGCGTCTTCGGAAAGAGATGGCAGTTGAGACACAGACAACGCAACAAGTCGCGCCGACTTCAGATCCGGCAAGCAGTCATGCGCAGGCGGGAGTAGCATCGACGAGACAGTCGAAGAGAGCTTGTGATTGTTGCAGAAAACGCAAGGTCAAATGCGACGGCCTCGATCCGTGCAGTCCTTGCAAGAAGGCGTCGATACGATGTGCATATCTGCAGCCTCCCAAAAAGAAAGGACCAAAAGGATTGCGGAGCGCGCGAGTGCTTCATGCTTTGCGACGCATCGACGATACGGCTTCTGCGAGCCCCACGAGCCCGCTTGGTCCACATGGACATGGACCTTTTGGTAATTGGCAATGGAACGCACATCAGTCGCCGACCTCTGCTACACATCAATACCAGGCGAATGGAGCGCATCCTTCTGAGACCTTATACCAACACCAGGCTGGCGTTGCACCCGACCAACACGCCCAATGCGCAGCACCTTCGCTTTCGGGCCAGGCGCCACAGGCGTTCTTCAAAAGAGAACCACAGCCTCAGTATAGCTGGTCATCAGGGCAAGCTGAGTCTGTTTCCACCGGCAGTGACAACATACCTCATGTCCTCTCGCCATCTTCGTCGGAAGGCTACCAGCATCGCATCCTTCCCGCAGAGACATTTCCACCTTACGTTCAATTATTTTTCAACCACATGTTTGCTATCATGCCAGTCATCGACCGCAACATTTACCTCGATCCGAACCTCTACACCAACAGCCGGCCCATGACCTCTGAGTTATACTGCTTTCTATGTGCGTTGTGCGCAGCAACTGTCGTACAGCTTGACGAATCGATACCACAGCCGCCTTCTCCATTTCCCTCGACGCGAGCAGACTTGTTATTCGCTGAGGAGTGTCTACGAGAACGAAAGACGTTTGATTATGTTGAACAAATGTCGACTCTGAGCCTTATGACGTCGTTCTTCCTATTCGCGTACTATGGCAATCACGAGAAACACGCCCAAGCTTGGCATTATTTGCAAGAGAGTATTACCTTTTCCGAAAATTTGGAAATGGACGACGAGGACCTCTATCAGAAACTCGATCCCATGGAATCGCAATGGAGGAGAAGACTTTACTGGCTGCTCTTCATCACGGAGCGTGCTTATGCTGTGCAGCGTCGAAAGCATACAAGACTGCATGCCTCGGTGACTCTGCCTGCTATCTTCGAGAGCGAGGATCCTCAGCTGCTCAATGGATTCGTCAACTTAGCCAATCTGTTCGGTGCCGTAGACGAATCGTTTGTCAGCGCCTGGCGGGGGACTAGGAGAGCCAGCCTGTGTGATGAGGCCTGGCTAGCACGCACGCAGAAGCAACTTGACGCGACTGCGAACGCTGCAGGCATGGGCGAGTTGACAGAAACGCAACACCTCGATATCAGTGTTACGAGGGAGTGGCTTCATGTGCTAGCCTGGCAGATGGGCGTGTCTAACGGGCTCATCTGGGGTCAAGGCGAAGGAGGCATGCGCCTGGACTATCCAGTCGAATTGGCACGAAAGGTGGTGGAGATCACTTCTGGCGCGAGCGCTCTGGCACTCGACAGCCATGGCATTGGAATGGTATGTTTTGATATGTCTCTTTGGTCCAGATGCATGCTCTGACTCGATACAGGAACAAAAGCTTTCCGACATTGCTGGATGTCTTGCCGACGTGCTCAAATGTACCGCTGGCGATAGCTCTGCCACCTTCCTCAAAGGCAAGCAGTACCTCAAAACTCTACTCAACAAGCTCTCCAGCATGCGTGGCAAGGAGTCGCGCTACCTCAAGCCACTCATGGTGAAGATGGATGGCTTACTGGGATACGAAATTACTGCCACGTTGCCCCCGCCCAATGAGCCGGTGCCATCCTTCAGGCAAAGCAATACGCAGATTCCAGCTATCTTTGCTCCCTCCTCGCCGAAGTGGACGATGACCGAGTCCGTCTCGATGTTGAGGACTTTGTCGATGACTGGCGGTCTAGGGATGCCGGGACTTGCTTGTACACAGGAAGATTGGAATCAGCGACGGCCTAGTGGGAGAGTGTTGGAGGAAGATGAATTGCAGGCTTTGCAGCCTTGGCTTGCAAATGCTACTACGCAGTCAATGTAGCTGACCATTCGATAGTGGTTCGGTCTTTCTAAGTGGGAAGCTGGCGTACACAGTCCTTTCAGCGACGAGATACCCGAATGCTATAACCGTACACTGTGATTGCCAAGTCTTGCTTTTCTTGCCTTGCACTGCGTTTACTTCAGCTTGCCGTCGTCACATGTGCGCGCAGACACATGCGTAAATCCCTGCCGGTCGGTATGCCCTTTGCTTCAATTCTTTCGCCATCTACCACTCACACTCCACCGAACGACTTGACAGGCGGTCATTATACGACAACAACAACGACAACTCAACTCACGGCCCATCAAATTCATCATTCGGCACCATGAGGCACACAGCAGGAATTGAGGTTAAGATCAGGCCGTGCGGCGAAGCGGAGTACCTGGAAGAGTACAAGAATCCAGATGCTGGCATTCCAGACCACTGGATCGACACCATTGGCAGCACCTTGATCTCTGGCCCGCCACAGCAAAGACTCCAGATCTGTGTCATCATCGAGGAACACTTCAAGATGTACGCCGCACGCGCGCTGGCGGTGGCAATACAACTTCCCTCAATGGAGGAACCGCAGGTGTGGGTGATCCAAGTCGGCGACAGAGATCCTACTGGAACGTATGAGTTTTCCAGTATTCTGAGGTGGACAGAAGACGGTGTGGGGCCTGCCATTACGCCGTTGGAGTTGCCAGAACCTGATCGTGAGTCTACCAGTCCGTTTGAGACTTCTTTACGACAAGCATTGACAAGGAAGCAGCCAACATCAACGTACCTCCATTGGGAGATACATGGGACGATGGAGAAGAGTCACCTCCAAGCAAAGGCTGCATCGTGATTGAAATCAATCGTGTCCGTGGAAAGCACTCACTGGGAGACTCTACAGTAGCGAGGCCGAAAGAGTTCAGCCCTGCGCGTTGGACGTAAGACTCGTCTGAGCGTTACCTGAAGACATGATTCGGTTAACAATATCGCAGGAACTTCCAATCGCTTGTACCTATTGTCGTCGATCGAGAATGGCTGAAAGGTCTCAGAAGCGAGAATTACTTCGCCTTGCTCGGGGAGTTTCGCAACATCGGTAAGCGCATACATGCGTGGTTCGTGACCCCCGAAAGACACTGATTCGAGCATTCAGATCGCGAGAAGTTTGAGCATGAATTGATCATTGCGAAAGACCCTATAGATCTGGCAGAAAAAGATGCCGTCATCGATGATGAGGCCGACGACAGTGAAAAGGAGGACTTCGATAATGAGGAAGACTACGACTACCAAGATGATCACTATGAGAAGAACAGCAGCGAGGAAGAAGAGTTGGACGACTCAGCTGCCTCCTCGCAAGCCTCCCCAAGTCCAACGCGATATATCCCGAACCCTGGTCTCGTTGTGCTTCACCTCCCAGGCCACCTTCTTGCCAAGCTATGTCGGCGCACCACTGTCGCGAGAGTACCTTCGAAACCGAACATGCAACAGACCGGGCGTCATGATCGCGACGACAATCGAGACCCTAATATCGTCAACGTCAAGAAGGAGACCGCGATGATAGATCTCACCACCTCCGACGACAACAAGGAAACCCAACCCATGGCGGCCAACATCAAGAAACGAAGTCCGATCGTCGAGGATAGCGCCGTGCGTGACCGAAAGCGCAGCAATTACGAAACTGCTACATCGCGATCACCGGCGGAGATCAAGAAGCGTAAGAAGGAAAAGGAGAAATGTAGACTTCAGCTTGAGGAGATCAGGGCTCAGCGGCAACTGCTTGAGTTCTCCTCTGATGACGATGGAGAATAGCACGTCAGGCATACATTGCGTTTCATTAGCCTCTCAAATCTTCCAAAGAATGTACTCATTTTCATCCTGCTCCCAAGCGACCACCATATTACTCCCTTCTCTCAAGCCAAAGCAACGCAAAGGGTATCTTCAGAACCGAAACCACGCATCATCATCTCCTCCTTATCGTTCATCGTGCCCCCTACGAGCTCTCGGCCTTCTTCTCCTTCTTGCTAAACAGCTTCTTGAAGAAGCCGCCTCCAAGGACACCCTTCTCTTTGCGGCCGGCGACTTCGGTGTCTTTCTTGGGACCGGTCTTGTCCGCCTTGTTGGCTTCGAGTCTGTTTTCCATCTTGTTGGGATCAGGATGCGGAGCGTTGCGCTCGGCTACTGCTGGGGCTGTCGGGCCGCCTATAGAAAGTACAGTGCGTTAGTAGTCATGGCATATCAAATGACGATTCGGAGAAGCGGATACCCTCGGACGAAGCGTGAGCTTCCGCGGGGGAGACGGTGTTGTTCTCTGGAGCGTTCGCCGGAGAGGTCTCTGGTGGTCCTTTAGGAGGAGTGAGTTTGAAAGTCACTTTAACGGCTCTGTGAACGTTGCTGTACCTCCTTCCGAAACGATCTTCTCTGCCGCTTGGACGTCTGACATGGCGAAGAGAGCTTTTGAACAAAGATCAGGTAGCTTTTCACATGTTGAGAGGAGGTAGAGTAGACGCGGCGAAGCGACTATTTATAAAACGGCGCGAGAACAACCACACAGCCGTCTGATCCGTCAGGAGGTGAGCATTTCATCATCGCCGCCATCAGCAGGGTCGCGAGTGATGGCGTCCGTGTCTGGCTTATCTCCTGGGGCTTTAGGGGTGGAGCATGTGACGGCTTACGGATTGACTATTGGGACAATCAGCTCCATGTCCTTCCCAACCGCCATGCACGAAGACGTAGCCAGAACCAGGGCAGGGCAGGGTGAGCTTCGGAAAGGTCGGTAACGCAGCGAGTCGGTCGATGTATGGTTATTTTGGGGAGGCACAGGGGTATTCTGTATTGCTTCAGGTCAGTGTGAAAGATGCATCATGTGTGGTGAAAGGAATTGTGAGGTTAAAGGCACCAAGTGACGTCTATCTTCAGGTCGAAAGAAGGTTTTCGGCAACCGGTTGCAGGTGGGTCTTTCTCGGCGCCCCGGAGACTGAGGTGCACACGGCGCAGACTGGGTGGCCGCCACCTTTTTGGTGTTTTTCAATTGTTCGCCGATTCGAGTCCGCTCTTCATTCACCTCTCTCCTGCCTTGTCACATGCTAGTCCCCTCGCTGCATCGAGAGACCACCGCATGGTCCGAGAATTTCCTGTGAGGCCGGCTGCTCCGAAGGCCTCCGACCTCCCATTTCTTTGGCCCTTGGCATACAGGACAATCACATGCAGCATCCCAAGATCCTCTTCATCGACGCATACGACTCCTTCTCAAACTCCATCATCGCCCTCCTCAGAGCACAGCTACCTGTCATAGTAGAGAGCGTCAGGATAGACGATCAACGCTTCGTCCTCAACGACGAAGCCTTCTACTCCTACCTTGATGGATTCCACGCTGTCGTCGCAGGTCCTGGACCTGGACATCCTGCCAAGTCAGAAGACGTCGGATTGATTGGTAAAATATGGAGAGTACCTCAAGAAAACACCATTCCCGTGCTGGGAATATGTCTCGGCTTTCAGAGTCTGTGCCACGCTTTCGGTGGCAAAGTTGCCAGACTTCGTGAGCCGCGACATGGCATTATGGCTATAGTAGAACATGACGAAGAAGACGTATTCGCTGGAGCAAGGAAAATCGTTGCGACTCAGTATCATTCTCTGCATATCCGACTGGACGAAGCTGATTTCGCAAGCTGGACCTCTGATCAATATTGGACTCCTTCTCTCACGTGTCCAGACCTGAAGCCTTTAGCATGGGACCTCATGAATGTGGCAAATGGGCCAATTCTGATGGCGGCTCGCCATTGTGAGAAGCCGTTCTGGGGCGTGCAATATCATCCGGAGTCCATCTGTACCAACAAGGAGGGCCAGAAACTTGTCGGAAAGTGGTGGGAAGAAGCTTGTGCTTGGAGGGCGTTGCATCGCAAGACCGTATCTCAACCTGTGGTAGATGAGAATAAAGCCCTCCCCAAAGCTGAGGGTTGGAAAGCCGCCGAGAGACTTGCTAGTCTGCCGGGCCGAAAGGTCGCATGGAAAATCATCGAGACCAAGGCAACCAGGTTGGACGTGGCAGATGTCGTGGATTTGCTGCGTAAGGAGTTGATATGCGAGGAACCACTGCTCTTGGAGTCTGGGACGCGCAGCAATGGCAAGCCCGTCAATCCGGAGACAGGTCGCTTCAGCATCATTGGGCTGCCTGACTCTTCGTCGATGCATATCCGCTATTCCACCTGCAATCATACTCTGGATGTTATCCATGACGGCGAGATCGCTCTTCGAAGGCCGCTGAACGTGCATGAAGCCTTTACTCATATCGACGAGCACATGCGAAGTCAGACCGCCGTCAATGGTCCCAACGGCTCTCCCTTCTGGGGCGGCCTGATTGGTTTCATCTCGTATGAAGCTGGTCTTGAGACGATCGATGTGCCGCCGTCCGCTGCAAAGTCCGAGCGACCAGACATCTGGTTTGTTTTTGTGGAGAGGAGCGTCGTAGTGGATCATGTCGCGGGCACGGTCTATGTCCAGTCTGTGCGTATGGACGATGATGAGTGGATGAAGAAAGTTGTGAGTCTGTTGCGGCGCCCAATACCCTCCTCTGGCGATGGCGCGAAGATCACAGCTAGTCTGCTCGATGGCCCGGAGAAGGACGAGTATTGCCAGAAGGTCCGTGATTGCCAATCTCAACTGCGAGCCGGCGAATCGTATGAGCTGTGCTTAACCGACCAGTCCACAATCCAAGTTCCTGCCGACGGATGGTCTTTATACCGCCAACTGCGAAGTCGCAACCCAGCTCCCTTTGGCGCCTATCTCCGCCTTCAGTCCAAAATTGGTCCTGGTGTCTCTGTCGCTGGCAGCAGTCCCGAGCGCTTCCTCTCCTGGTCGCGAGCAGGTAAATGCCAATTCCGGCCGATCAAAGGCACTGTCAAAAAGGCTCCTGGTGTTACACGCGCTAAAGCCGAGGAGATACTGGGATCCGCCAAAGAGCGCGCGGAGAATCTGATGATTGTGGATCTGATCCGACACGATCTGGCCGGTGTTCTCGGTGGCAATGCTGTTCGCGTGCCGAAGTTGATGTCCATTGAGGAGTACGAGACCGTCTTCCAGCTTGTTTCTGTTGTCGAAGGGGATCTTGATGAGAACACGTCGGGCTCTGCTGCTCTCGCTGCGTCTTTGCCTCCTGGCTCGATGACCGGCGCGCCGAAGAAGCGATCTTGTGAGTTGTTGAAGGAGATCGAAGGCGGCAAGCCTCGAGGCCTGTACAGCGGTGTGATTGGGTTCTTCGACGTGCGCGGAGGCGGTGACTTCTCGGTGGTGATCAGGACGGCTTTCAGGTGGGACGATGAGGACGAGGGCGAATGGAAGATTGGTGCTGGAGGTGCGATCACGGCCCTGTCGGAGGCGGAGGCGGAGTGGGAGGAGATGGTGACGAAGAGGGAGAGTGTGCTCAACGCCTTATTGTAGTCTTTGTCTGCTAGATAGATCGGTACACATTAGATGCTAGTGGTGCTCGTTCTCGCTGTCCCGACGTTGTCTCACCTTCGCCGTCGCCTAGTCCTGATGGCCGCGGCCTTCCTCGAGCTCCCTCTCGCTGTTGTGACCGTCAGAATATCCCCTCCTCGTAGCACGAGCTCCGCCAGATGATGATAGAAGATACTCACACAGCGCGCTGCCGAACGAAGGGCCCGACCGTGGTTCTCCACGCCCACCACTGCGCGACCGCGTGCGCCGTGAGCGCGGAGAGGAAAAGGCCGACGAGAACAATCACCCACTCCATCCCCTGTTGTTGCTGCTGCTGCTGCGCGTGCGGAAATCGTTCTGGTGGCTTGGAAGGAGATGGTGACGGTGGTAAAAAAGCGGTGGCGGTGACAGAGGAGAAGACGGAAAAGAAAGCAACCGCGAGTCGGCTTCAAAATTCGAACACACCCACCTGCCGATACCACTTGTCTGCAATTCTTTCTGTACAATGCCAAGATGGTTCTTTGACGTCCGTCATAGAACGTTCGCGTGCGGAGCAAATAAAACAGCACCACACGTAGGTGGTGGTGGTACATTAGAATTTTTGATGAAAAAAAAAAGAAGCTCAATCATTGTCAACACCTCTCAACTTGCGGGATTACTGTGAACAGTTCCCGAGGCTCGTAATGATCGTTAGAAGATTGTTCTACTGAGAAGAATGTCAGTCAAACAGGTTATAGAATAAACGCGACAAAGCAGAGTTAGTACGAGTGCAGCAGCGAGCAGCAAGGAGCAGCAGCAGCAGCAGGTTTCCTCCACGAGCAGCAGGAGCCTTAACCACTCCGCCACTATGCTAAACTAAACTATCTGGCTATCTACAAAGGTGCAGCCGCAAAAAAACATTTATGTAGCTTCAAAGCACGGACGCCCTCTTCTACCCTCGCAACGCCGTAACACAACGCACCGCCGTCCTGACCGTTAGATTCTTGTTTTACGAGGTTCGTAACGTTCCAGAGAGCAGTCTCCATGTGCAACGAACACCGTGAAGCGTTGTGGTGGTTGGTTGCGGCCGACTGAGGGTGGAAGCCCGAGCGTTGTGTCCTGAGGCATCAGTTGGACTTTTGCATGCAAAGATCGCAACATGATCCAGTAACGTTAGTTTGGCTAGATTTTCGAATGAGGAGATCCGTATCGTTCCATAGACCATTCTCAATCGATATTGAGAGGATAGGAGTGCCGTGGTGCCTTGCTGCGGTGGGTGGAGGGAGAGGTACCACCTCCGCGGCGAGCGTGCGCCCGGCTCTCTAAAGCCCTCTTTGACGGCATTGCAAACATATCTGCAACAACACCATATTCTACGCAAACAGCCAGCAAGCCAGCAAGCCAGCACCAATCCCGCAGCGATCGCGAAGAGGAGGGAGATGAAGAAAGCGGCGGAGGACGCCCTTTACTCCGGCGCGCCCAACTTGGCCGTGACCGCAATGTGGACCATCCGCTACATGAAGGAGACAGCCGTCTGCCGACAGCAGGACAACCAGGGCGCCATCAACCAGGACAGCGGAGGCCCAGCTCAGCAGCCCGAGCCAGCGAGAAGCAACGTCCCGCTGCAGATCTTGACGGTAGGGGGAGGGCAGTAAGCTCTCCGATGGGCATCCACTGAGGTCATAGATGCAGCGTCACCCAAGCCAGGACAACCTGCCACTAGATGTGGAGCATGAGACGCCTGAGCCCCCTCCACCAGCGTACTTCCCGTGGAGAATAGAACCCTCGAGCAGACCCTCTCCAAAGCCGACAATGCCCTGAGATCTCTAACGCCCTCGAGCGCGGCACGATACCAGCGTAATAAGCTCTGGGTAAGAGAAGAGGTAGGACAATGACTCCATACGCCAGGGGTGCCGGTAGGGTGACATCTCCGGCCTGTATGGCTCTTGATAACTACTGTTCTTCTTTCTTTCTTTCTGGGCCGAAATCTCAGTCCGAAGTGCTCCAGCTAACATGACCTAGAGAAAGGTTTAGTAAGAGATTATGCCTCATAACAACACATCGAAGAGGCGACCAGATTCCAAGGAGCGTTCGGGGGCAGAAACTGTTGTCTATATTCAAGAGAGCTCTGAATAGCTCTCGGGTATCATGCAAGAACGCCGACCATGTGCTATGTCGCTTCATAACGCAGCCTTACCAGACGCAAGAAGGCCATGCTGCCTGAATGCGAAGAATCAGCGGAAGCATCACCAGCTTAGACCAAAGTCCAGGACGCTCAAGGCTCCCTTGAATGCTCGAGAAGCTCCGAAATGCTGGGAAATGCCAATATTACACAAAGCATCCGGGGTAATCAAGGATTTCGGGCATGCTCAAAACAGACCAGAAGCAGACATGTCCAGTGTTGAGAATCTGCCCTGGAGAGTTACGAAACTGATGTGCCCAAAGGCACCGATATCCAGGCATCGTATATCCAGGATTGCTGGAGCGTCTTGAGTGGCAGACCATGTGCTGGACACTGACCAGAGTTCTTGCTGCTGCCAACATGCCGATTGTCTTTCAGCAAAGCCGCGAGACTGGAGAGTTTCCCAAATCTCAAAGGGCATGAGAGACTCCATTGAGACGCAGACCGCATAAGATACGGCTACCAGAATCGCCAGACCAGAAGAATCAGTATTACCAGGCCAAGTGCACCGAAAGGCCCGTATTGCTTCAAGAGAAGCTCCCAATTGATCCGTACGGCAGCTCGCTTGTACTTGGCTGAGTCTTCGCGAAGCCTTGAGGACATGTCGCCTGCGCACAAGGTATGTCAGTGTTTCCGTTGTCTCTCTCATCCCGTTGCTTTCTAATGCTCGGCGTGTGCGCACCCATCTTCTCCAGAGAATCGCCTCTGTACAGCAAGTCCTCAATATTCTTGGTCATGACCTGGGTAACATCCTTGAGCTCATCGTTGAGCCGTCCCAGATTGCCCGTTGCCCGGGAGTCTTGATATGTCTTCTTTGTCCTCTCGATGAAGCGGTCAAACTCCGAGTATGCGTACGGTCGCAGTTGCGGGTCGAGGTATGCTTCGCGCCTGTACGAGGTCTGGAATTCGGCGCGAATGTCTTCGAGGTAGGTCAGGGCGAGTTTTTTGGGGTAGCTACGTTCGGTGATGGCGATGTAGGCGACATTGTCGTTCAGAACGTAGCTGCGGCGCACGAGAGTCAGCATCCGACGACGAAGGTTCGCGGGAGCCCGCTGGGCGCGTACTGTATCGTATGCTTGGCTCCTTCCAGCGAGGCTCGCGGCTCTGATTGGGGCGTGATCTTCTTCACGACCTGTCGAACTTGGTTCTTGACCTCTCCCAGGTCTTGCATCTGCTGATCGTCTACGCTGGCGACGAGTGTGAGGCCTAGATGGTCGCCGGTCAGCTGTCAAGGCATGCGGCGAAAGTGATGGCCGACACACCATCTAGGCGGACGATCGAGGTCGAATAGATCATGGCGACCGTCTCTGGATCGTTGTCGGAGGGTTTGAGGAGGACGAGAGGGCGGAACGGGATGTTCTTGATCGATGGAAGAACAGCTGGCAGTGAGGTGTGGTTGGCTCTGGGATGCTCGAGGAAGGTCCAAGCGCGGAGGCATTGGGAAGCCGCCGTGCTGAGTGTTGCTCTTTCACCACGACACCACGACACCAATCTCTACTAGGACTCTTCACCGTTGAATCCGCGATCAGCAATCACGGGCTTCAAGTTCCCTGCAGCAGGACATCGCCGTCTAAAGGTAGCGATTTTGGCACCCTGGCCGCTGTTGGCAGCCGGCTATGTCCCGCCTCAGCACGGCATCAAGAAATCGTTGTCTGCGGCCGGCCGAAAGGTCAAGTCACTATTCAAGTGGCTACGAAAGAGTATCTAGTAGGGACACTGACTTGCAAAATCCCCTCTGTCTGTCTTTGCCAACTTCTCCACTCACCACAACAACCCAGCTTCTTTCCCCTCCCCAGACACTTAGTAACAACCAGCCGGAAAGACTTCCATCCTCCGCTGACCTACATTCCGGCCATGCCTCCTTCATCTCTCCAACATCGACGAACACACAATCTGTTACTGATATCGAAGCTTTTGAGTCAGCGAGACGCTGCTTCGCCATTTACGCTCGTGCTTGACAGCCTTGAGCAGTCGGGCAAGCCGCTCTTGGCCGAATATCGGAGACGCGCGAATGTGAGATGTCACGGCCCAGAAGCTGTGGATCGACACGGGAGTGCGCTGACAGTCGCTGACGGGAATAACAGGCCTCCAAGGTCAAAGTCATATTCGTGTCGTTTGAGACATTACGAAAGCCACGAGACGCCGACGTCTTCATCGACGCCTGGAAGCAGAGTTTGCAAGCTTGGCAGAAAGAGGTCATCAATCATGTGAAGAACGAACCAACACAGAGTATGGCTTTCGAATCGTTATGCAATCCTATCTGGGCAAATTCTGACCATGGTGAATAGGAAAGCTCCTAATATTCGACAGCCTGAATTTCTTGGCCGCAACTCAAAGTTCAAGTCTTCCGGGTCTGCTGTCTTCCCTCATCGGTCCAGCTACATCTTTGCTGGCTCTCTATCACACGGATATTCCACTACCAGTTTCCAAGAATGGCAGCCATGATGCCTACTCGCCATCTGCATTGACACTGTTGAGATACCTTGCAACGACAATCTTCATCACGCAGTCCTTGCATCACGTCCTTGCCAGAAAAGCAGCTCGAGATCGAAGCTTCGCAGAACCTTCTTTTGGACTCGAGGAAGGTATCGAGGGAGTACTGCAAGGACTCGGCGCAAACGCAGGAGAGGGCGTTGTACTCGAGATGGAGCACCGGAGGAAGAGTGGCCGAGGAGTGAGGGAGCTATACTTTCTTCCCCATACTGCCTCAGCTTCTGGCTACACAGCAAATCAAGCCAGGAAGGAAACTGTCACCTTGCTCGAAGAACATCCTCTGTACCGTACGCCAGAAGAGAGTGCGGCGAGCAGGGAGGGCGAGGAAGATCAAGCAGATACTACGTTTGAGCTGGGTCTTACGGAGAAGCAGAGGCGTGACAGAGAAGGTGTGGTCTTACCTTACTTTGATGCACAGAAGGGTGGTGGTGAAGGAGGAAGAATTCTATACGACATGGGCGAGGAAGATGACTTTGACGAAGAAGAAGATGAGATATGAATATCGTGGGCATGAGATTTTCCAAACCCAGTTGGAATCACCTACCTCAATCTTTTCTTATGCTCTCTCTCTCTCGGCCGTAGAGCTGCTCAGAACATGTCCATCTCTCGTGTAATTTTTCCACTCTCCTGGAGAACATGTAGTCACGTGCTCGCTGTTGGTCTGTGCACTAGCCTCTAATACTAATACCTAAACGTGAGCTTTGAACTATTTCCACTGTCACTTGTCGCAACACATAACACTACCTCTTGCATAATGGACCGCAAGCGCGACGACGGTCGCCGTCCGCCAAGAGACGACATTAGAAATCACAAATCACGATATGGTATGGCATTTTCGATCTCGAACCAAGACATCGGCGCTAACAACTGCTCAGAGCAAGAACGATCACGCTCTCCGCCACGTCGCGACCGTCGGGATGATCGCCGACGCGATCGCTCACCACAGACACAGAGAATTCATGGTCCCTCTTCACGCGGAGGTCCTCCCGCAAGAGCAGACCGCGACCGCGAAATCCAGCAGCGAGGTCGCGGAGGTGCAAGACCGCCTCGCGATCCTCCAGACAACAAATCTGGCAACACGGTAGTTTCCAAAAGGGAAGAGAAGAAGGATATCAAAATGGAAGATATCCCTGAGGATGAGGACGAGGAAGCGGCAATGCAGCGGCTCATGGGTTTCAAGGGCTTCAAGACGACGAAGAATACCAAGGTTCCCGGCAATGACAGGAATTATGGTGTTTCGAAGGTGAAGAAGGTCGAGTACAGGCAGTACATGAACCGTGTTGGAGGCTTCAACCGACCGCTCTCACCCAGTCGGACGTGAGAAGGGATACAGATGGAGTATTTGGATGTGCCGGGAAATCATAGTGGTGCTGCATTTAGCGAGGCGTTCACGCGGGCTGCTATCGATTGGAAACAGCGAAGGGGAGAAGTTATGATACCCAGACATGCAATGAAGACCAATGACCTGCTGAATGGTCGTCACAGGAATGCTTCTCGGCCATTCTTTCTGGATTATGTCCTCCCGCACTGATACAACACCGCACGCGGCCGCCCAACGGCTCACGTGGTATGACAGCACTATAAACGCTTGTGAAGGAGCATTCTCAAGCGAGCCACGCACTCTGGTCCATGACTATGTTTCGGATTGACATCTGTAAGCGAGCCAATCTACTCGAGGCCCTGACGCTCTTCCATACGGACTACAGCACATCTTCAGCCTGGAGCGATATTCTTCCGAAGAATATTATCCAAACGTCGTGGGGATCGTCAGAGGTTGATTAAGCGTTGGATAGTGTGCATGTCTCAGCTAAGACGTCGGTTTTTGGTCGAGCGCTCGAGGACGCATTACCGAGCTACATCTGAAGCACTTTGCTTATCCTCAAATCTCGAGTCCTGGCACAAGCATATGGGCAATTGAGCTGATTGAGGCAGGTAAAAAGGTATGCAAAGAACTTGAGAATGAACCACGGCAGAGGCTAACACCACCAAGGCTCTTGGACTGATTCCCTCAAAAATCAATGCACGCCGTGGACGGGATACTGGTAGCAGCTGAGAAATGTGAAAGACGCCACTGTCATGCTCCACATCGACCGAGCTTCTGGAAAGCCTTATGGAGAAAGGTCGTCCGACGACTGAACGACGAGCGCGGCACATGCATGTTTCTGTTGGCGCCGTTGTATGTACGGCCTGAATAGACGATACGGCCAGACGGGCCAGCGGGTCACCGAACACTGGTGAGGCAAGTATATAGCTTCCTTCCTTTCCTCCTCTGGAAGCACAAGCACAACTCAGCCAGCGACTTCTCTTCTCAGTCTTTCGTTCAGCAAAGCCGTAGATCGGTCTCTTCATTCGTTTGTGGCAAGGTCCATACCATTCGTTCTACAGCAGGAAGCAAAAGCAACGAGCCCTACAACAGTTCTATTAACGATCACCAACGATGCATTCCATCACCACCAGCGTCGCTGCTTTCGCAGCAGCCCTCTCGTCCGTCCCACTCGTCTCCGCCCACGGCTACATTTCTGGCGTCGTATCCGGCGGCAAATACTACGAGAACACTTCTCCAGAATGGGTCTACCAGAGCGCAAAGGCCGATACCCCTGGCTGGTACGCGTATGATCAGGACAACGGCTACGTCGCTCCGACCGAGTATAGCGACAACAACATCACTTGCCACAAGGGCGCCACTGTCGGTGGCACTCCCATTCCGATGGCTGCTGGTAACAAGATCGACCTTCAGTGGACCACCTGGCCCGATAGCCATCACGGGCCAGTCATCACTTACATGGCTGCCGTGGACGGGGAGGCAAGCAGTGCGGACAAGGCGTCCTTGAAGTGGTTCAAGGTCGCAGAAAGCGGCCTTGTCGATGGGTCTGCTTCGCCCGGCAAGTGGGCTACTGATACTTTGATCGGTGAGATCCGCAGACAGAAAAGATCAAACCATCTGTATCGTGCTGACAGCTCTGCAAAGCCAACAACAACACCGCCAACTTCACCGTCCCGTCTTCCCTCAAGGCGGGCAACTACGTCGTCCGTAACGAGATCATCGCCCTCCACTCCGCGGGCCAGAAGAATGGCGCACAGAACTACCCTCAATGTAAGTCAACTCGCCTCTCTGGGTTCCTCTCCGCAACAACTGACAGTACTCCCCTTCTCAGGCATCAACGCCAAAGTCACCGGCTCCGGCACCGCCGCCCCCACGGATGGTGTCCTCGGCACTGCGCTCTACAAGTCGACCGATGCTGGCATCCTCGTCAACATCTACCAGACGCTGGACAGCTACAAGATGCCGGGTCCAGCTCTCTGGAGCGGTGCTGCTTCTGCTTCTGCTTCGAAGCTCAAGCGTCACTTCACGGCCTAATTGCGTATACCTGAGACCGGCAGGACCTGTGGAGAATGAGATGGAACGTCACTGGCTGACTTTTTCGGGTGTGAGGGTTTGATCGCTGTTGAATGGAGACGTGTTGGTAGTACGGCAGTGAAGTAGGGTGTGTTTGTTTCTGCAAAGGCCTGTTCCATTCCTGTGCATTCCGGTGCATCTGATACATCTGACCTAACCATCACGACAACACTAGAAAGGAAGGAATTGTCATTTGCATGATACCCTCTTCCCGTCAAGTTCCAATCGTCGCGAGCTCTTTGTCCTGGCTCATCTTCCGGAGAAACTCCAGTTTGAGCTTCCGAGCTGAGAGGTCACGGAGGTGGTGCTCTGTGGTTTCGCGTGCACTCATTGCGAGACGAATGTTTCTTGTAAATGACGAAATGCTTGTATACTTCCTACCTGGTCTGCGCAGTCCGCAGGGGCGGACGGACATAGGAGTATCACGCACGCACTTATTAGTGGTCCAAATCCCAGGTGTAACTCCTAGCAAGCCCGATGAAATTTAGGCAGTCCAAAGATGGCCATTATTAACCTCAAGTGAAGGAAGAAGACAGCAGGCCGGTGATGAGGGAGGTGTGTCGTCGAATAGCGTGGCAAGTGGCGCGCGCGAAGGTCATCGCCTTTCCTCGCCGACATCCGGACATGCCCTCAAGGGGATGTGTTGGACCCATGCAAGGCATTTCTCGATCGCAGGGTCTAGAAAGTATATGCATTGATTATAAAATCTACAAAGTCGTAATAAAAGCTACATGCGACGATCTAGTTTGCCGTTGCCACAGAAAAATAGACAAAATTGCCCATAACGAATGAATGTGCCATGCTGGGTTGCCGAGGAGCAAATCTCCGGGGTATCCTTAAAGCTCGTTTCCTCCGGCCATGCCGACAAGCTCAAGCCAATCCACCTTTGCCATGGAATACAGATGCAGATGCAGATCGATGTTGTGCGAGTAGAATACAAGAAGCCAACCGACGCGCTGCCGAAATGAAGTGGTCGGACGGTAGAAAGGACCAACTATGCTGAATAGAGTCGTCACGTCGTGGGTATTCCAAGCAGGAGAGGATATTATTTCCGAGCGTTGAAGATCTTGCGCGCTATCTGTTGCGCCATCTCCGTATCGTAGGCGCGGCACTTCAGGACGCTGTCGAATGTGGACAGGTCAGGCCAGAAGCTCCCGTTCGGATCGCCGCACTGGATGAGGATCATGGGGTTGCTCGCGGGGCGCTCAAAATAGTTGCCATCGAGCCCGCCGTGCGCTGCCTCAGCAAAGTCCACTTGATGGCCAAGCGCTTCATGCTTCGCTGTCTCGGGTTCGCAGATGACCACGATGACAGCGTCAGCCTGGCTAAGAAAGGCATCGTGTGTTTCGGTAAACCCGACCCGAGGAACATATGGCACGTGGCGGATGCGTCTGTGATGACGGCTGAATGCGCGGCCCAGGATCTCGAACGGGTCGACACTTTCGGAAGTCTTATTGGACGCCTTACCCGATCCGGCTGGAGTGATGACTGGCGTGAAGAGTACGATCGTTCCCGAGCTCGATAAGTTCCGGAAAGAGGCCATGGTGCGCTCCGAGGAGCGAATGAACTCGCAGGACGCAGAGGTACTCGATGGGCTTGACCTAGTCGCAGTCACAGCAGACTGTGTTGCCTCCGTAGTTGGCTTCACGCTGGGAGATGGTGTTTGTGTGAGACAGAGTCGTAAGGACAATGTAGTGTTGCCGTTGTGAGCGGGACGGCCACTGTCTCTCATCATAGGGTGGCGCCGATAGATTCAAAGTAGGTACCTTTGCGACTGATGAGAAACTGCTTTGAACGTTCGCGTTCGCGCCTCGATCTAATATGTTCACAATCACGGCACGCTCATGGGCAATGCATTAGTCCGGTAGTGAGCCGGTAGTATGCGCCTGCTAGCTGGTGCGACGCCGGAGTGGTGAGGCAACCTCTTTCGGCACCCTGCAGAGCCTGAAGAGTGAAGGTATGCGGACAAGGCGGAAGGCCAGTGAGGGCCCGCGGCCGTGTGGGAGCTGACAGGGCCTCGGAGGTGGTGGAGGATCTCAGCAACGCCAGCGGCGAGCCGTCGTCAGCGTGGTGCTAGATACTGACCAGTAGCACGAGCTTCTCCCTGAGGTGAGGGAGCCGGAGGGCAAGCAGACTATGAAAATTCAGGGAAAATGGTTGGTCGTACGGCAGAACAGGTCGCACGATTATAGCGCGGGAAAAGCGCATGAAAGAGGCGGGCTCTCACCTTTGTGCCTCCAGCACGCCTGCGTAGCACAGCTGGACAATCTTCATCCAGAGTGGCTCCATGACGGCATCGATGGCGCGGTTGATGGCTCATGCGAGCAGCCTGCCCCCCTACAGGTGAAGAAGACGGGGTACATGGCGCATTGCCCCTTGACTAATAATTCGCGTCGAGAGCAGTTCATCAGCGCGACGAGTGGGCCTGTCCGGCAGTTGATGGACATGCGCATTGGCGAGCGGGAAAGGCAGCGAATGCGAGCTGTAAGGCCGGCGTTGACAGCTCTGTGGGCGCGAAGGGTGCAATTCATGGGCCGAGGCAAGTCGTCACGATGCGGCCAGGACGGTGCGGCCAGGACGCTGTGCGAGTGTGATGGGAGAGCAGCCGTGTTGCGTGTTGCGTGTTGCGTGTTGCGTCTCGTTGCGTTGCGCTGCGCTGCGCTGCGCTGCGTTGCGGGCCTTTTGGGAGGAGCTGTTCAGTTGCGGTCCAGTAGGAGATGGCCTGGGCCGTTGCACGACATGCGATCTGGTCGACGAACGACAGCTACAGTATAGTGTGTGCCTCTTTGTTTTGCCGAACTTCTGCAGCAAGTCTGGTGCGCGGGTCAGGATACCTACGATGCGACCTGTCAGGAATCGTGCTCACGCGCCTCGGATTCGGCCGGAGGTATGCCTCGTTTTCGCAGGAGGATTGCTGTTTCGGGGAGGTGATGTCGAAATAGGAGTAAGAGACGCTTCCCCGAAGCTGGAAGTCATATCATATGTGTACGGAGTTTGGTCTCAAGGTGGCCCAATCGGGAAGTATGTATGCTCCACCCCCGAAAGCCCCGGGACCGCACAGCCCAGCCAACAGGAGGCGGCCAAGACTCGCACATGCATTAGATTAGGTTTGGACGTCACGCTAGTCTCCAGCTGCTGCTACTGTACTTCGACGACGACATCCAACTCGAGCTGGCGCCCGGCCGACTGCTGTATCACGCTCCCGCGACCGCTTGGAATTGCTCGCGGACAGCGACTGCTACTGCTTCTCCCACTGCACGCTGCACGTACGTCTCCATCCAGGCGATCGCCGTCGTAGCGCGGTGGGCGAGGCGAGGCGGCGCGAGGCGAGGCGGCGCGAGGAGACGGGACAATGGGCCAACGGAGTTTCGAGGAAGCCGCCATTGCCGCCACGGGCTCTCAGACACTCGAGCATCGCTTCGGCAAGCGGCGACGCGCCATCGACTTGGACCATGACACACCCTCGATCCGCCCGTGGCGATGTAATCTGGTCGGTTCTCACTTCGAATCCTGCGAGAGGACACTTGCAGCTGACTCCCCGCGCTTAGACTGGCTTGTCACAAGTGCACAATCTCTACTTCGTTGCCTATACCCACGAGATCTATGTCTACGTGCCCCAGTTTCCCACGCAACAGCTGCCCAGCACGCCTGCACTCATCGTGACATCGCAGCCTTCGGGCCCTGGCTTCCAAGGATATCTAGATCTGCGTCATCCACACGCGATCAACCACCTGGTCGTACAGAACCTGGGCAACGAAGAAGTTGTAGCGGCCGTGCGGGATGATGGCGATGTCGATGCATTTCTCGTGCGACACATCGTGCAAGCCATCGAACGGCGAGGTGAGCCGGACAGCGGCATGGGCCTCGACGCCGATGAGGTGAAGCCCATTTTCCAGAGTAACGTGGGGATGAGTGCTTGGGGTCTAGCTATCCATTCAGAAGCCCGTATAATTGCAACGAGCGCCAACACGCACAACATCACCATCTTTAAGTTTGGACTCGTTGAGACAGACCAGGATGAAGCTATGCGAGAAGATGGAGACGACGACGATGAGGTCTCCAATACCACCCAAGACCGTGGCATGGACGTCACACATTCCGTCCTCAACGGCACCTCGAACATCCCGTACATCGCATTCTGTAACACGGGCGATGATCCTTCTGCCAGATGGTTGTTGACAAGCGACATCAGTGGCTACTGCAGAACAATAGACTTGCATGAGATGCAGTCTTCCCAGACGTTCCGTTTTGGCCGTCCGCAGAGTTACCTTGCGTCCAGCTCTCATGACCGCTTCAACTCTGGGTGGGCCATCATGTTTCTCGACAGGCGGTCCTTTATCCCGGAAGACGACTTCTACGCCGCGCTCGGCTTAGACGAAGGCGAAGCGTTGCCTGGTTCATACGACTCACGCGGAGGCAAGATCTGGGATATTGGAGCTACAGTATCCCACGTACCATGCATCTCTGACAGTTTCTCGGCCAAAAAGCAAAAGCGTACAAGCCCTGCATCTCGGCCGGCTGCAAGCTCAACGGCAAGTACACGCGGAGTCGAGCAAAGCCCAGAAAGCGGATCTGACCCGATGCCTGCTTCGGAGGAGATGGACCAAGGATTCGAAGACATTCTAGATGACGCCTTGCAACACATCGTAACTCAGGATGACCTGGATGCTGCTTTGGGGTCGACCGAGGGCGGAGAGTCCGACTCTGATCAATCAGAATATTACGCTGACATCGACCTGGAACTGGACGATGAAGGGACCGAGGACACCGTCTCATTCAGTGCCATGTACGGCGGCAGACGCATCTGTGGCAATGAGCCCCGAGGCTTCCAATCGCACAACAATCTCTGCGGCGATTGTCCATGTCCCATTCTCCACGCCTCTGTGCGAAGCGTATACCTGCTGCAGCCTTCCAACAAAAGAACTTCTCTCCGATCCGACCCATTCACGGCGCCGACGGTGGGCTTTACAAATGCGCTCCATCAGCTGGTCCAAGGCGAATTCGCGTACCTCAACGTCTTCGAACGCCTCAACATGAACGCATACATCCCCGCCATCGGTATCGTCATCTTGGGCTCGCAGAAAGGCCGTGCGGTCATTCTATCCTTGACCAAGATGACGAAGCGATCACGTCTGCCAAAAGAGATCCTGACTTCTGGCGTGGAGTACCCCGATACGACGTACGCCATGCGCATCGAGCGAATCCTGCCCTTTGCGCACCAGGAAGAGCAACAGCTGCGGCCTTTCGCTCCCTTGGCGGGGATGTCCACGGGCCCCGTGCAAGGCACCGAGCACCTCCCTGACGACAAGAAACGTTGGCGGCTTTTGATGATGTACTCGGATCACACGGTTCTGAGCTATGAAATCAGGAGAAGACACGCTCGAGACTCCGGAGTGGATATCCAGGGAGTGATTGTTTGAGCTTCTGGACGTTTGATATGATTACAGTGATTTAGACGACAGGACGGGACTGGAAGGACGGAGAGCTCTTTTCCATGAAATCCAGCAAACGAAAGTTTTGCCCTTCAACTCCACCCAGGCCTTCCTGATCTCAGACTACCGCCTTTCGGTGTGCCTTACCTTCTGTTTGCCAAGTCCCTCGTGTCCTTTGCTTCGCGAGCGCAAACGCTTGGTTTCCGTGCAAGTGACAAGCACTCTCTCTCTCTTAACACGCGGCGCTGGCTATTCTTCCTCTTACTCAGTACTCGCCCGTGTTGGAGTTGCCCGTAATCAATGTCGCTGGACGGAGTCTTGATGGCGTTAGGTCTTCGAGTATCTTATTATCACCACAGGTCTTTCTTGCTTTGCTTCAACTGACTTGACTTGACTTGATAGAAGAATGGATTTGCCATGGAAAAACGCATTATTGATTCAGCGTCCTGCCTGGAATCGTGATGTGTATGTATGTATGTATGTATCTGGCTGGCCAAGCCTGTTCTTCCGCCTCTCCTCTCCTCAAAATCCCTCCCACGAGATTTATTTGCTCCCCCCTTTTAGCATCCAAAACAGCAATCAATCAATCCATCTAGAGCGAGCGACATTTCCCTCCCCCCTCCCAACAAGCTCTCTTCCATATTCCATGTTCACATTGCATCTCTCCAACAACAAGAACAAAACCAACTTTCTTATTCAATACCAGGAAAGGAAAAAGAGCATGACGCATTATCTAATGACATATTTTCCCTGTCTCCGTCGTCGTGAAGAATGCTTTCTTTTTCCCAACTCTCTCCGAACGAACCGAATTGAATTGAATTGAATGGAGATCTAGATAGATCAATCAATCAGCTACCTTACTCTTCTTTCTTCTTTTCATCGTCTCTCACACACTCACACAAACTATACCACAACGCGCATCCTTATCCCTATCCCCGTCACTATCCATCTTCGCTTCCCAATCCCCTACCTACCTACCTACCTACCTACCTACCCACCCACAACTCAAACCCTTCCACCGATCAATATATCATGCCAGACACGGGTCCAGTGCGCACAGAGCCCAACCCAATCGACCCAAAGGGACCGGCGAAGCCCAACAATCCCGGCGACAGCTGAGTTGATTGAAGTTATTCTTGGGACATGGTTGACGACATGTTGAGCTAGAACTACTTTTCGCGGGTCCGGGTCCAAGAAGGATGCTGCTCTCCACCGCTGCTGGGTGGTGATGCGTCTGTCTGTATCCCCTGTTCGTATTGGAGATTTCGATCGATGTTACTAGGTACTGTCCACCGACTAGTTTTTTGTAGTCCCAGGCTGGGCGCAGTAGAGAGTGAAACCGATCGTCAATTTTTACCTGTCCCTTTCCATTGAACTGTCAATTGAGTCCGGGGGGGGAGTGCAAGGTACGCATTATCGTCACCGGGAAAGCATCGAGACTTTGCATTTTTTTGTGGGGGTATCCTTCTGCAACAAACGTTCATGTCAAGACAAGACAATGCCGTACATGTGTGTACTTCGCGCGCACAAAACCCACGCTTTTTTTCATGTCCATCACGATTTGCAACGTTTTTCGTACTCCCACAGTCTTACACAGTTCTTCGTGTCCCATTGCCAGAAGGTACAACGCCTGCTAAACGCCTCGCTAAGATCCCATTTCGATATCAAAACACTTCTATAATACGGGACGGGTTTGTTGTTGTTGTTGTTGTTGTTGTTGTTGTTGTTGTGGTTGTGGTCCTTACTCCCCAGCAACCAATTGTCCGGCCGTGACAGCAGCCGCCTCGACGGCAACAGCACTCGCACTCTTATTCATGCCCCCGACGGCCGCGTATGCATTCTGCGCCCAGCCCGTCGCGGTCGTGACGGCCTGTCTCGAAAGGCCAGCCGCAGCGCTATTGTCGCCGGCGCAGTAGTAGTAAGCTCGTCGAGACATGGTCATGAGGTGGTCGGGGAGGTAGAGGATGGTCGCGGTGAGGAGGAGGGAGACGGTGAGGAAGAGGACCGAGTCTACGAGAGGGTGAGTTAAGATCGTCGCATTGGGGTTGGGAGGATGATAGGGGCTCGTAGGGGCGAGACGTACTGAAGATGAACTTCTCCGTCGGGGTCAACATGTACAGCGCGAATGTGACCTCGTACTGGTAATTCTTCTTCTGGAGCCATTTGACCAGTGCTGTCGGCCGGAGAAGTAGGTAGGAGGAAGCGGCGAGGACGAGGACGGCGACGGAGATGCCTGCTGTTGTGGTGTCGACGAGGAAAGCCATTGTTGCGGGTGATGCTGGTTACAAAGAGGCTCAATGCCTCACGGGATCGGGGTGGAAGACCGCGAGTGCTGGGGAGAGGGTAGTGGTGGTGGTGGTGGTGGTGGTGGTGTGGCAGGAGGTGTAAATGTAGATTGAAGAGGTTCGGTGAATAAGGTCAGGAATAAAGGAATCTGGTAGCGATGGGAAAGCGACAGGCGACAGGCGACAGGCATCACAACACTCCCGTCCCGACTTCCCGACAACAGCTGGAGGCGATTCCAATTTCAGGGTCCACCAACCCCTGCTACTGTACATCTTATTAGCGAACGTCGAATCCCGTCTCCATCCGTTCTCAAGCATCCACTACAGGCTCGCAAAAGTACTATCTACCTACCTCACATATATTCATCATCATCAACGGTGGAAGTGATAATCAGGAACGTGACGCATCGTGGCTGAGCACCTCACCTCACCTTACTTACCTTTCGGAAGCTGGTGGAACTGCAATAATGTCGGATACCGGTATCAGTCGCGATCCGAACAGTCAGCTTTCACGGCTCGTCTTGGAGATCATAATCCGCTTCCCTTCATCAAAGACCCTCACAGATAATTCCTCGGATCCAATCCCTTCGCCTTCGCACTCCTAGCCTCTCCCTCAAACACGAATTCACTGATCAATTTCCCCGTGCCAGGTCCATTCTGAATTCCCCAGCACGTATGTCCAGCGGCCATATAGAGCCCTCTGACGCCCGTATGTCCGACCAAGGGCCCGTTGCTACCGCTGGTACTGGGCAAGTAACAAGCCTGTCTCGCCGTGACCTCGCCGTCTCTCAATTCGTCGGAGATCGCCCCCACGTAGTCTACGACCTCCTGACATCGTGCTTCATCTACTTCGACGAGATCGCTGGATTCAGGCAGAGGGACGGTGTGGTCTCCCTCCCCACAGGCGTAGACTTCGTTCTTGGGTCGCGCGTAGATTTCGGGCGAGACGATCTGGCCGCTCTGTTTCAATTTGGTGTTGCCCCGTTTCCACGGCGAGGGCAGCCGGATTTGCGTGAAGAGTGCGTAGGCGCTGACGGGTCGAGATGGCTTGATTGTAACCGAGTGTGCTCGTGTTGCATTGATGGGAGCTGAAGGATAGACTGATCTTGTCCAAGGGCCGGCTGAAAGTATAATGTCCGTCGCTGGTATGGTTTCCGTCTTTCCTCCGCCATTCTTGTCTTTGTATGTTATGCTCTCCACGCCATTGCCGTCTGCGGTGTAGTTGATGCTGCTCACGCTCGTGCCCTCTTTGATCTCCACGCCCTTCTCCTTTGCCAGCTCCGCCATGGCAGTGGTGAATTGATACGGATGTACCTGCGCCGTCGTGCTAGGGTCTCCCATCTCGTCGTAAGCCCTCAAGCTCTCCTCGCTCACCCAGTCCAAATCTTTTGGTATTCCAGCAGCCTTCAACCGTCCCATGGCTTCTTTGCTCCTCTTTGGCAATTTGACACTTTCAATATCCCCATTCATTCCATCCATCTCTCCATTCTTGCCATTCACCCTATCCTTCTCCTTCCTCTCAGGTAAACTCCTCCCAATACAATCGACCTGCCCGACATGCACAGCTCGATATCCCCACCGCTCTTCACCGTCATGCTCGTCGCTCAATTCCTTATGCAGCTTATAGCTCAGCGGCACGAGACTGCTCGGATATGCCCAAAGAGCAAGCAACCCACCCGCCTTGCCAGAAGCGCCGCCCGCAATCTTGGTTGCTTCCAGCAACGTGATCGTATGCTTGCTCGGGTCGTAGGCGTGATGTCTCGTGAGGTAGTAGGCAGATGTGCAACCGATGATTCCACCTCCTACGATGACTATGTTTCTCTTGCTGTCGGCCGCCGCCATCGTGGCGAGGTGCGCTTCGTTTCGTATCGCTGCTGTGAAAGCCTGTGGATTAGGTCTGCCAAGTTTCTTGAGCGTGTTCGAAGCCACAATTGTGTAGATAGAGCACAGTTGGGTACAGTACGAAGGATTATTGGTGACGAGATACTTGGTCTGATGAATGGATTGTCTCGCGGAACCTGTGCACTGCAAGGTTTACGTCACATGCAACTTCTGCGAGGCGGAGTGCTCCACAGCTGAATAACGGCCCTCGATCCCGAGCATCCAGTACACCATAGCACAATAGTGTGCCCAGCATGAAAAGTGTATGTCGCTGGAGTGGACGACAGAGCGCCGGCCAAGCCGCCTGTGACGAATTTGGGTCTTCAGCACAGACTCCGTCTGGGATCTGAATGTGAAAGTAGAGAAACAAGTGCTGCATTTTCTTTGTCATCTCGCCATAATGGCATACATCAAGCACACACACACACACAACGGTAGCTAGGCTAGTAGCAGATGCTAGATCTAGTCAAGCAAGTAAACGCCCGCCTAGAGTGCTACATCCTCCTATAGTCCTCACCAAACGCTCGCTCTGCCAATACCGAGGCATTGGATCACGTTTGACATCTGAAGCCAGCCATTGCATCGCCTTATACCCTGCCTTGACCATGTGCCCAATGCTCTGTAAAACCCGCTGCAAATGTCGCTTAGAAGCACTTGCGGTGGACGATGGATGGTCCAGACTCGTCGTACTCCTGCTTTGAGATCCACATCTGCTGGAAGGTCGAGAGCGAGGCGAGAATGGAACCACCGATCCACACGGAGTACTTGCGCTCTGGTGGGGCGATGATCTTGACCTTCATGCTGGATGGGGCGAGAGCGGTGATTTCCTTTTGCATGCGGTCGCTGATACCTGGGTACATGGTGGTACCACCAGACTGTGGGAAAGTTAGCTTGAGCAGTCTTTGGAAGGTGTATGGAGAGAGCTTACCATGACGATGTTTCCGTAGAGATCCTTACGAACGTCGACATCGCACTTCATGATGGAGTTGAAGGTGGTGACGTGGATACCGCCGGATTCGAGACCGAGGACGGATGGCTGGAAGAGAGCCTCTGGGGCCCTGAAACGCTCGTTGCCAATGGTGATGACCTGGCCGTCAGGAAGCTCGTAGGACTTCTCAAGGGAAGAGCTCTGGCTGGCGGTCTGGATCTCCTGCTCGAAGTCGAGAGCGACATAGCAGAGCTTCTCCTTGATGTCACGGACGATTTCACGCTCGGCGGTGGTGGAGAAAGTGTAACCACGCTCGGCCAAGATCTTCATGAGGTAGTCGGTCAAGTCACGACCGGCCATGTCGACACGGGAGATGGCGTGGGGAAGAGCGAAACCCTCGTAAATTGGGACAACGTGGGTGACACCGTCACCGGAGTCGAGCACGATACCGGTGGTACGACCGGAAGCGTACAGAGAGAGGACGGCCTGGATGGAGACGTAGAAGGCGGGCGCGTTGAAGGTCTCGAAGACGATCTGGGTCATCTTCTCACGGTTGCTCTTCGGGTTGATGGGAGCCTCCGTGAGCAGGACGGGGTGCTCCTCAGGAGCGACACGGAGCTCGTTGTAGAAAGTGTGATGCCAGATCTTCTCCATGTCGTCCCAGTTGGTGACAACACCGTGCTCGATGGGGTATCTGAGGGTCAGGATACCACGCTTGCTCTGTGCCTCGTCTCCGACGTAGGAGTCCTTCTGACCCATGCCAATCATGATACTGCGCTCTTGTCAGAATGTGCTGTCTTTGCTCGGAATTGATGGAACTCATACCCATGGTGACGTGGTCGACCGACAATGGATGCTGTGCCAGCGTTAGCAGGCTCCCAATGCCGCATTTTGAAAGCAGGAGAACTCACGGAAGACAGCGCGCGGCGCATCGTCACCGGCGAAACCAGCCTTGCACATACCAGAGCTGCATCTGAGTCAGCTCTTGTCCTATCTCCAAGTGTTTCATTCCTGCTCATGTATTTCATTTCGATGAATTCGGGGCATGTGCGGGTGACGTCGAGGCGGAGGAGGAGCTGAATCGGACAGCATGCCAGCGCATTAGGATGTTTCTTACCCATTGTCAATGACCAATGCGGCAACCTCTTCTGTATATCGCAATCAAGTCAGCCCTGTGTGCATTTTGCAGCCGCCGTCACCGGGGCTGTGTGCGATTGGCGGCGGTCAAGGCAACAATAGAAATTCGATCAGGCTTACCCTCCATGGCGACGGTTGTGGTGACTTCGAAGAGGTGTCTATTAGAGCGTGAGGACTGTCGATGACCTCACGGGAGTATGGAGTATGCGTTGGAGGTCGATGTGATCGCTGCGCAAGGGTGTTGCGGTTGTGTGGAGTGTTGGTGATGGTTCGATGTGCAGCTTGCGGTGAGAGGAAGTCGAGGCAGGTTTCAAGGGCTTCCAGTTGGACTTTCTGTGGGACGCTAAGCGAAAGCCTAATGTGGAAACGGCGGCTTCTCGACGCCGCTCGCGCACTTCACCTGTTTATTCTTCGATATTCGTGGATGCGAGTACGACACTGGCTGCGGAAGATGCAGATGTATACCCTGTATTTTTTTTTTGGCTGCTGCCTGATTGTCTAATTGCACAGGATCTGTCTCAGTTGTCCGCGGAAGATACTTGTTGCCTCTTATTACGCGTTCTCGCCCTGCCAAGACCATTCCCAATTCATCCGACGAACACTGCCCGCCTACGCTGCATACGAACGCAGGCTGCGCGGTTACGAATGGACAGCTTCTGTAGATATTCATGCCGCGAATTCGGCTACCGCTGAAATACAATCACGCTGGGCAGCAAAAGATTTTCTCCATAAGGTAGGCTGAGCTGTCCTTACGCCACCTGCGTTGCGGCTTCGCCCTTTCGCCAAGCCATGGCACGTGCTCAAAGATATGGCGGGGTAAACTCATGGCGGGGCTAGGATTGAACACTTCTCACCTCACAACACGGAATGCTCATGCGAGATTCTCTCTCAAACCTTGGAGAACGATTCCTTGGGCTACGACAGCACCCAATAGAGCGGACTGACTTGAACTACGGCGTTCTGGCTATCCTCTTCTGAGAAAGAAGGTCAAGGAAGCAGCCAGAAACGGCTAGTGCCTGAAAGAATCTGCTATGGCTAATGAGCGAAGTGAATGCCCGTTTATATACTCAACTTTCAACAACCGCCTTCCACGAACAACTCACTCTGCCTCCGAGACCTTGAAAACTCCACACTTCGCATAGTGTCGAATAACAGAGCACACCGCTGATTCGCAGGAAACCGTGCACAACATGAGCGACCAACAGCAATCTCTCAACCAACTCCTACAATGGGGTATCAAGAACTCGGATTCGTCCCGCGAGGCACAGCCAACAGAACAGCAACGAGATCCAAACAAGGGCCTCAACTCCAAAATGCTTGCTGAATTACTCGGCGGCCCATCGGACGCAGATCGCATGCGGGAAGCCATGACCGCGATCGTCGCACCCGTGGACCAAGTCGACCTCGAGAACAAGTCAATAGCATGGGACAATTTCGAGCAACTCGTCGAGCAAATCGACAACGCCAACAACATGGAATCATTAGGGCTCTGGCAGCCCCTCGTACAGCAGCTCGACCATGATGAAGGAGAGATGCGGAAAGGTGCGGCAGCGTGCCTGAACACCGCGGTACAGAACAACATCAAGTGTCAGGAGCGGCTGTTGAGCCTTGGCGTCGTTCCGAAGCTCGCAAAGATGGCTACAGACGACCCAAATCAGGCAGTCAGAAAGAAGGCTATTAGCGCGCTGAGCAGCCAGGTGAGGAATTTCCAGCCAGGAATGGATGAGTTGGAGAAGAACTTACCGGACAACGTGTGGAAGAGCAAGAAGGGTGGCGTCGATGCCGCTGATATGGAGGCTTGTGATGAGTTGATCCAGACATTGAGAGATCAGTCTACTGCGAGAGGCTAAAGCAAGAAAAGGGAGGTGTGGGATGCGTGACTGTTAGAGCGTCGAGCATCAGATGAAAGGCTCGAAAAAGCGGACTCACATTTGTACCATGGTAGAGACGACGAGACTTGTCACCCGTAACGATGTAATGAATTGTAACGAATGAAAGCAGCAGAAATTGCCATTCAAATTTTTATCACAGATGCTACAGTACAACTATACACCCCTGACCTTCCTGTAACTCGGCGGCTTTACGGTCCTCCTGATGACCTTCCCAGCATAAACTGGTCCCAAGCTCGCAGCTGCAATAGCGGCAAACCTCCACCAGAACCCAATGTCGGTGACAAAATTGAGATCAAAGTATCCTCCAAGGAACGGAATACTACCGAAGTACAGCGCTGCTGTGCCCAAGATGCTAAAGATCATGGTCGGATGCCAGGTAGTGATCTCTGCCGCTACCATTACGATTTCGTTGACGATCAGACACGTGTAGGACACTGCGACCATGCGTCTAAAACCTCCCGTCGCGAGTGTCGTGTCGTTTCCGTCTGCGTCGGTGGTGGGTTTGAGGCTGAAGCCAGGGACGAGTAATTCGCTTCCTCCTTGGATAATGAGGCCTTGGTAGAAAGAGATGCCTACCCAGATGAAGAATGTGCGGTAGCTTAGAGACTTTCCGGTCGTGAGTTCCTTGTAGAGCTCCGGGTACAAGTTCGCAAGCCCTTCATCTACGTCCTTGTCCAAGACCAGCGAGAAGACCGGCATCATGGTATATATCGTGGCGTACCCGACCAGAAGCCAATCACGGTAGAGAGCCACAGGTTCGAATTTCGAAGCGATGGAGAATATAGCTTGGCAGACGCTTATGATGAGACCGCGATGCATGACAAATTGTGCCAGCTTCGCTGAACGGCGGTAGGAGTTTCGTCCATGCCAGACAAGCAATTTGGTGATATGGGCGAATTGCGTGATGCTGAAATCGGCTGCGAGCGAAGCCTGGCGACCTTCTTTGCCGACGATTCCTACTCCCACGTCTGCGGCTTGGATCATGCTGACATCGTTGCCGCCGTCGCCAATACAAGCAATGCGTTTCTTTGTATATGCGCGGATTAGATGGGCGATGTCTGCCTTCTGGGTTGGAGAGCAGCGGCATGCTATGACGGCCGGGAGGCGGACGGCGAGAGTAATGAAAGCATCGCGGTGGTACTGGAGGTAAAGTGCCAAAGATTGACCATCGATGAGGAGAGCAGCATTAGGCTGGTTGTGCAGCATGCTCAGCGCATCAAGGGCAGCGTTGCGGTTCTTAAGACTTGCGATGGTGTGAATATATTGCCCTCGACTGACCAGTTTGGAAGAGACAGCAACACAACGCGCCGTCTCGACTTTGTCACCGGTGAGCATCCAGATCTTGATCCCTGCATTGCGGAGGAGCTCGAGTGAGGGTTTGACAAGTGGCTGTAGTTTGTCTTCGACGCCGGTCACGCCGAGGAGCTCGAGGTCGCGTTCGAGATGTTGCTTGATCACGCTTGCCATGGCAGCGTCACGGCCCGACAGACTGAGAGATGCCTCGGTGTATGCGGTAAAGAATGCAGTGTATTGCTGTGCACTCAGAGACTTGCGACCTACCACGAGTGTACGCAAACCCTCGCGTGCCATGTTGCCGGTCTCCTCATCGAGCCAGTCGTTGGCCGCGACGATTGAGGTCATTACCGTGTCAGCACCTTTTTGGAAGAAGAGTATCTCCCCTGTCTCGGCTTTCTTCGACTGAGCGTTGCGAACGAAACGCACGATGATACCCATACGCTTGCTGTCGCTCGTGAACGGAAAGACGTTGAGGATCTCAACACGGACAACGATTCGCTCATCGCCGGTGAACTGGAGCGTGATGCTCTTGCGGTCTCGGTGCAAGAGCCGTAGTCCAACCTGCTCAGTCCACTGCACAATCGCAATCTCATCGGGCGACGAAGCTTGGTAGGCTACCTTAGATTGTCCGGCCTCGTCTTCTTCCGTTGTTGGTGTCACGTTGTGGCATAATGCAAGCGCAAGCACGAGGTCACGTACGCGCAATCCAATCTCTCGCCTGGTTCTGGTTGCCCCGCTGAGAGAGCTGATGCCTGATGACGGCGTGAACAGGGCATCATTGCCGTCTGCTTCTGTAAACGCGAATGCCTGCTTCACATAGCTGCTGACTTCTTCCATGGCGTCACCACCATAGCTGACCGTTCCCACGTGTATTTTCTTCAGTTCCATCTCGTTCCTCGTCAGAGTGCCTGTTTTGTCGCTGAGTAGGTACTCGATGCGTCCGAGATCTTCAGGTATCGTGCTTGTTCTCACCACAGTGCCCGGTATGTCCTGATCCCGGTGTATGAAGTACGCGTATACACTTTTACCCATATCGAGGTTGACACGAAGGGATATGGGTACGATGGTGCTGAATAGGATCAGGAATCTCATGGCCGCAACGTACCAGGGTCGCTCTTCATGGGCCTTGAAGCCCTCGAGGGCTACCAAGATCACACTGAGCGCCGCAGTCAAGAAGCAGAGGATCTTTGTGAGGCTGTTGATCTCATACTCCAGCAAGCCTGTCTTCGACCGTGACGGAGATGTAGATAGAGCAGCTCGAGTTTCCGTTCCAGTGTAGACGACAATGGCATGTACTATAGTCGAAGAGGCGAGCACGGTATTTGCCCAGGCTGTGTTATCGATTGTCAAAGGACTTGACGTAGTACCAGGAGAATCATATTCTGGCAGGTGCGCGTTTGCAACCGGCGGGTCGTATGCTAGCTGATGCCGCGGTTGCAGTTCGATCGTGCCGACAAAGTCATTCACTTTCTTGTCTGGTTTGCCTGCAGTCACCCGCAATCGAATGTACTCGCTAGTAGGCAGCGTCTGTGCAATGGGTGTCGCCAAACGTAGCTTCCAGTCCGTTTCTCCATCAAGCTGGTCGGTACGAATGAAGGCCTCGCCTCCTCCGCTAGGATCAGCTGAAGTCGTCTCATTCTCCAGATCTTGACCCCTCAGTGCCTCCCCTTGCAATTTAGGGCTTGGTGCTGTTGCATTTTCGCCCATGTCCACCAGCTCATCGGGCTGATCTGTACCGTCCTCGACGGCGGCAGCAGCAGCTTCGCTTGAAACACTTTTGAGAACGACAACATCTGCAGGTACCCTCTGATCCTTACCAAGAACGACAATATCTCCAACCTTGAGGTCCCGTGAGGGCTTCATTACCTCTAGAACGCTAGCCGAAGGTGTTTTGGTGTCTTCGCTCCCGTATTCCTCGTCATCCGCCTGCTGTAGCCTTGCAATGTCGTTCTCAATGGAGACTCGTCTCTTCTTCCCCTTCTTCCTTTCCGACATGCTTTTGATCTTCCTCTTCAAGCCACCGCCGTCAACGCTCGCGTCGCGCTCTTCAAATCGCAGCACTTTGTAGGCTTCACTGTTCGCTTCGCTATCCCTTTTCCGCCTGTATACATCGTCGTAGGCCTCCTTCCCAAGAGTGATGCTGATTACGAATGCCAGAGGCGCGACATAGGTCGAGAGATAGCCTATCCGCAGAGCGGGTATTATCTGCGACAAGGCAACCAGGAGGAAGTACATGTTGAAGAAGAACTTGAACTCGTTGAATAGCGTGCGTGGGAGGAAGGACCACGGGGTGTACTTCGCGTTGGAGATGGCATTCGGAGGGAACCGTGTAGCTTGCCGTTGACCGACTGCAATCGTTCGATTCGCAGCAGGATCGTGGTCGCCTTCGGGCTCCTCTTCTGCCGCCGACGGCAGAGCAATAGAAGCACTTCGTTTCCCAAATGGTAGATACTTCCATATGCCTTTCCGCCTCTTCCGATAATCGCCTAGATTATGGATACCCTGTTGGGAGAAGCGCCGAGTGTTGCCATTCGGATGCGACAGCAACGCCGTATCATCGTCTCTGCTCATTCTCTTTCTGCCACGTTCTTCATCTTCGTCGCCGCCTACAAGCGCTTGCAGATCCTCCTCGTCTTCCTCTCTCGGTCGCCTCCTCCCACCAAACCTCAAGTTGCGAAGAGGTATTCTAGCGCCAAAGTCATGGCTAATGCGGCCAGAGCTAGGCTGCCGCGTTGGTGTTCGCGAGAAGCTCGTTGTCTGCGGATCCAGCTCATTCAGGTCCAAGTCTAGGTCGGAATCGCGGTCATCGTCTTTATACCCATCGTTGTGACTGAGTGGCTTGTGGTAGCCCGTAGGACTTGTCATGCTTCATCGCACTTCGACTCCCTCCCAAAGAGTTTGTTTTGGGTTACTCGGAAGGCCTTCGGCGTTGCCGTCTTGAAATGCTGTCTGATAGCGTCTTGAACAGTGTTCTCGCCGCTAACGTCGCTGCTTCGGCTTATTTACAGTTTCGTATCTTTGTTCGTTATTCACCGGCCAGTCGAGGGTACGAGGGTACGTACGCTCGTGCAGAATATAGTACCACGGGACATCTCACATGCACTCCCGTCCGCGGGCGGCGGGAGCAACCCTAATCTAATTCTAGCCGAACACCGTTTCTCTATGTCCTCCACTCGTCCTCCTTTAATCCATCGCCACGAGTCTCTTCTCTCCTGAGACCGCGCTGGAGAACACTGGAGAAGAAACGACATGTCTGTAATATACCAATAGGGCCCAAGTCTTGAGTCTGGCACATGCGACGTGTATACTACAGGTACGCTTATCTACGGGCCACCTCCCTTGCCAGCTGGCTTCCTACATAAGACATATGCGCCTTAAATGCGCTGACAGCAAGAGGAACAGTGAAGAGTCGCTCTCTTGTACCAAATAAGCCGTCTGGAAATACACCACCATGAGTGACGACGGATATCCCAACTTCGGCAACGCATGGACGTCCACCTCATCGACGTCAGCATCCAACTCCGCATCGTGGAATCCTGCGTTTCGACCTAATACCGATTCCTTGCACGCGCGAAATACATCTACTGCCTCAAACGATGATTTTTTCGAGCGTTATCCTGGCCCAACCCCCGAAAAGAGCAGAGCACGGGCGCAAGAGCCTGTGGAAGAGGAAGCCGAGTATGAGGAGCTGCCGACAGCTGCGCGCAAGAGAAGCAGTATCGCTGTGCTGCATACTATCGAACGGCGTACAGATGCTGCAACGTCGGGGGATCTCTCACGCGTTCCGGCTGTAAAATCCCAGGCCGAGGGTTCTCCAAGTCGGCGAGACTCGATCGATGCTGCGGATGAGCTGTTGCAGCAGGGGGATCCTGAGGATGATGAGGAAGAAGGGGCTATATTTCATCCAAATGAGACTGCAGTAGAGCAGGAGCACAGCCTGGAGAGCAAGCTGCAGGTACCGGGGGAACATATATTCATTGGTACACCAGGCACGCAAACTCCAATGCCTCTCGAGAAGGACTATGAGGCGGAGTTCGCAAAACACAACAGGTCGGAGTCGGGATACGAGCATCAGGGCGAGGCCTTGGAGATGGAAGAGGCGATAGACGAGGCTCCCGAAGCGCCGCTTTTGGATGATCCAGAGGAACCACCCACGGTCGAAACATTGCAGCGAGAACCTATCATGAGGGCGGTCAGCGGAGAATCTGTTCTAGACGATGAGCGCGGCACGACAGATCGACCGCTCTCGAAAGGCAGTGACCAGATTGGGCACGTTCAGCGAAGTTTCACCACCAATTTCACCGAGGTACCGGCACAAGAGAAAACACAAGAGGAAGTTCCAGAGCCAGTCGTTCCCATGAGCGATGGCTGGCCCTCGGCGGGAGACGACAAGACCTTTGGAGAGCTGCTCGGCGACAAACAAATTGTCGCAAATACAACTGCAAACTACATTGATGAGTTGCATGTTGCGCCTGTGGACGATGCTTGGGGAGCTGGTACGAGTGATGATGCGCAGCTGATAGGGGCTGGAAGAACATCCTCTTCTCGAGCAGAGCCGACCTCAATTTTCGCACAAAAAGCGGAAGAGACGCCAGGAGTCGAAGCATTTGTCATAGCTCCGGATGCTGAGCAAGAGGACGATCTGGCGGCTATGTGGCAAGCAGCACTGGATGATGATGATCTCTTGGAGGAAACAAATGATTTGGATCCGTCTAAATTCTTTGGTGACGATGACCTTGACTTCCTCGATGACGACCCTCTGCTCGAGCATGAGGTCTCGGCATTGGCACCAGCACCCGCGTCAACACAGCCAACACCCGCGCAAGCGCCCCGAACAGCCTCATACGTACCCAATGCCGCAGCTACAGCCGCAACTCAACCATCGCAATTGAATCGTTATGCCGCTCCTGGTCCTCAAATTTTGGCTCAAAGCCATGGCAGAACAGCAGGCACGCCCTCTACGGGTCTCTACGATCTTTATGGGCAAGGAGCGCCTCAGCAAGCGCAAGCATCACAGAGACCAAGCGCCCAGTCTGCACAGAGCTTTGTTGACAAGGCGAAGGGAGGGTATGAATCGCCATACGATCTGCCCATGGAGGTTGTGAAGCCCAGACAAAGACCGCGACCTGTCGCCGGTCCTCGAAGCAGCAGCATATCAGGGACGTCGGGCCAACAACAGTCAAGACCTCCGACTGCAGCTGGCCAGAATTTCATACAACCTTCAAGCTCAGGATCCGTCCCCGCTGCGCCTCCACCAACATCGACTACAGGTGTTGTCTCGGCGAAATCAACTCCCAAGACAGATGCAGGATTTTTTGCTGATCTCCCTTTCACCGAAAAACCTCGAGCTCGCGTCTCAGGCGCTTACACTCCCCAGCCCCAGAATTCATTCTCACCACCGGCCGGACCAATGCCGCCTCGCGGGACTGCAGCACCTCCTGTCCAGCATCCACAGAGACCCCAGGCTCCTGCGACACCTGCTCAGCAACAGCAAGTATACGGAGGCCTGACTCGCCATCAAGAGTCTTTGCCTCTCCTTCCAGATCAGCCGACAGCATCTGTCCAGTCACAACCGCCCGCAGCGCCTCCTCCAAATCAGCGATACTCTCCCAGCAATCTCCCTGCACCAGCGCAGGTACAAAGTCGTTACTCTCCTGCGCCGACTGCGCAGAGCCAAGCTCCTGTATCACGATACTCGCCTGCGCCATCATCACAGGCCAAGAAATATGGTCCAGCTCCAGGAGCTGCTCCAGCGCCCCCTCCCTTCCAGCATGCTCATCCGTTCGCACCGCGAACGAGCAGTCCACTCGCCTTCCAACAGGACAAGCATCAGGGTGGCATGTCAGGCTCGCCGCCAAAGACTATTGAAACTGGTTCGTCTGGAACTATGTCACCTGAACGCTCCATTAGCATGAATTACTCGCCAATCGACCAGCGCACAGCATCGATTTCCAGTCTGGCTAGCCCTCCCCAACGGTCCGCAACACAGTCGCCTCCAAATGTACGTCAGGTCCCACGATACTCGATGCAGTCACAAATGGATACACACGCTCAAGCCTCTGGTCTCAATACTACGGCGAGTCGCTCAATGCATCTACCACATCGCCGCCAGTTCTCGCGAGACATCTCCTTCGCGGCCCCGCAAGACTTCCATGCTGAAGACTCCTTGCAAAGATGGAAAGGTGCTCCAGTCTTTAGATGGGGTGAGTCAGGTATGGTCGTTAGCTCCTTCCCTAAGCAGACGCCTTTCTACGCCGCTGGTGGAGCACCTACGATCAAATGCACGCCTGGTCCCATCGCCGCCCAGTTGGCTACCACGTTCATGCCAATGGACGAGTGCAACGCCAAGTTCCCCGGGCCGCTTGCGGCGCGAGCCAAGAGTAAAAAGAAGGAAGTGCTTGTGTGGATGTCGAATAAAATCGATGACCTCGGAAGACGGAACGAGCACGCGAAGAATGACTTCCAATTGGATGTCGATGTGAAGAAACGCACCGAAGAGAAGTTACTTTTGTGGAAGATTGTCAAAATCTTTGTTGAGCACGACGGCCACCTTGAGGGCGACAAAAAGATAGAGGACGAGATTCGAGCGGTGCTTCTACCTGATTTAGCTCAAATGAGCCAGGTGATGGAGCTTCAGAGCCCCCTTTCAAGCTCCACGACAGGGCTTCAGGCAGATGTGGTCGACAAGACGGTTATCTTCCAACTTCGGCAGGCTCTGCTCGAAGGCCAAAGAGAACGTGCAGTTTGGCTTGCGGAGGAGAAGAAGCTTTGGGGCCATGCCATGCTCATTGCATCCACTATGGGCCCAGACATGTGGAAGCAGATCATTCAGTCGTTTGTTAGATCGCAGGTGAAGACCGTTGGAAGCGATGCACGAAGCCTTGCTGCTCTATACCAGGTGTTTGCAGGTAATGCAGAGGAATGCGTGGATGAGCTGGTTCCGCCATCTGCACGAGCCGGTTTCCAGATGATCTCAAAGTCTGATGGTACAATAAACGGCAATCCTCTTGAGGGGCTCGACAAATGGCGAGAAACTTTGGGCTTGGTTGCTGGCAATCGCACACCTGCTGACGGGCAATCGCTGCTCTCCCTGGGCAAGCTACTCGATGGTTATGGAAGAGCTGAGGCCGCCCATACCTGCTACCTCTTTGCCAGACAAATTGCCAAGCATTCTGGCGCTGATGATGCCGAAGTCAGTTTTGTCATTCTTGGCGCGAACCATCACGGTCAACAAGAGAGCTTTGCGAATGATCTCGATGCCATCATCTTGACGGAAATCTACGAGTGGGCTACATCGCTGTCTGCACCAAGCAGCGCAGTACACTACATCCCGCATTTGCAGTCATTCAAGCTCATTCATGCTCAGGAGCTGGCCGCCTATGGATTGAAAGCTAAGGCACAGGCCTATTGCGATCACATCACGAGCGCATACACCTCTACGACACGGCCATCGCAGTACTACCATCCGACCTTCACCCAGTCGGTCAGCGATCTCAGTGCTTTCTTGTCTCAGACGCCGCAAGCAGGCTCCTCCGGTCTGTTATCTAAGGGCGCGATGAACAAAGTGTCATCGGGAGCTGCCAGCTGGTTTACCAAATTTGTCTCTGGGGATGACGACCAGGATTCGACTGGTTCGGGCCCTGGTGCTGGCAGCGAAGATATGATTAGCGGACCGTTCGGGCGAGTGAACGGGGATTCCCCTGACCTGAGCCGGACTGCATCGGGCACAGATTTGTATAACCCCATGATGGGAGGTGGCGGCCCTTACGCTCCTGCACAAGCAGTGGGAACATCATTGGGCGTCTCGCCTCAACAAGCGTTTGCGCCTTCTTCGGCTCCCAGCAAGTACGCGCCTGTGGCTGCGGCAAGCAAGTATGCACCGATGGCTGCTGGCGGCATGGGTGCGGCAGCTCAGCGGCCAGCGTCACCTCATCGACCTGCTTCTTCCCTTTCTGCAGTAAGCTACGCTCCAGCACCCGTGGCTCAAGCGTTGGGTGTGCCCAGACCGGATGCAAACAGAGCGGCTTCGGATTATAGTGCATCTTACAACTCAGCCACGAGGCGAGGATCTGCGCCGTATCCGGGCTCACAGAGCATCTATGAGCCGAGGCCAATGCTTGCCGAGGAGACTTCCTCCTATGGGTACCAGCCAGCGATGCCGGACTCGCAATCGCGGCTAGGAGAGGAGCAGCTCGACCCATTTGCAAAGCCGAACGGAATACGAGAACATGACGAGTTCGTTGCCGATGCCGAAGGCGGCGGGTACCAGCCCCCCAGTATGAGTTACGAACCGCCGTCATCAGGCGGCGGATACGAGCCGCCTTCATATCAGCCTTACGAGCCCGAGCCCGAGCTTGCAGGTGACGAAGCGAAGCCCATGCAGAAGAGCTTCATGGATGACGATGAGAACGACGTGCTCGCCCAGCAAGCTGCAGCCATGAAGAAGGCTGAAGCAGATCGTGAAGCTGACGAAGCCTTCAGAAAAGCTGCAGAAGCTGATGCAGAACGTGATAAGGCCAAGTCTGGCGGTCAGAAGAAAGGCTGGCTCCCTAGCGTGGGCGGCTGGTTCGGTGGCGGCGCTAAGAAGGACGCTCACATGCCTACAGTGCACAAGGCCAAGCTGGGCGAAGAAAATTCGTTCTACTATGATGAGCAGCTGAAGAAGTGGGTGAACAAGAAGGGCGGCGCAGAAGCTGCTACTCCTGCTGCTGCCACACCACCTCCGCCTAAATGCCCACCAGGCCGAGCTGTCAGTGCCGCGATGGGCCCACCATCTGGCCCGCCTTCAAGAGTTTCCAGTGGCATTGGTCTCGCTGGACGACCCCCGCCAGGTCCCCCCTCTTCAATGGGCGGAACACCTTCCGGTCCACCCTCTCGAAGCGGAACACCGGCTTCTGGAGACTCCGGGCTGCCGATGCCTGCGGGTGTCGCTGCTCTCAATGGTAGTGGGAGCGGAAGTAGGCCTCCTTCGGCCCCGCCAAGTCGGCCTGCCACGAGCATGAGCAACGCTAGTAGTCTCGACGACTTGCTCGGTGGGCCGCCTGGACCCGGGCAGAGGAAAGCCGGCGGAACAGTCAAGGGAAAGAAGAAGGGTGGTCGATACGTGGATGTTATGCAGTCGAAATAGTTGCGGTGATATGAGGAATGGAAGCATTGGGAACGAGACTTGGTCGAGCTTGGGGTGGACGGCGGAGACACTGGTCTGGAGGCGTTTTCCGGAATTGTAACGCCGCTATGCACATAATGCGGATGATGGGTCTGTTGCATTCTGGGGAAAGGGAAACCAAAGTCTGTAAGTTTTGGAGAATCGCCTCGCCTGCGGCGTGGAAGGGTCACTATTCCTTGTAGCATAGCATTTACCCTAATCATGAAGAACACTTCACGAAGTGTCTGCATCTCGTCCGGAGCCAAGTGGAAGCTCACGAGAGACTCTCTCGCTCTTGGACTTCGGGTTCATACACCATCAAGGGCATATCGTACGCCTTTTCCGGATCATCATCGATCCTGATCGTCTTCAGCACCCGGAAACCATGCTTGAGGTAGAACGGGTGGCCGGCCAGGCTGCTCTCGAGGATCATAGGCATTCCAAGCTGAGCGGCGGCATCCAAGCCCCATTGCAAGAGCTTATGGCCGACGCCGTATCCTTGCGCCTTGGGGTGCACCATCAGATACTGGAGATGTAAGTTGCACCCCAGCGACTCCACTTGGTCGAAAGAGTCGTGCAACAGGCCCCGTAACCGATGGAAAGTCTCGTAGCTGACGATCGTATTCCGGCAACACCTGTGATGCCAGCCTTCGAGATCGACCAGCCTACGCTCCAAAGCCTTCAGCCAGCCGCTGTCCTGGCGCTGCCATTCCGCGGCAAGAGGGTTCTCATCACCGCCTTGCGGCTCCCAGGTGGAAAAGCCGAGGATCGTCGTGCTTTCATGGCCTCTGATGAAGCCGAGCTGCAGCTTTTCGGCCACCATGAAGCGTATTCCGCTTCGGACGAAGAACATGCGCACACGCGAGAGCACGAAGGCGTGGAATTCTGCCTCGTGCTGCTTCCGGGCGGGACAGAAGTGGTCGAAGAATTCAAAGGTCAGGAGATTGGCGTGCAGGATGCGGGTGATTGCCGGGATGTCTGCCCGCGTCGCCCAGCGCAGCTGTACTTCCTCGGGCCAGGCGATGTTGTTGAGGTGATCCGGATTCGGAGTCATATTTGAGGCATGGTGAGCTGGAGCGAGCAGTCAGTCGTACCCTATCTCGTGGAACCCAGCCACCGAGAGGCTTCGAAAGTGCGCAGCGTAGCGTAGAGTAGTGGTTTTAGACCACCTTCAACCGGATTAGGTAGAGCGCGGGGTAGGGGTAGATTCTAGCCAATCACGGGGTGCGCACGTTTCGAAGCCTCTCGGGTCTGGTCTTTTTTGGCGGCTTTATACACCGATCGCATTGAAATTTAGTTAGCAAAAGAGCGTCTTCTTAAAAATCTCGCTACGTATATATTTTCGCGCGGTAAGAAATAGGGGTTATATTCTTTATATAGAAATCTACGATTCTAGAAATTTTTATATTATTATCCCTATATAGTAGTAAGATATCTACTTTAAGAATATTAGTTTTAAAGATTCTATTAAGATTTGCCCCGAAAAGCTATATCTCGACGGCTACTATATATTTTTAAGTATACTAAGATAGAGGGCTAAGAGATATACTAGGACTAGAGTCTCTAACTTAGTATACTGTTTAATAGGATATGTTACGTAGTTTGTAGCGGAAGTAAGGACTTAATAATCGAAGAAGAAGGACCCGTAATAGTATAGTATATCTAAAGTAGAGTATAGAGTAAAGGATAGTAGAAGGTAAGAGAGAGAGAGAAGCCCGCTCTCCCCCTTCTAGCTAGTATTACTAAGCTTAGCGTGTTACGTGACCTAGTCACGTGACTACTTAGCTTACTACTAGGCCTACTCCTACTTTCCTCCTAAGCTACTATTTTATAACACTCCTACTTAGGTCCGGAGGAAAGAATTGAAACCCTTTAACTAAAGTAATATAAGAACAAACTCTAGGTCTTCTATTACCTAATTAGGATACTTCTTAGTTCTAGCTAGATAGTTTAGGGGTCAGAATATTAGGCCTATAAAGTCACTCCTAAATAGACATCCGCGAAGCGTCCCCGCGCTCTTAGGCTCTACCTAATAATTAGAGTGTACGATAGGGATCTAAAGACCTAGGTTTAATTCCTAGTTTAGCTATTCCTTTTACTAGGCTAGCTAGAGTTGCTTTACAAAATTCTAGAACTATAGACTATTTAGGGGTTTAGTTAGTCTATTAGCTACTATCTCTTTTGTTAGGTAATACTCTACTATAACCTTCCTCTACTACTAAAGATTTCTAATAAAGTTATATATAACATTAATATGTTTTAATCTCTTATAGATGTAAGCATCTTTAATAAGGGTTAGAGCTAACTAATTGTCTCCTTTAATAAGGACAGGTCTAAGTGATTAGGTAGTGTTATTATTAGCCTTAATCTTTAGCTAAAATAGGCACTCTCTAACAAGCTTAGGACAGCTTATCTTACGAAGTAATGTAGCTAGGAACTGTAACTGCTTTATACACGAGTTTATTACTATATACTTAGCTTCTATAGTTAATATTATAACAGACTTTTGCTTTCTACTTATCTAGGAGACTAGTAAGCTATAAAGGAACTAGACATACCTAAGGACAGACACTCTATCCACCTTGTCTATTATATAGTCTAAGTTAGAGTAGCCTTAAAGGCAACCTCCTCCTCTCCTATAGTAAAGGCTAAGATCTAGGTATAATCTTAGGTACCTTACAAGCTTCTTTAGTGCCTTTATATGTTGCTTTAATAGGTCTATAATATATAAGCTTAGTCTCCTAAGTAGGAAAGCAATGTCTAGCCTTATTATTATTATTAGCTATATCTAGGTACTAGTATAACTCTAGTACTCCTGTTTGTTATACCTCTTATCCTAGAGGCCTAAAGGTTTTAGGCTCTTATAGCTATCTAGAGGTAAGTGTATAACATAGGCCTTGTCTTTAGTTATACTTATCTTAGTAAGGTTTGTTTAGATAAAATGTCCTTAGTTAAGTTTTAGAGTGCCCTACACTCTGTCCCTTATAATTTTTATACTAAGGATCTTTTTAGGTTCCCTAAGGTCTTTAATTCTAAAGACCTTTCTAAACTCTCCCTTAAACTAGAGAACATCTAATAGCTTTAGAGCTATAATAGGGATATTATCTATATAGGTAAGGACTATTATGTTCCTCCCCCTATAGATAAGAAGGCATAGGTCCACTTCTAACTATATAAACCTAATCTGCTCTAGCTTAGTAATATAGAGTTTGTTCCAATCTCTAGCTGCCTACTTTAGTCTATACAGGCTCCTTAGAATCTTTAGGACTATGTTTAGAGGAATCTTAATACCTAGGGGTAGGATTATATAGATGTCTTCTAAGAGGGTGCTTTTAGTAAATGTATTGTTTATATTAATCTAGTACAGTTCTAGATCCTTCTTATATATAGCTGCTATAAACACTCTTAGTATATTATGCCTAACTATAGGTGTAAAGGTGTCTATAAAGTTAATACTAAACTTCTATAAAAACCCTCTTATAACTAGTCTTGCCTTAAACTTTTTAATAGCTCTACTAATTATTCTTTTTATATTAAAGACCTACTTAGAAGTGACTAGGTTGGCACCCTATAGTAGCATAGCTGGCTCCTAAGTGTTATTTATCTCTAAAGCCTAAAGCTCCTTTTAGATTGCTTCTCTTTATATATAACCCTAGGTAGGGTTAGATATAGCTTCCCTATATGTTTTTGGGATTAGTACTTACTACTATATAGTAATAGTTGGGCCTACTATAGCAAATGCATACTCCTCTATATTATTTAAAAATTCCTTAGCCTAGCTTATACTTAGATCTAGATAGAATATTATAGAGATAAATGACCTATAGTGCTTTACACTCTAGTCTCCTTTATTATCTAGATCCCTTCTCCTTTTCTAAGCTTAGCTCCTTAGGGTAGGTCCCTAATAGCTAGTATCTAGGTTAGCTAATCCTATAGATTCTCCCTAAGGTAGAATTTTAGATAACTCCTAAGGTATAGCCTTAGGTTCCTTCTCTAAATTTTCTTAAGTCCCCTCTAGATCTATCTTCTAGTACTCCCTACTGTCTAATAGGGGTAGAGGGAGCTATATAAACAATTTTCTAGGTAGTAGCTAATCTATTAGCCCTAATAATAAGGTAGGAGGTGCTAGTTGTTTTGGTCTCCTAACTAGATTCCTCTAGGGGGCTTTACTAGATTGGTTTAAAGTTGAAATGCCTAAATCTATATCCCCTCCCTTTTCTTCTTTAAAGAAATCTACCTAGGAGTAAGCTTTAATAGCCTTTATATTAGGCTCCTAAAACAACTATTGCTTTGTAGTTCTATCTATATAACCTATAAAGACAACCTCTTTCCCCCTATTTATTAATTTGTCTCTTCTTAGACCTTAAGGCTAGGACCTTAGATCTATATAGACTACTACTTTATATCCCTAAACCCTAAAATAGTTAACTAATAGGACCTTACCTATAAATGCTTTATTAGGTAACACTTGAATTCTATTAATTAGAGGACTATTTAGGAGCTTGTTCCTTATCTCTACCTAAGTAAGTAGTGCTTCTAGCTAGAACTCTATAGGTATGCCTAAATCCTAGAGCATTGCACGTACTGTCTACTTAGAGGTCTAGATTAACCTTTCTACTATACTATTTTAGAGAGAGTTATAGGCATTAGTTATATTAACCTAAATGCTAAAATTCTTCTCCTACTACTTAAAAATAGTAAGGAGTTCCCTTACACTATCACTCCTAATTAAATTTAGAAAGCAGCCTAATTGCCTCTCTACTTTCTTTTTCTATTCCTCTAGTACTATTAGAGTATCTGTCCTAGCTTTTAGAGGGGAGATCCACTTCTTCCTAGAGAAGTTGTCTACTACTTCTAGCTAGTACTTAAAACTAAGCCTTAAGACAGTACTATTAAAAGGCCTATAGATGTTAATAGATATAAGGGCTAGTCTTTCACCTTTCCTTTTAGTAATAGGACCCTTGTATTTTCGTTTGTTTGTAAGTAAGCATACCTTACACAGGTACTTTTCACTTAGTACTAGAATAGGAGAATTTAATATAGTAACCTTATATAAGCTTCTTAAGCTACTACTTCTAAGGTATGCAAATCTCCTATGCTATAACTCCTACTAAGCCTGTTCCTTAGCTGAAAGCAAGGTATATATATACTCCTCTATTATATCTATTACTAATATAGCCTATAGGTTATCTAATAGAGATAAAATAAAGGGCATACCTCTATAAATTTTAGTCTAGACAACTAGTTTACTAGACATAGATCTAAGGGTAAAACTAGGTAGTTAGATAGCAAACTATTAGCTAAACTAGTTCTATAAAATAAGACTAACACTAAGACTAGGAACAAGAAGAACATCTCTTAGAACAATTTGTTTCCTAAGGTCCCCTCCTATCTCTACTTCTCCTATATAGGTAGCTTTTATAAAGCTACTACTAACCTTAATCTATCTAGGCCTCTAAAGAGGCTTTATAGTTCTAAAGAGAGAAGGTTAGTTAGTTATATAGGATAATATATAGGAGTTAAGCAACCATTTAGATAGGTACTTGCCCTTTACTTCTACTATAGAGTAGGCAACCTTATTAGTTTCCTTATTATTAGATAGGGATTCTAACTTAGCTGTAGAGTTCTTAGCCTCTTAGGAGGCATAAGCTCTCTAAGGTTTCTTAGCTCTCTAACTAGACTTCTTCTAGGTTAGAGACTTCTCTACTAAGGATTTTAACGATCTTATCTCCTTTTAGAGATTAGACAGACTTATCCTTAATAGTAATCTGTTCTTCCTTAGAGGGGACCTGCCCCTCTCTTTTCCTTTAAGAGACTGCTTTGCCTACTAGAGGTAGGGACAGTCTTTAATTAAGTGCTACTTCTTATAGAGATAGTAGGTAAGTCCTCCCTTTTACCTAGTAAACATTATAGTTTCTTATCTTTAGAGCCTAGCCTTATATAACTCTAAGAGGTAAAGCGCCTCTTTAGGTGTTATCCTAGTCTAGGCATAAATAGTGTCTACTATACTCTAGTATATAGGTGGTAGACTAGTAAGAAGATGTTTTATCCTCCTTTCTATACTCTTATAGTAGGACTCCCTCTTATCTACTTTAGCAATCCTTCTCCCAAGATTACTAAGGTGTACCTAGGCCTTTCTAATTGTCTATTCTTCTAACATCCTGAATATAACATACTCCTTAACTAGGGACATCGCATGTATAATATACACTTTATAGTATTTAGCCTTTATTTTGTCCTAGATAGCTTTGGCCCTCTTCTTATTAATTACCTTATCCTAGTTATCTTCTAATAGGCAGATAACTAGTTTATATCTTGCTTTTGTATTAGCCTAAGACCACTCTAGTAAGTGAACTGAATGTCTTAAACTAGGTAAAGGGATTTCCTCTAGTATTAATACTAGGGTCTCTATTAAAGCTAAACTACTTAAAATGACCTAAAACATATTCTTCCCTTTAAGGTTGTCCTCCTAAAGACTGAACCATGTTCTCTAATTTTCTTTTAATAACAGAGGTACTGCCCTTCTCTTTCTAAAAGACCTAGAATCTAACTCTATGCTTTTCTTTAATAAGTAGATACTATAGCTCTATAGTAAAAGGTTGTTAGTGAAAATATATGTGTATAAACATATAGAAGGTGCTAGAAGGTAGTAGTAAGAGGGTGGCGGTTCTTGTAATGTATATGTACCTTCCTAATATATAGTAGGTTCGTAGTTAATAAAGTTCTAATAAACTCTTCCTAAGATCGTTATAGGGTATTAGGAGTGACGCCCCACTCCCTTACTAGGCTACTTTCACGACTTATTTATACTCATAGTATAGACTGTGTCTTCTAGGTACACTACGGTAGCGAGCCTCTAGTCGGCCTTCCTTTTCTACCTCCTATAAGGTCTTATAAGGTAAGGAATAACTTGTACTTCTTACTTAATTTGAGACCTGTCTTATAAACCCGAGCTTATAACCTATTAAATAGGATATGTTACGCAGTTTGTAGTAGAAGTAAGGACTTAATAATCGAAGAAGAAGGACCCGTAATAGTATAGTATATCTAAAGTAGAGTATAGAGTAAAGGATAGTAGAAGGTAAGAGAGAGAGAGAAGCCCGCTCTCCCCCTTCTAGCTAGTATCACTAAGCTTAGCGTGTCACGTGACCTGGTCACGTGACTACTTAGCTTACTACTAGGCCTGCTCCTACTTTCCTCCTAAGCTACTATTTTATAACATATACTTAAAAATCTATAATAGCTATCGAGATATATCTTATCGGAGCTATTATTAAAAGTAGTAGGATTTAGAAATGTACGCGTCGGTAAGGCCTTCTCGACGTTAGAGCGCGATAGGTATACGGGATAGTAGGTATAAGAAGTTACTTTTATATATAGATTTAGTATATCTAGGTCGTTACCGTAGGGATTTTAAATATCCTTTCGCTCTACGTAGCTATCTTCGAAAAAGTACGACGCTAAGAACGTAAAAATACGATTTTATATATATAATAAGATTAGACCCTCTAGAGAGGTGTTTTAGGGTAGTACGTACGTTAGTCGGGGGCGTCGGCTTTATATATTGCTAGCTTTTACGCCCGGACCAATAAAAAATACAGGCTACTACACCCGCACAAACCTCGGAGGAGGGGATGACTTTTGTGAGATAGGTCGTACTGCAGCTTCCAGTTTGGATGTTTTGGTGGCGTTCTCACGTGACTGCTCGTCTCGGTGTCTCTTTCGGCGATTTCTCGGTTGAATTCCAACGCCCTCCAGGTACTTCCTCGTGCGGATACTTCCCCCTACAGATACTTCCTCACCTCCTTTTCTCTCATCACATGTCATAGACGTCAGTATCGTTGTACGCTTCAGAACATATCAGTAAACGGAAGCAGGATTGTAGAGCGAAAAAGTCGTTCTTGTCCGTGTCTCTTGGCCTATATCGTGCTAACCCCCGGATAACGACCAAGATCACAACCTACTACTCTCCAACCCCCTCCACTCTCGATTGCCAGCAAGTCGTTGCCTATCCAACGTCCTCCACCCCTCAGGTCCCTCTTCCAGCCCATTCCTCTCACCCTCCGGAACCCTCCGCCACCGGAACAAGCGCGTATACTCCGTATCCTTCCCCTCCAAGACATCCACAACGTGCTCTCCCAGAACCGGCAGGAATTTAAACCCATGGCCAGAACCTCCCGACGCCACGACGAGACCTCGCGTCCCTGCCACGTGGTCGATGAGGAAATCATTGTCTACGGAATCGGTATACCAGCAGAGTCTGCATTTCGACAGGTCGAGCTCCAACAAGTCGGGCAAGTTCTCCGCGCAAAAGGTTTGGAGAACTCGCATTGCTTCGGCGGGGATCTTGTCCATGTCGGTCTGGGGGTAGGACACTTTCTCGCCGACGCTCGAACGTCGGGTGTAGGAAGTCCACTTCGCTCCTCGGAACGCGATCTTCACGATCCCTTCGGGAGTCCGGGGGAGGCCGTATATCCCGCCCACCGTCGCGTGTGGCTTGTATGATCCTGTATTCCAGCTCCAGACAGGGAACTTCTCTTCCGCGTACTTATCCCAGAGATCCTGCCGATGCTTCGGCAGCTGGATACTCAACACGCTGCCTCCCGTCGTCTCCAAGAGCCGATCGACGTCTGGTAACAAGCTAGGCGTCCACCCGCCGCAAGCGACCAGTACCAGATCCGCAGAGTGCCTCTCCATCCCCGCCGTGATGATCCCCGTAACCGTGTCTCCCGTCTTCAGAAACGACCTCAATCCAAATTCCTCACCAAGATACGTCTTCACACCGCCCGACTTCACACAGAGATGCAAAGCCCACGCACAGGCCCGACTCGCCAACACGAATCCAGCAGTCATGTCCAAGATGCCGTCGACCGGCAGACCCCTACCCAGCCGATCGAACGGATCAATCTTCGTCGGGGGCAATCCATCCCTGAGCGCATCTTCTCTCCACTTTGCGTCAGATACACGATACTGCGTATACTTAATCCGCTCTGGGAAATTCTTCTGCGTTTCAATCTCACTCGGCTCTAATCCTCCTCCTCCTCCTTCATTGCCACTCAACCGCACGAATCCACAGTTATGCCACAACTTGACATCGTCACCTTTCAGACAATCTGGTAGTTGCACATCATCATCTTGCTGCTCCTGGGCTAATTCTCGATTCCATCGCTGCCATTCCGGCATCGCCTTGAACGCAAGATCCTGGTAGAGATGTCTGCCCCCGTACGAGGCACGGACAATCTTGTTCAAGTCGCACGAGGCCCCATCCGCGCCTTGTTCTTCGGAATATTGGTTCTTGTCGAAGGGTTGTTTATCGAAGAGGTGGATGTTTCTGTAGCCTCTTTGGACGAGATGCAGGGCTGTTGAGAGGCCAAAGACACCAGCGCCGACGATTACGATTTTGGAGTCCTTGTTCAGAGGTTGTGGAGGCATACTGCTGGTGCTAGGAGATTGTGACAGAGATGGTGAAACTCTTCTAGAGGTAGTGGAAGTAGAGCATCGAGAGTAATGATGCGATTTCGTGGCAAGCTTGCCCGCCAATCGGCCGAGGCCGAGGTCAATTCCTAGATAGGCAGCTGTAGTGAGCTTGGACACTTTGAGTGAATGTTGAGCTGGACAATTGCATTCTGCTTAAATTGTCGTGTCCATCTGGTGTGCCTCTGCCGCACTGCTATAATCATCAGGTATTCTAACGTGTGGTCAGCTATGCATCCTCGAACCCCACTGAATCGACAGGCTCCATGCGCTTGCCATTGCTATCCCATTGCCATATCATTTCCGTCTTACCAACTCCACTTATCAATCTTCATAGTCCCGTGCTCGTTCAAATGCTTATGCAAGTCGAACGCATTCCACAGCATGTGAGGCTCATGTCCCCATCCCTTCCTCAGGCATTCAAATTCCGCCTTGTCGAAGTAGTCCTTGAGAATGGGATAGTACTCTGGGTGTGCACACTTCTTGATGATCTCCCGCGCTCTTTCCTTGGGGCTCATACCGCGGACATCGGCGAAGCCCTGCTCGGTCACGACGACATCGAGATCGTGCTCAGTCTGGTCCACGTGCGTGCACATGGGAACGATGCAGCTGACTCCGTGTGGGTCGGTCTTGGATGGGCGAGTGGAAGGTGTGTGCATGATTGAGTATTTGGAAGATCGCAGGAAGTCGGCCGATCCGCCCAGACCGTTCAACATACGAGAGCCCATGACGCATGTACTGTTGGCATGGGCATAGATGTCGACTTCGACGGGCGTGTTCATGCCGATTACCCCCAGTCTCCTAATGATCTCGGGGCTGTTGGAGACCTGTTGGGATCGCAAGAGAAGCTTGGGTGCGTACCTCTCCCAGTTTTGGTAGAATCGATGAAATCCTTCTGGGCTGAAGCGGATCGAAGTCGCAGTAGCGAAGTCCAAGTTGCCAGAGTCGAAGAGATCGAGGAAGGAGTCTTGCAGCACTTCGGTCCAGACTTTCAGATTCTTGAAGTTGGCCCCACCGGCAGCGAGACCTCCAACTACAGCATTAGCGATATTACCGATGCCTGACTGGATGGGCAGGAGGTTCTCCGGTAGACGACCATGCGAGACTTCGTGCTTCAGGAACTCGATCAGGTGTCCTGCAATCGCCTTGCTGGTTTCATCCTCTGGAGAATTGGGCTGGGTCTGATCTGGGTAATCGCTCTCCACTACAGCAACAACTCTTTCCGGATCGACGGGAATGTGCGGTGTTCCAATACGATCCTCTGGCGCCATGATCAAGTATGGTTTCCGTCTCGGCGGCAAATCGGTCATGGTAATATCGTGGAGTCCCTCAAAGCTCGGCGCAGCCGTGTTGACCTCAATGATGATCTTGTCGGCCATCTGAATGATCTCCGGGCTAGCACCAACACTTGCCCCCGGAATGATTCCTCCGTCTTCCGTGATCGCACTCGCCTCAACCACGGCGACGTCGATGCGATTGTTCTCCTTGTGCTTGGTGTAGAATCCATACATCAAGTCCACCGGAAACATCGATAGATGCTTGTCGAAGAAGTTGATGTTGCCATTATTGATCCCCTTTGCGATCTCCTTCCCGACTTGATGCGGAGCTCTTCGTTCGATCATGTTGTTCCTCGCCCATCGGTTCTCGGTCTCCGCTCCACTCGAGGCTCCCACGAATAGATTGTACTTGAGCTTTCCCTGGAGATTGTTCTTCTCGACATGCTCGGCGAGGGCAGTAGGGACTGGAGAGTCTCAGTGATTCACCCAGAGAGACGAAGCTCGAAGCAGATACCGACCTTTCTTGGGGTAGCCAACACCTGTGAATCCGGACCAGCCGACGTAGGTGCCATGAGGGAAGAGATCAATGAGGTCTTCGGCTTTGGCGAGTTTGTTCAGGTACGAGGGCCGTCGTACACGGCTTCGTAGGAGAGCGGATGCCGCCATGCCGGTGAGGATTCCTTTCTTCGCAGTGGAGAAGGAAGAAGGCAGGAAGAGAAGACGCAGCGGAGAGAGAGGGGAGGAAGCCGCTTACGTATGGATTACATGCTAAATCATGACGAGCGCGCTGTATGGCATGTCAGCAGTGGAGCTGGTGGTCTGGAGGTTCGGTGAAAGTGTCTGGGATGACGGAAGTTGTGCGGATGATAAGAGCTCTCCAGCTGCCAGCTACCTTTATTAGGACGGAGCATTGGCTTCGACGGCCCGCGTCGTGCCGCAGCATGGGCGTTGGCGCGGATAAAGCTTCGGAAGGACGGGTGCAGCTTCCACAGTGATAGTGTGCCCCCTGTGCCCCTTTCTGTGCTTTTGTGCTTGCAGTCGCCTTTCACGTGTTCCGCTGGCGGACTGGGAGGAGCCGATCATGCTGCCTTCGATATGCCCGTTTGAGCGATCGCTGCTCGTCCGCGCCATGGACAAGGTTGAGTCTAGTACCGTGGTATTGCAACGGCGAATACAAAGGTAAGCATTCATATAATAATCTCCGTCGTCAACTTCCATCTCCATCGTCGGTCCTCTCTCCTCTTGTCCTTCCAACAAGAGCCCTGGAAAGCGAGGAAAACAAACAGAACATCTCGGTCAAGATGGCTTCCACAGGGGCATTATGGTGGATGACACCTCTCCAAGCAATCGCAGCCGTGAGCGCTGGCGTCAACTGCGGTACGTGATCCCATCCCTTCTCACCGAATGCCATCGAGACTCCCTCTCCTGACACACGCCCACCAGGCGCCTCGGGCCTGCAATCCGTCATGGTCTTCCCTCTCCTCGAACTCCCCGAAGTCCCAGCCATCTACTCCGCCAAACAGATGCGCTGGCTGCTCCACTGGTCCGACCGTCTCTTCCCACGCGTCAACGCCCTCTCCGAAATCCTCAACCTCTCCACCACCATCATCGCCTTCCTCAAGCGCCACGAGAACCGCGCCGCGGCGGAGAAGTGGCCTTTCCTTGCGGCGGCGTTCGCCTTGAACGTCGCGACGACGGCTTGGAGTTTGGGGATTCAGGTTCCGATGAATGGCGGGATGAGAGAGTGCGCGAGGAACTTGGAGAACAAGAATGGCGATGATGAGAAGAGTGAGAAGGAATTCAGGAGATTGCAGGCGAGGTGGAAGCCGAGAGCTTTGGGTAAGTGTTCACAACAAGGTCTCTCTTGGCGACAGGGAAGGAGAACGCTAACAGAATCGTAGTTCGTGCCTCGATGATGCTGGCTTCTTGCGTGGTCGGGTTGTACACCGTGTACCTCGACGGCAAGTACATCTAACGTGTCTCGCAGCAGACAGAGTCAATGGCGATGATGTTGTGAAACGGATTGGCGATAGAAGCATGTTTTCAGTTGGAACTTTAGACAAGAATCTTAATATGCTGACTCGTAACCCCCCATAACGATCATTTATTACATTTCCTTTTGTGAAAAGACGGCCATGGTAGCCGTGTTCCCCAACGACCGCGCCGCGCTTTTGCAACAATGACAGCATCTAGAATGCACAAACTTTCCCAACTTGCTTTCCTTACAACAGACCAATAACGGCAAGACCGAAAGCACCAGCAGCACCAGCGGCGAACATGGGAGCGTTGGTTGCAGCGGCGATGCCAGAAGAGGTAGAGGAAGAACCGGTGGCTGATCCGCTTGCGCGCGAGGAGGCAGAGGATGCGGCGCTGGCTGCTGCGGTGCTGGCAGAGGAGCCAGAGGCAGAGAGCGAGCTGGCAGCCTCGTTGATCGAAGTCGCGGCCGCGGTCGCCGAAGTGTACTCGGCCGAGAGGGAGGTTTTGGCAGCTCCCGTGGCCGTCTTGGCCTGGCTGCTGAGCGAGGCGATCGCCGCCGAGGCCGTCGACTGCGCCAGAGCGACAGAAGACTCTGCTTGAGCGATGATGGAGGATTCCTTGCCCTGGAGACATGGTTAGTAATTGCATTCTCAGCTGAGCGCGTCAGACGCGTCGGAACGTACCTGAGCCGCGGTGGCTGCGGACAGAGCAGCGCTGTTGATGCTGGACTGCTGCTCTGGGGTCAAAGAAGTGACCTTGTTGGTGGCCATTGCCGTAGCAGAGGAGAATGCCGCCGAGTACGCGGACTGCGCCGAAGCCAACGCAGATGAGGCAACGCCAGCGGCGTCAAAGGACGAGGAGCTGCTCTGAGCAGCGGCAAGGGCGCCAAGGCCGGAGAGGATGAACGCGGTGCGCATATTGATGGTTGTGGAGATGTTTCGAAGGGCTGTGTATCGATTGAGAGTGTTCGCGTTGGCAACTCTTACAGGCGCTTTCGTGTTGTGTTGGCGAGTTGGGTGGGGATGTGCGGCAGCTGGGGAAGGAGGGAGATGAATATGCATGCAACGGGGGCGACAACCCTCATATACGTATCTGCAACCACGGAAACGACTGCAACAGCTCACTATGTACCTACGATTCAGCTTGGCGGCGTAATCTCGTGGTAAGAATATCCCCGATCAGGCGTAGACGATGGATGCCTACGCAAGGGAGAATTTGCCATTGGTCAGATGTTGTATTTCGACCGGGAGGGATGCACCCGGTACCTGACTAACGCACAACATCTCGTAAAAAGCTTTGGGTGGCCTGCTCCAGCCTGAGCCAAGACCACCTCAATTTCCCAGTCGAGCAAGCCGGATGACGATCTGCGCGTCTCGTGAGTCGTGACCTGTGGCGTGTGTTGTCAAATGAGGCTGAGGAACTCTATTTTCGTGTTTCTCTCCCGTCACCATGGCAGCCTGACAACGGCTGGCTCTGATCAACTTTATATACAAAACCTGGCTATTGAAGCGATGACGAGAGGCCGCCACAGAGGACACTTTCGTCTCACGTTAGATCAATCACCTCTCCGTGCCTGGCTTTTGGTGAAGTTGATGTCAAATGCGGTCTCACAGGCGCTGGCGGGACATCTGAGACGCGGTTGTGCAAGGCTGCTGCGCGCAAAGCGCGAAGTGTTGCACGGTCAATGGCCTCGCCTGGCATGAGCTCGGAGCCGTCAAAGGGTTCAGCAGTCTGCTGGAGTGTTTGTGTGAATGTGGCAGCTGCAGGTACATCGAAGTTTTCGCTGGATGCTAGGCTTTGGTGAACACTTCCTGTTCCACTACAGTGCCCGACGCAAGCGGGCTGGGAAGCGGAGAGCGCTCGCGGATCGGAGGAGCCAGTCGGGCGATGTGTCACTAAAGATCCACTTGTAGTCGCTGTAGTCGCCACTTGAGTAGAAGGTAGTGAGACGGAGGAAGCATGGACTGTAGCAAAGCCTACGCCTTTGTCTTCTTCGTCGTCGTCGTCGTCGTCGCCGTCGCTGCACAGATCGATGACCATCGACGAGGACTGTGTTGCTGGCGAAATTGGATTGGGACGCATCAGATGCTCGGGGATGTCCATGTGCCTGAATTTTGCAGGAGGTGGACTCTGCGAGACGTTTGCCTCGACATTGGATCCGCCTTTCTTTTTCTTCTTCGCCGGCCTCGATCCTGAAGGAGCTCTGGGCAGCGCATCATCTTTTCTCGCCTTTGCACGGTTCTTTCTGTGGTTCGTGGTGTCCAAAGCACCATCCGCCGGGCCCTCAGACGTTCGACGACGTTTCTTTGATGCAATCTTGGTCGTGCCACCATAGTCGTGGACAGAAGCCTCTTGCGAGGATGTTGCTCCATTTTCGCTTGGTCTTTGCGTGCCTCTCCTTGATTTGGTCACGGGCTCCCAAGATCCTTCAGGAAGACCGTGCTGGAGGAAGCACTCGAGTACCTCACATTCGATCTCCTCTGTAGGACCATAAGTACCGCCATCCTTGTTGGCTTCAATTGACCAGTCCTCTTCGGAAGGCTCCGTCTCGAGATCGATCTCCATTAGAGCCTTGGGCTTGAATATAATCTTGACCTCCGGATTGGGTTTGCCGTTACTCAGATCCTTCCTCTGCCGACCAGACTTCAACCGAACACTACAACATCTATTCTCTTCTTTCTGGTCGGGATGTACAACACCAGCAAGAGTTCGTACTAGAAAGACTGGCGCAAAATGCTTGAGGAAGCCGCGTGTCCAGAAGCCATGATATGCACGTAGGAACTTCTGAGGTACAGGCTGAACGATCGGCCTGTTCCATCCGTTATTACGGAGTTTTGGAAGGTCATGGCATTGCTCGTCGGTGGATACTGCAGGGTTGCGGTAACCCTCCAATGCTTTGAAATTTGGGAAATCGGAGGGGACCTCTACTGCTTTCCGCACCCGCTGCTGTGAGGTGGTCACTAACGAGTCTCTCCAGGCCGGCAAGCCGTGCTTGTCCACATGCCTCAGTGATGTTGCGATTCCAAACTCTCTTCGTGAAAGGACTTTGGCAGCACTCGGACCACATCCTCGTAGACCAGTCTTGTCATAGTCTCCGCCGGCGAGGAGAGCGAAGAGCACGAAGCTGTCGGCGTCAAAGTTGTGCTGTTCTAAGATTCTAGACGCCTGATAGATCCTCACGTAGTCGTTGATCCGCTGTCCGCCAACCTTGTGCGCTTTGATCAATGTCGTACAGCCGAACATGAAAGAATCTCCGTCATCGCTCCAGACAGCATCGACAATGCCAAGTTGTTGTAGTCGCGCGCATTCGGCCTCTGCCTCTCCCGGAGCTCGGTGATAGGGCACATTCAAATGGTCGAACATGAGATGAAGCAGCTTGATAATGTTCGAGTCGACCTTGCGCCACCTGCGCCGTTCTTCGTCCTTCCCTTTCCGGGTTTTCGTAAGCCATCCCACACGAAATTCAGCTGGATGTTGAGTCGCCATAGTCTCAGGACCCCGAGGTCGAATCCCAGAACGCGATGCGCGTCGCACAGGCCATCTTGTCCGCGCGTTCACGTGATATTGATTGATCTCACAGTACTCCCGTCGTATCAATCACTCCACACTTGATCCGGATTGCCACCACAATAAGAATGCTCGGTACATGTACCTAGCACCGTATCGCCAGCGACCCAGCTCACATCATTGCTTTACTTCACGGCAACGACGGCCGGCAACATGAACATGATGATGGCGTGCGTGCATGCAGTTGGCCGACATCGGCGGCATCTTTCCACAGCTGCAGGCTGGACGATATGATACTCGATACGCCTCCG